GTGATCCAAGATCGGATAAGTCGGCAATTCCTCTTTCGGTCTTCCGGCTTCCGGCTTCCGGCTTCCGCTATCAACGTGCTCATCAAGATGTGTGCCCTGGGGATGACGTCTCCCGCATCGCTTCCTTCTGAGGGAGCCTTCTTAAAAACGTTCATGATGCTCATGAACGATCATGAACGATGAGCATGGTAGGTAAGCGGCATGTGGACGAGTGAGCCCGATTTAAAAGAGCGTGATGATCTCTCCCAAGATGGAACAGTCGTGATTCCAATGAGCAGTCGTGATCTTGACGAGCAAGTTCCATATCGACAACCGATAGGATGAAGTTATCCGCTCGAGCCTCCTCGATCGGACAACCAGGCCAACCAGCCCACGTGCACACGTGGCTCGTTGTTACCAAAGATAACCTCACCAACACCTTATCTTGACGACGACTCCACGCTGACCATCAGCCATTCAATCCATGTCGCGCTCCAGACTCCAGCGACTCCTAAAGTCCAGAACCATCGGGAACCTCACCAACGGGAACACCTGCGAACGTGTCAAGATTACCAGGTCAGGAAGCGATGTCACGCTATTTTAGCCCAGTCCAGCTGTCATCGTTCTGTTGGGAACAGTGAACACATGTCTGGACATGTGTCAAAACTGCAATGCACGTCTAGGTATCCGGCATCGGTAGAGGTACCCAGTTCCAGACCACGAGATAGGAAAGAAAAGATTACCGCGATATGAGCATCAGAAAAGGTCAAAAAAACTAAAAGAGCACCAAGCTCCTGCCTGAATGGTATGACCCATCGAAACACTTTGACGGCTAGCAAAACTCAACAGAAGAACGTGTGAGTATGAGCTGGCGATGTTTTCATCCACACACCACGACTCGTAAAAAAAGAAGTTGTGATGAGCAGTCGGTGAAGATACATTATCAATCTGCATAACGACGGAGTTAAGGATACGTCATCGAGTCTAATCAGGGGTATCACGGACAATCTTGAAATCTGGACGCGCTCATTCGCGTCCTCCAATACGGCGGTGAAAGCACAGATGTCCCCGACGCGGTTGGAGTCCAGCCCGGGCTGCAAACTCGACCGCAACTGTCAATCTCTGACCAATCGGCTTGCGATCGCACCGGCGGGGAACCGACAGCCCTCACAGCTGGTTTTCCTTTCTTGCACTGTCGGACGCGCTTTTGGTTGATGGTGACCGTGGTGGGTGAGCGGGGTGAAGGAATGAGAGTCCACATTCCACCGCTTTCTGTTCCTTTCTCACTTTTGCTTTTTGAACACAGTTGCAACAACAAAAACAACACGAACAAGGCCAGACTCTGCTCTTGCGAGATACCATCGCGTAAAATCGCCTGTGGTAATTACCAAATATTACGACTTTGCAATCAAAGACTCCGCCGCAACTGTGCCGTCGGTCTTTTGCGACATCATTGGCTGGCCACTTGTGTCCAATGAATTACGGCAGTTATGCAACCCTCCGGCTGATTCTTATGCAACCATCTCGCATGTGAACTGGGCGCGGTCGCCTTTTTGTGCACTTCTTGTGATTGCTTGCAGCACCATTTCTTCCCACCTTTTTCTTTTTTCCGCTTTCGTTTGCAACCAACACGCACATCACTACAAACGGACGGGGAAAAAAGGGATTGCAAGTGCAACAGGTTTCAGTGCAAGCCGTTTGCAGCAAACAGCAACGACTTTCGACACGACACGACTGAATTTCGGTGTCCGTGGTACCCGACATCCGAGGCAAATACGGGCATGGCGTGACCTGGGAGTCGCAAAGGGGGGAGAAAAAGCCGAATGAAAAATTTGCGAGTTCGGCACGAAAACGATTTTTTTTTTGAGTTTCCATGAAAATCGCTGGGACCGGGCACACGTTATGAGTCATAAACGAGGCTCGTGGTCTGAAAACGCAATCTAACAGGGATATGAGGTTGGGGGGACACTGTCCACGGCAACGAGCCAATCCGGACCCGCCAATCTTGCTACAGGTACCGGTACAAGGCTCGACACGGCATCCGACAGGATTCGCAGCCTGATAAAACATGTCAAAGCGGGCAAAAGGGAGGACGCGCTTACCTTTGGTGACGCCTACGAAGCTCGCTTTGTATCGCTTTTGTTTTGCCCGTGATGATCCCGTCCCTCCTGGCTTTGAGCCCCGTTGCTAAAATCAGGCTTTCCGTGTGTCGTGCTCAAGGCGAACGCGTGCAAATGCGTTCCGCGTCCTGCTCATTCCATCAGTGACAAAATGTTTGCTCCGCCAACCGTGGCTGATTGCTCATGTCGCTGCACCGCTTTTTTGCGTCCATTTGAGGTGTGTTGGTAGCATGTCCTGCGAGTCAGTCTTTTCCTCGATATGTCTGCGCGGTGAGCCTGGAACTGCGAATGCTGTTTATGTCGGTGCTTTTGTGACTCTTGATTTTGGGGATGTGGCGGAATGGCTATGGCAAATTCGGTATCCGAAGCAGGAAAGCGAAACCGACCGGGTTTCGCTGTCATCCGCTAAACAGGCAGCGGAGTGTGCTGAAGTCCTGGCAGTGTCGGGTGTATTGCAGGCGATGTTGCAAGCGCCATGTGGGAGTTGCGGTGACCAAATGTCGAGAAGCCATTCAGCTGGATTGCGATGCAGCAGTTGCGGTTGGTTAGACCAAGTCCACTGGAAGTAATCGCCATGGGAACCGAAATCAAGAGCCGAGCGAGGGAGGCCTCGAGTGCTGCCGAAGAAGCGGGAAGTTGGAAGTTGGTCCAGTTTGCGCCGATGTCGATGCCATGAATCGATGGGCGGGAGATCGATGTGTGCTGAGCCAGTAGGTTGGTAATCAAGCGAAGCAAGCCTAGAGGTAGGTAGGTGAGCGACCGCCAATGCGTCACTTCTCGCTGCTGTCGAAACAGAATAGCCGGATGGAAAGACCGCCACACCACAGGCCCGCGCAACGCCCAAAAGCACCGAGGAGGTGGCGACGCAAACTACCAGACACAACACAAGGAAATGTCGGCTGTGCACTAGATGTCGGATGGATGGATGGATGGATGATGAAAGACCAAATGAGCCGACTTGGATGACGATTGAATGAACGTCGACGATGGATCGATTGATGAAGCTGAATGACAATTCAAGTCACGATGCATCCAAGCACCCAAACCCAAGACGAATGAAAGAGTAGCAAAAAAGGAGAAAGAATCGTTTCTTGTCGAGTTCCAAAAGAAAAGGGAGAAGGAATAAAATGGTTTCAGAAGGTTGCTGCTGTAACGAAGAGTGTGTGGCGAGGGTTAACATTTCCAGATTACGACATGCTGGAAACCGTCAGTGCTCGGCTTGGCAACAACGAGTTGGCGGGATTGGTGGGGGAGGGGAAGGATGAGAAAGGGCGCTCTGGCCGCCGAACAGGGAGGTGAGGGCAGGAGCAAGGAGAGGACATGGGTCAGACAGAAGTACCGGTACATGGAGGAAACCTGCATGTCTGGGTGGCTCAGGAGGCGGGCAGACGGGGTGAGGGAGGGTGAGCGAGCGGGCAAAAGAGAGAAAAAGGGCAAATGAGGGACGTTGATTGGCCGCATCCGGCTCACAGTGCGGCGCCCAAAACGACAAAGACCAGGGGACCCGCCGCCAAAGATTAGCGTGGGTGCCTTAGGCGACATAGCGCAGACTGGGCAGAAAATTATAAGTAGCGGGCGCTCCCTCCAACCCATTGTTTCGAGAGTCTCGCGCGGAAGTCCCGACCGGCCCTACGTATCCGATACCTGCGTTCGGCCTCGATTTTTTTTTCATTTTCCCCACACCACAACCAACCACACCCCTCACCTCCAATCCACTTCCATCCAGAGAAGAAGCTCGGCCCCGTCCGTCACGCATCACACGCATCGTCATCGTCGTCGTCGTCGCTGTCACGGGTATCCAGAAAGAAGAAGATCCACCGAACCACAACTAGCACAGCATCATCCTGCTGTCGTGCGTTCCACGTTTTTACTCTCAATCATCTCTCTCTCTACCATCCGCCGTCACCGTCACTGCGTTGTGTGGGCGCATCTCTCTCATTTAGGTTAAGGGGTTAATCACAGTCGGCCGTCAGACAGGAGATCCGATCCTCTTCCGGACAAAGGAAAACACATTACCGTCGCCCTTTGCCTGCAAAAGAATCCGACCTCCTCCGTCCGTCGTCGACCTACTTCGTTTTAGGCGTCGAGGATAATAGAAGATTCAGTTCGTTGCACAGGCCACAGTGCAATCGCTTTACCATCTCATCATCATCTTGCCTTAGCTATCCCGGTTACGGTCATCAATTGCCGTGAGCTGTTCAGTGTGCACTACCTGCGTCCCGACGTAACAAGGAACGAAGACATCAGTCACTTCGACATCCGTCTACTACCGCCTACCGTCAAGGTCGTCAACGCATCACCGTCGAGCCACCGCGATACATATCCAGTCCTCTTGACGCATCGTCGATTGAAAGATCTCGAAAGTTGCTAGGAAAGGAACAGAAGTGTTGGGGGAGACATTAACTTGTTCATCTCCCGCATTTGGTAAGCTCTCCTCAGCCCTCGCTCTCCCGCCCGTCCCGTCCACTGCGTTCCACACCTTTGCCTTTTTGCTTTTGCGGTTGTTGTGTTGGGCAGGTTCAGTTGAGCCTTGGCAACCATTTCATCCCATCCCATCCCATCCCATTGCCCATTTGGCGGTGAATAGGAATTGCCATTCACTGCCGTCAACAACCTATTCACCACGGTTGCCCCACCATCCGGTGACAAACCGACCCCTCGAGCCCCCACCCACATATAAAATAACCATTTCTCGTGCCCTTGGAATTCTTTCCCCAAACAACCACAAACTTGCACTTGGCTTTTCCAACCGATCAGCCTCCGCACGCCTGCACCCTCTTGCACTGCACTTTCGCTCATTTGCCATCTTTTTAAACGGTAATTCTAATACAGCGCTGGTCGCAGATCTGTTCAAGAACGCAGAACCCCAAATCTCAGACTCGCGCTCAGATTTGATTCAACATGGAGGCTATCCAAACCCACCCGTCCAACGCCGCTCAGGCGAAGGCTTTCACTGCTCCCGGTTCCCTGTCCTTCCCCGGTGCGGCTGGCGAGCTCACGCCGCCCACGTCCACCGCGAACAGCGACAAGGGCGCCGCGGTCAATGGAGCCGCCGGTGCGCAGGCCGCCAACGGCAATGGGGTGACACCCGCAACCCCCGCGGCTACGCCCGCAGCGAACCAGGGTCCCACCAGTGGCATGACCCCTACTCTACAGTAGGAAGACCTCTTTGACCTTTTTCTCAAGAGGCTGTGGGCTGACCCAAACAGGAACATCGTCGCGACGGTCAACCTCGATTGCCGTCTTGATCTCAAGACGATTGCCTTGCACGCGAGAAACGCCGAGGTACGTGATGGGTTGGATTGCGGGGTCCCTTGATTTTGTCTGTCTGGCCATGGTTGTCTAACAGCCGCAAACAGTATAACCCCAAGCGTTTTGCTGCGGTTATCATGCGTATCCGCGAGCCCAAGACCACTGCCCTGATCTTCGCCAGCGGCAAGATGGTCGTCACCGGTGCCAAGTCCGAAGATGACTCGAAGCTTGCGTCGCGCAAGTACGCTCGTATCATCCAGAAGCTCGGCTTCAACGCCAAGTTCACCGACTTCAAGATCCAGAACATCGTCGGTTCTTGCGACATCAAGTTCCCCATCCGTCTCGAGGGTCTTGCTTCCAAGCATCACAACTTCAGCTCTTACGAGCCCGAGTTGTTCCCTGGTCTCATCTACCGCATGATCAAGCCCAAGATTGTGCTCTTGATCTTCGTCAGCGGCAAGATCGTCCTTACCGGCGCGAAAGTGCGTGAGGAGATCTACCAGGCCTTCGAAATGATCTACCCTGTGCTGCAAGGTTCGTTCTCAAATGTCTTTCATCTTGTGCTGTGTTCATTTTCACTAACGCATGATTTCCAGATTTCCGCAAGGTCTAAAAGATCCTTCTCGAAATTTGCACTTGATCATCGCCATGCTGCCGTGTGCAGCAGCAACACTTCTCCAACCCTCACAAAACATGTCGACAACTGTATTATACCCACAAAAACACCCTATCATGATTTCACGACGAATCTCACCCATACCCAAAAAACCGAAAATCACTTTCTTGCGACTCGCGGTTTGCGTCTACTACGACCATCAAACGGAGTACGACGCTTGAGTCGACAGGAAAACCCATTGTATCAATGTCCTGTTCATTTTCTTGCGGTTACGTCATATTTTATTTTCCACAGCAGCATTGCAGCGGCGTTCAGGTTCGACAAAGAAGGGAGAAAGAGCGGTATTCTTGCTACGTTATTTCAAGTCGAGGCGGTCATTTCCCTCTCGGCGATTCTTACAACAGCCATAGAGCAGATCGCGCATTGGGGAAGAAGAGGAGAGTGGTCAACAGTGGTTGATTGACAACACAAACCGCGCGCGCTAGCAGCTTGGTGTTGTCGGCGGCAATGTTGCGCAGGTCGATTGCCGTCCACACCCTTTTTTATTACAACTACAACTCACATACCCACTTCTAATGGCAGATGGGGACCCAACCTGGGGGAAGGAAGGATGGAGAGGTTGGAGAGGGAGGTTGGCTTTCTGCGGGTTGACGTTTGAGTTGGTCACCTAAAGGAAAACACAAAACAACCACTAGCGACACCCAAGATCGTGGCTGGCATGACAAAAAAGGTCAGCCAGCATGGACAAAGGGTCGCAGTAGGAACAAAAACTCTGGCGGGTGGGAGTTATTCTCACTTGCGCAACCATCCCGCTAAATAGGGACAGGTGCAGCTTTGCTTGGCATTTTATGACGGCGCACACATATGTTGCGTTTGTTTTGTTTCGTGGGTTAACATAACGATCCACTGCAATGCCAACATTTATTTCAACGTTCTGTCCTCATGCAACTTTTTGGTGTGTTTTGTCGTGATGTAGCGTGTTGCTTACCTGCATGTGAACGTCTCTTGTTCCCACACCTATGGTTCTCTCTTTGCTTCCCGTAGTTGCTGTCCCCCTCTTAGTTCAGAGCCCTCCCCAACTCCGTAGACAAGATCAGTCCTGGGACTCCGCCACGACTACCATCCTCCGTAATCACGGCCTTGATGGCAGCATCGCCAGCGGGATACCTCCAGTTCCACTTGCCCACGAACTCAGACGGACACTGGCCGGCAATGACATCGGCAATCTTCTCGCCAATGACCGGCAGGAACTTGAACGCGTGCCCGCTGTCGCCCGTGGCCACGAACAGGCCCTTGTATTCGGGGTGGTAATCGATGATGAAGTCTGCCGTCGGCGTATCGGAATACCAGCAGATGCGAGTCTTGCTGAACGGTCGGTCGCGGAGCGAGGGGAGGGGGACCATCTCGTGCAGAGCGCGGCGAAGGTCGTCGGCGCCTTCGGTGGGGATTTGGAGAGTCGGGTCGGAAAGGGTTGTCAAAGGGAGGGAGACGGCAGTTGCCGGGGCAGTGACGGAGGAGCCGAGAGGAGGTGTGGACAAGGTCGTGGGGTTCAAGTATCCGTAGGCATGTCGAGCGATCTTGAGGACGCCGTTCTTGGGTGGGATGATGAAGAGGCCTGTGGAGAGGTTGAGAATGACGGGCATATGGGCCAGCTGGGCTTCTTCCTCGGGCGTGAGGTCGATGTAACCGAGCACTTGGCCGGTGGCGATGGCTTGTCCTGTCAGGTCAACGAGGCGACCGGTCCAGGCACCGGCGGAGACCATGACGAGGTCGGCCGAAAGGACGCGCCCGTCCGAGAGCCGGGCACCGGTGACGGTGTCTCCGGAGACTTCCAGGTTGGTCACTTCCCCGGCGACGAAGTTGATGCGGCCCTCGGCTTTGACACGCTTGTAGAGCCAGGCCATGGAGGCGCCGGCGTTGGCCCATCCGGAGAGACCGTTGATGTAGCCCCAGGAGCCGGAGGAGCCGCCGGTGCCCAAGGCTGCCTTGATGGCGTCGGTGTCGGGACACTCCTTGATCCTGGCGGCAAGCTCGGGGTCGCTCGAGGCGATAGAGAGGACGTTGGCCCAGCTGAAGCGAGTGTAGTCCATGCCTGTGAGCTTGGACTTGTCGATGACGGTGCCAGTCACCACGGGAGTTCCCGGTGGAGGAGCTGGTCCGTCGGCAACAAGGAGGAGGCCACTCTCGGAGTAGCGTCCTTCTGACCCAAGATCATCGGGGTGGGCTTGTTGGCGCCATTGAAGCTGGGCTTCGGCGGCTAGGGCAGCGTAGGCAGCATCGGGGTAGTCGGCTCTGATGATGCGGCTGGTGTCGACACTGGCAGCGTCGGGAGCGGGGAAGACGTCTGGGTTAGACGGGTCGGCCCTGTCTACGACGGTGATGGTGGTGTTGGCGAAGTCATGACGGCGAGAGAGGGCGTAGGCAGTGGTCAAGCCGAAGACGCCAGAGCCGATGATGAGAATGGAAGAAGGAGGAGAAAGAGGAGAGGAAGAGGATTGCTGCTGCTGGGGTGCCAGTGGTGGTTGTTGCTCTGTTGAAGAGAGAGGAGGAAGAGAAGAGGAGGGAGCTGGGGGAGTCGCCATCGGGAAATGAGGAGAACAAGGTTCAGCTTGGGAAGAATGGAGCGGCAGGGGACGTCAGAGAAAGAAAGGATCAATAAAAGGACCGTGCCAGCTGAGGGGGTCTGAGTGGTCTGAGGTAGGGTTGCGCAATGGTCGAGTTGTGTGTGCTGTGTGCCCTGTCTCGAGCCTGTGCAGGAGTGGTCGGCCGTGTGTTGGCACGCTCTTTGCAAAGAAGGCAAGAATGCGATGTTTCACACCGGGGAGCAGAAAACAAGGAATCACTTGAAACCAGCAGATAACGGAAGAAAAAGGAGAGGCATTTTTATGAAATCCATCAGTGAGACCGTTAGACCACACTAGTCAAGAGCCGAAAAAGGAGGCAACCGGACACTACCTTAGTTAGGGTGGAGCGATAACAAGCGCCGGCGTGTGTTGTTGTGGGAGTTGGGGAGCCATGATCAGCGACTGGAGCGCGTGAAAGAAGGAGAATTGGAACAGAGCCAGTTTGCAAGGGCCTGGATATGACCGCATGGCGGCGGGGAACATTGCAGTGATCAAAGAAAGGGCGCTGCAACTCCAGAACGGTGGAGTCTTCTTTGACGAAACGAAGAACCTGAGTGGTGAAGGAAACGCGGGGAAGACAAGCAACTTGTGACAATTTGCAGATGACGGAGGGTTCTTGATGTTGGCTCTGGGAGGTGTTGGTTCTGATAAGTTCCAGTCTCGTGAAAGAGAAGAGAAGTCGGTAAAAAAGAGGGGAGAAATCAACAAACTGAGGAAACAAAAGACTCGTAGTAGAAACCGGAAGACGGAAGATGGAATATTTGATGTCGAATTGTCAGAGGACAGCCCTAAAAAGACACACGATGGCGGGGATGCCGTAAGCTGAGCACTGGACACCCGGGTCTTTTCTTGGGAATCCCTTGCTTGCTGCACTTGCTGCAGGGCATCGACAGCATTGCTTACGATTCTGCCACTCCAGTACGTCGGCGCTGATGTTCGAAATGGCTGGTGTTGCCAGCTGTTGCTGAGCAGAGAGAAAGTGGAAAGAATTGTGGTTGGATAACAATCAAATGGCACACAGGGAAACTGGCCCCGGTCGTGCATCACGATCGTGCAATTTGCTTGACCATGGATCACGAGATGGCGGGTGGTGGCAGGCATCGTGAGGGGAGTCGACATCAGTTTGATCCCGACGTTCCGAACATCGATAACCATCTGGCAAGCTGTGTTGACAAGTGCCCGTCAATGTTTCGCTTTTTGAGTAGCCGGGTGCATTCAGAGCTCTCTTCTGACTGTTGTCACTTGTCACAATGTTTCGCATATGTCCGTAGCTGAGTAACACTCATACTTTAAGACGCCGGGTCGCACCATTTTCGGAGAGTCCGAATCCAATGCGAAGAACTTTTGGTTATCAATGACCGGCCGAGCCGCAAAGCATGTAGGATGAATCAGGCACCGAGAGGACATTCCAGTTTGGAACACAACTTTCGAGATATTCAAAAAGTTGAAGATTCATGATGCCAGTCATTAACGCATCGCTAGAGGTAACGATGGTGTAAGAGAGTTTGTAAAATACGTGTATCATGCATCTGCATAGGCCGTCTGCCCTTACGGTTCCGTAATATTACATGGTGTGCCATTGCCCCACGGGCCACCCGCAGCTACGGGCCTAGCGCCTTCGCCTATCGCGACGAGAGCCACTCTGCGGTGCACCGCGTTCGTCGCTCCAGGTTCCGAGTCGCATCAGCACCTTGCTGTCCACGAAAAGCCATTATTCGTCACAGCCAGCCATGCCCCATCGATACACGGCTGCCAAACATGTCGTCGTCCAAGAAGATTGCCGAATTTCCTGACGTGGAGGCGAAGCTCCAGAGGGCCACCAAGCAATCCGCATTCGAGCGCCAAAAGGCAGAGGCAGAGGCTAAGCGCCGCAGAGAAGCTGCTGAGACGGCCGCAGTCTACGAGGACTTTGTCAAGAGCTTCGACCACGACGACACTTCGGATTCTCGACCCTCGAATTCCCGATATGGATCCGACCGACCAGAGAGACCAACACTTGGAGGACAGCCGTTTGGAGGAACGGGCAAGAGACACTTTGGCGTCAACAGTCTCAAGAGTGGTCCCGGCAGTCTAGGGCCTCCTCCAACATCGTTTAAGAAGAGGTCATACGATGACTTCCATTCCAGTCGTCAGAGACCCCACGAAAGATTTGAGGAGAGGGAGAGGGACTCCGAGAAGAGCTCTTTACCCGTGTCCAAAGTTTTCAACGATAGCGACAACGAGGAGGAAGCGACCGTTAACGGCCGAGCAGAGGAGAAGGCCATCTCGAAACCCACACTACGCCTTTCCAACCTCCCGCCGAGTACATCGCCAGCCGTCATCAAGGCGCTAATACCACCCAACTTGACGGTCGAGAGCGTCAAGATTGTTCCGCCATCTGGCCCCCAAGGGACGGAGCGCAAGTCCATTGCTGCCATCGTCACCTTGTCCAAGGAAACACCCGCAACAGAAATTGATGCCGCTGTGAGCGCGCAACAAAATCGTTATCTCGGTTATGGTTACTTCTTGTCTCTACACAGACATCTTTCATCAGCGGCCATTGCGTCGGGCTTGACGACCGTTCAGACTTCTACAACAGTATCACGTCCATTCGGCGCAAAACGTGTGGAGGAAAAGCCGGGTGGCCATGGCCCGCATCACGGAGGTTATAGTCGCAACTATGCTCCCCCATCACATTATGGTCCTCCAGGAGCCGCTATCAACAGAAGCGGTCTGCTCCATGTTCCCGTAAAGCCTCCACGAGACATCAGGACACTGCGCATGATTCACAAGGTTGTCGAGTCCGTTTTGGAGCATGGACCAGAATTTGAGGCTCTTCTGATGTCTCGACCAGACGTTCAACGAGAAGAGAGGTGGGCATGGATCTGGGATGCTCGCAGTGAGGGCGGCATATGGTATCGTTGGAGGCTATGGGAGATCGTAACTGGTTCCCAAGCAAAGAGGGGGAAGCCAAAGTATGTCCCACTCTTCGAAGGAAGCCACGCCTGGAAGGCGCCTGAGCCTCTCGCCTACGAGTACACAACATCAGTGGACGAGATCGTCTCAGATTCGGCATACGACACGGACGAAGAAGACGACTTCGAGGATGAGCAGAAAGAGCACAACGACCAAGAAGACACCTTCCTCAACCCCATAGAAAAGGCCAAGCTAGCGCACATGCTAGCCCGCCTACCTACAACACTATCCAAAATCAGAAAAGGAGATATCGCCCGCATCACCGCATTCGCCATCACTCACGCCAGCCGCGGCGCCGACGAGATCGTCGATATGATTATCTCCAACGTCGAATCACCCTTCTCTTACACACCCGCCAACCCCGACCACCAACAACGCTCCCGCGAGCGAGAAGGCCAAGACGGGAACAACTCTCGCGAACCCTCGCCCGCAGTCGAAGACAAAGACAAGGACAAAACAAACGACACCACTCCCGACCTCAGCGCCGCCCGACTTCTGGGTCTCTACGTACTCAGCGACATCCTGTCCTCATCATCTACAAGCGGTATCCGCCACGCCTGGCGCTACCGGCAACTCTTTGAGACCGCTTTACGCGCCCGCAAAACGTTCGAATTGCTCGGCATGATGGCCGACAAGCTTAACTGGGGCCGCTTGCGCGCAGACAAGTGGAAGCGCAGCGTCGGGCTCGTCCTGAGTCTCTGGGAGGGATGGTGCGTATTCCCCGTCGAGACGCATGAATTCTTTGTCAAGAGCTTTGAGAACCTGCCGACGCTGAAGGCGAAGGAAGCGGAAAAGGCGGAGGCGGAGAAGAAAGCTGCTGCTGCTGCTGCTGCGGGTGGGAAGTGGAAGACTGTTGATGGACCTGCTGCTATTGCAACTCAGGCTAAGGCTACTGGTTTCTTACCTGTGTCTACACTTCCGGAGTCGTCGATGGCGGAACAGACGGAACCAGGTGGTGGTGATTCGGAGTACGTGGAACGGATGCTGGAGACGGGTGATACAGATGGAGAGATTACGCTGCCGCCAAATCATATGCAGTATAGCTCGGGGACGGACGAGTTGTTTTCGGATGATGATATTGATGGGACGCCTGATGAGGACTTTATGGCGCTTTTACGGAAGCTTACGACGGCGGATGATGGGGATGTGGTTATGGGCGAGGCCGCGGAGACATCAGCACCAGCAGCAGTACAGACTACAGAACCCAAGACGGTGGAGGCCAAGTCGGTGGCTGGATTCCAGATATCGGCGAACAAGGCGGCTCCGACGAGGAAGCGAATGCGGGCCGTGGATATGTTTGCTGGGTCGGACTCGGAGGGGGAGAAGTAGTAGATGACACTCGCTGCCCGGAGTACAGTACACCTGGAGGTTGGTTCGAGGAGGAATAAGCATACATAACCCTTATCCATGTCCATATCTAACTCTCAACTTGCAATGACCAACTTCCAAGGTTTGTCATACAGCCGAGTGTTCAGCTCGGTGAGGAAGCAGTTGCCACTTTTGGAAGCCGCTACGTCTTACACACAGCCTTGCGATATTGGAAATAATGGAAGTCGTCATGTTGGTGATACTCAGCCTCTTGCTCTTTCTTGGCTTCTTTCATCGTGTCGACGTTGGTTGCTCTTGCTCGGACGGACAAGACGACAAGCGCGCCTGTGCGTTGAACTCTTGGCTCAGGCTGCGGGATGGGTACAAGTTGGGAAAGAAGTACCCAGGTACTTCGGCTTAGTCATTTAGTTCTATCCAATGAAAACCTGCTCAAACTGGTCCGACAAGACCGCACCCCACCACCAACGAAGAGCAACCCACCAACCGCCAAGTCCACACTCGGTCCCATAACCGACGCCCATTCGTGATCCGAGTTTCAAAACATTAAAGACGACAGACGAGCCTCGAACAGTGCCTGTTGGACCCTGGCGTCTACGGCTGGTACAATCGACACCACCTCGCTGGTCTGTCTGTCTGACGTCTCGGACTTCTTGGGAAAAGAGACGCAGGTCGTCTGCCAAAGAGAAGCCAGCAGTTCCTTCCTCGTTTATAAGCTGCAGTGAGGCTGTTCAGAAGTCACAAGAACCTAGGGTAGGCAGTCACTACTACCCAGCACCAGTACCACGGAAGGAGCTTTGGTTGACACAGAAGTGTAATATCAGAACTGAACTTGATCGTCCCTTGCTTTGGCTGCTACTACCTGCTGCATTCAGGTTGCTTCCGTCCCGGGCACTGTCACTTTGACCTGCCTTGCCGCTGCCGTCGGTTCTCGACGGGACGAACTACCAACTGAAGGGACCTTCACTTGTTAGCCATCTGAAGTCTCATCCTTTACTTTCTATACTCTTTTCGTACATATACCAAAGACCAGTAGCCTTACTCAAGGATTCACGGTGACAACTGCCAACGGAAGTGTCGACTGTTCGTACCTTGAGTTCTTCATTGAAGAGAGCTCTCAGGGACGACTCCTCCGCAGGACATTAACCACGCAACCATAGCCAGCCAAAATCCTGGTCTGATAATCCACCACTGAAGTCCTGACCATATAAAATCGGTTTCGCAGTGTGGGAGCCGCCGGTGCCAACCCGATACACGGTCCCACGGATCACCCATCTGGTCTCCTGAACCGTCCAAGAACAGTTCAGGACCCAGAACTACTACCCAGACCCGACTAGAAGATCCAGGTACGACGTAACCTCCCACCAAGCATCGTGCCTTAGGTTTACCTACCAAGCACGTTTTACGCACGCGGCACACGAGGCCGAGCCGCTGGTCTCTGGTGACTGAGGTGACCGGGGGGTCCCTCAAGTCACTTTTCTCGAGCGGTTTCCACCCCTCGTTCATCCCTCACGATCTTTGACTGTCATCACTTGGAGAACGTACCACCAAGCCGCCAAAATGCCCATCATTAACGGCCAGAAGATGGCCTGGTAAGTCATTACTCCCATCTCCTTTACCTCTTCTCTCATCTTCATGCTCGTATGTTTGCCATACTGGTATTTGGTACCGGTGTGCCGTCGCACCAAACTCATCCTTTCGCTACGTTCCGAAACCCGCAAGGCTAGTCAGACATACATCTTCCAGGCTCTCTCTTTTTGGCTGACGTTCTTCTTCCTCCCCTTAGTGCGCCATGTATTCGCGGCCATCGTTCTACAAAATGTACTCATGCCACCGAGCGCGTTATGGTGCCCGTGAGGAAACCGGGACGGCCCCTGAGCCTTTGCGCTTGTCCAAATCGGCCTCCGAACTGCTCTTGCGGAGGCGGAGGTGTCAAGGTGGCGATTCCTCGAAAGCAGCAGTGTGGATGTGGTCCTGGTCACGGTAATTCCGCAGAAGACCACTCGTCTACGGCTGCTGCCCAAGGCATCCCGTCTCCTCGTTTTCATGCCTCCTCATCGACACCGGCGCGACCTGCTTTCAGGGTGAGCAAATCAGGCTCCATATCGAAGCCGCATGTCCGGTATCAGCTGCCGACGTTTGACCTAGACCTGGCGACACTCGGCCTGGCCGCACAGCACAATGCCGCCTTCGGTCCGAACATGACGGGTGTCTCTGCCGGCGAACTGATGACGAGCGTTAATCCAACGGTGCAGCTACCAATTGGGTGTCAGCCGGGATTCAACTACGAAATGGGATATCCAGCTGTCAGCGTTAATGACCCCCCGTTGAACCAACAAACGTTTTCGTCCGCACCCTCAGTGGGACATAATGGAATCGCTCAGTCACCGCCACAGGGATTCAAGACTGAAAACAGCGCTCTCTCTGAGCAAATGACCGTCTTCGCTACATTGCAGAGACAGCAAATGATCAACCGCAATGGGGTTACCGATGCCACTTTTATGGGATCGGATAGCTTCCCTCGACAACAAGTTGCACATGGTCAAAGTGTACCGGTGACTCAAAGCAGTCCATCGGCCACCCTTGGAGATCAGAGCTTTACCAGCGAGCCCTTACAATGGAACAAAGTCAAACAGGATTTGGATGCCAAAGCCAACGAAACGGAAGGGACGGGCATAGAGAGCAGCCCTAAGAAAAAGAGCTGTTGTGGCGGCAATCGTAATTCACGAGGATCTCAACAGCACGTTAATGGCTCTGTTACTGTGTCTCAGTCGGGTTATGGACAGCCTTCCGCAACCCCTTTGCAGTTCAACACTAAATCCCCTCTAGAACTCAAGCAACAGCAAGAACCTTTACCGTCCCCAGTCATGCCCTTCGGTTATCAAACCGTCTTTCGGTACCCAGAAGAGTACGGTTCCTGGAACCACCCCCTTGACCCCCAAACCTACCAACAAATAGCCCACCAAGGTGCCGCTACCGCACAAGCATCCCAACAAGGAGCCGACCTCACCCTTGATCTGTTCCTTTCCGGCGGAGGAGGTGCTGGCGCTGGGACAAGTCACGAATGCACTTGCGGTCCCGGCTGTCAATGCATCGGATGTGTCGCACATCCTTACAACACTCAAACCATTCAATACGTCCAGGACGCTTACAACTTCAACATTGCTAGTCCCATCGGCAGTCCCGGTGGTCAGAACCATCGCGGTAGTATCGACTTTGCTGCTACTGCCGGGGTTCACCAGCAGCAACAGCAACAATACCAAATCAGCAGCCCTACTCTTGGTCCTAGAAACGGCCAACAGCAGCAACCCCAGCAGCAACTGCCACCCGATTCGCCAGTCGAGGCCCAGACGCCCAGCGACGCATCAGGGACCCCCAGTGATGAACAGTACCTCTCCACAGCGGACTTTCTGTGGGCGACCATCCCACTACCTAATTGTGCCGGCGAGTCTTTATCTTGTCCGTGTGGAGATGATTGTGCCTGTATTGGGTGTATGATCCACGGGAACGCGGTGCCGGCTTTGGCTTGTATTGGAGATGGGTTGGAGCAACAACAGGCGTATGACATAGGTCAAAATCAGCAGCAACATCAGCAACACCAGCAGGTTCAAAGCCATTGCCGGAGTCAAAGCCAGGGTCACGAGGGTATGATGCCCATGCCGGATGGATTACCACAGGGAATGATGGATAGTGGCCCTTCGAGTGTGATTCCCCTCGCTCACCGAGGCTTGGGAGACATGAGCGGTTTGAACGTTCCTAACGGCGGCGGCATGAGCAGTGATATAAACAGCGCCATGTCCAGTCCACGCACGCCTCACACGCCCCGTGGTATCGACGGCATCCTCAGGGCTGCTGCCAGTGGCGGTGATGGTGTTGGTAACAGTGGTGGTGGTGGATGTTGTTGCGGAGGTAGAGGAGGTGGTGCAGGCAGGAGCACAGAAGTGTCCGTCCCTTAGGAAGTGGGGACCACAAGTGATTTACCCGAGCCTTTGAGCGGGGATGGGGAAGAGCCCAAGGAGTCGGTGATGGGTGGGGAGAGTAAAGAAGGGGAAAGGGATGAGAAAATAGAGCAGGATTAGGTTGCGGGATGAACAGCGGTTGGGAGTGGACATATAAAATTCCCCAAACCCCGATTCAAGGAATATATATCGTAGGGGTAGCGAGTTAGCGAAAGCGAAGGACGGTGGATATGGGCTGGTGCAAACGTATATATACCCATACCCATTAGCCGGATAAACAAGGCTGGCAGCAACATAACGAATACAAAGAGCCTTGATGGCATTTCTCCTCTCACACTCTCTCATGAACCTGACGATGATGAGCTCACTGAGCGCATTTATTCCCCCCCCCCCCCACAGATCATCCGTGACCAAGGCATCGATATCAGAGGAATCGGCTTATAAGTACAGCACTTGAGCCAGATGGACGCAGTGAACACAGTAGCGGCGCAGAAATAGGCCGATCCCTGATTGGTTTTGTTGCAGTCGATCAGCGCGCGTTTGAGCAAGTAACTGCTGATTTATGCTCAGAAGTCGCTCGCCCAGTAACGTGCAAACATGCAGAAGATGCACACTCAGAAGTACCTAATCCACATGAAGATGAACACGAGGCGCGGCTAGCAGTAGTATATATCAGCTCAGCAGAGTCGCAGTCACAGTTTCTTTTCAAGCATTCATCGTAAAGAATTGCATCCCAAAAGCTGATTATAAATACGAAGAAGATATCCCCAAAATATACAAGAAGGTTATGAAGAGAAGAAGAAAGAAAGAAAACCAGGGCGTCCAACGCTCAAAAAATATTAACAGTGATATTTCCGTAAAAAGATCCCGACGCAAGAAACATTTCGTATAACCAACCGTTGACGTCCCGTCCCGTTTTCCCAGTATTGTTGTGTTGTGTTGTCTAGAAAAAAGATCCAAATCCCGTCTCCTGTCTCCCGTCTCCCGTTTAATCGATCTTTTCAGTTGCTCCCTTCCTCGCTGAGAAACATCTCATCCAATTCTTCCCGACCTCACCTCCCCAATGTTTCTTCTCATCACTCTTCATCCTCGTCACCTCAATGTCATCCCATCCATCTCGGTTCTGGTATCTCACCACTTTCCGTTTCCTTCCCCCCTACCGTTCAATTTTCTCCCCTCAAATCTCCAACTCAGCCTCTCTCTCACTTATGACCCCCTCGAACCCCTCTGTTCATGCCGTGGTTCCATCCCGTTCTCATACCGCTGATAGGGCGGTAACGCAGTCGACACCGAGCTAACATCCGACATGGATATCGAGTATCGATCTGGTGATGGCGGCTCGTTTGTCCTCCCCGTTCCATCATATCTTAGTTCGAGGTTTAGTCCGCTCGAGGCGGGGGCTGCGGGGGCGTAGTTGGGGTTGATGTTGGGGTTTATGTTCCTGGGGGTTGGTGTGGGTGTTGTGCTGCCGCTGTGGCTGTGGCTGTGGCTGTGGCTGTGGCTGTGGGGATTCGTGGGGATGTCGGGGTATATGAAGTTTGTTCCGGGGATGGTAGGTAATGGTGGTAGGGCTGATTGTTGAAGGGAGAGGTTTTGGTGGTGGTGTTGAAGGGGGATGGGTTGTCGTTGGATTAATGGGTATTGTGGGTTGTCGTTTGATCCGTCTGCTGCTAGGGATAGATAATCGGTTTTCCCGCCGCCGCCGCCGCCGCCGCCTCCAGTGGGAGGTGATGTTCCTTGTGAAATATGTAGAGATAAATGTTGAGGCTGTTGTTGCTGTGATCGTATGGAAGGATATTGTACACCATCCGCTGCTCCGTCCGACGCCAAGGCTAGATAGTCACCTTTCACGGGCGTAGGTAGGTTTACCCCTTGCGGTACTAGAGGTATATTTCGTGGGAAGTCGTAAAGGTGTTGGTATTGTTGTTGTTGTTGTTGTTGTTGTTGTTGTTGTTGTTGGCTGTGTTGGGTTTGTTGTTGATTGGGACGATATTGTGGTCCATCTGCTAACAAGGCAACTTCGGGGTTTAGGATGTCGTTTTCGGCGAGGGGAGGTAACGTCCCCTGTGTCAGATTTCGTTGATGACGGTTTGGTTGATATTGTTGGGTTGTTTGGTATTGTTGATGTGGAATGTTGTTGTGGAACTGATGAGCACGGTATTGCGGTCCATCGGCTACTAGTGCTGCCCCGATATCTATCTCATCTTCGCCTATCGGAGAAACTGGGGCGAAGTTTGAGTTTGTCCCGCCTGGTCGGGAAGTATTGTTGCTGCTGACGGTGCTCACCGATAGTTGGCGAGCTGGTACTGATGTGTTCTGGCTAACTGGTCTTCGTGGCTGGATCGCGCTGGACTGGATTGCGCCGGACAGGTATGGCCCATTTCCGGCCGTCGAGGACGTCATTGCTGTCACGTTACTACGGATCGAAGCGGTGCGGGTGATGACACCCTCACTTGACGGTCCTGATCGGTCGGGATGTGGTCTCGGGGCTTCGATGACTGGCGAGGAGGCATCGCTAAGTTTTGATTCCATGGTATCGGCACGCTCGAGGGAGTTTAGAACTTCAATGCACTTAGAATTTTTAGTGTAGTTTCTCTCGAAGATTCGTAGGACGGTGAGCATGACGGTGGCGAGATAGGTGAACCTTTAAGATGTCAGTTATCATGGTCTGGTATAAAGGGCGGCGAGATGATAAGACATCATGAACTTACACAAGCCCGAGAGCAATAGCATAATACGATCGTTCAAAAGTACAAAACCTGTCCATTTCGCCTTTTCCTCCATCATAACCAGAGGTAAATCCAGGCGTAGTAAAGCCCGGTCGAGGTTTGTACACCTGGTGATGATCATCCTCTTTGGTAGTAGTCAATCCACCACAGTGAGAAGGAAGCCCGGCATTAGCAAGAAGGGTGATAACTGCTAGATCAACCCCGCAAAAGATGATATCGCCCATGATAAAAGTGATAAGCCAACCCGTCTTCTTGGATCGGTGGCCACTATGCTGGATGAAGACTGCGAGTGTAGCATAGACAAGGGTCATACAGATCTATCCGTGATGTATGTTAGCTGACGTGTTCTCGGCGATACAGGAGAAAGACTCCTACAGAAAGCTTACCAACAACTCCGGGATGAGCATGCTGTTAGTCATTCCAAGGTGTCCGGTCTTGAAGACGGTTGCAGTGACGAAGCCGTTCATGGTCGCTCCCACCAGAGCGGCAGCGATCTGGAACGCTCGCATGACTACGAGCCATGATGAAAGTTCCCACGCCATTGCTGCTGGCTAGGCTCGCAATGACGAAGTCTGATGTGATACGAGTAAGTGTGGTTGGGTTGAGCCGCTTATCTAGCAGCCAACATAAGCATTTGAATGATCAAGAGACAAAAGAAGCAGATATGATGCGGAAGGTCAAATGGTTTTGTTAGAAGCTTGAGACCATCAAGGTTCTAACTACACAAGGCGAAGTTGAATGAAGGACGGGACTAAGATCGTCGATGATCCGGCGCTTGAGGAAGGATGTGGGGGAGTCCAGACTGGTGATACTTGACAGCTGAAGGGAACTGCCCCGGTAAGATGAATGGACCGATGGAGGCTGTGTTTCCCTGTGCCCCCAATGTCAAGAGGTCCTGTCCCACTCGAGACAAAGAGGCCATGCTGACTGGCCTACATCGTACAGCCCAACGGCAGTGGACTACCACAGACGGGAATTCCTGCTTGTAGATGTAGGGCTCTTGGAGTTCCATCCGCGGCGCCAACGGGGCAAGTGATGGAGAGGTCCGGGCAAAGTGAAGAGCCGAGTGGACGAGACCGAGCAAGATGGGCCTTTATGTTGTGGTACAGACCCAAAGCAGTGACCATCGCTGCCGTGTTCGGTTCGTAGAGAGGTGATGGTGGTGGTAAGCTCGAGAGGCTGCATGTTGTGTCACTTTCGGGAGTTTCCTTCTCGACGATCCCACATGAAACAAGCTAGTTTCCCAAGAAGCCTTTCTGGATAGGAGTCCTAGAAAGTCCACAAGCTATGATTAGATGAGGGCGTGATAAATGTTGAAAAAGAGGAACATAATAGGAGGCCGCGTCATCGTCAGAAGCTAAGTGGGAGAAGTGGCAGGCATTCCCAAGTGTTAAAGCCGCTGGCGATGGGGGGCACAGCCCCTTTTTAGTGGATGACAGGGGTTCATCACAACGTCTCGATAGGGCAACCGAAGCGGTGCCGAGCGTGCCTGACGGACGGGCAGTGGCGAGACAAACGTCAAAATGCTAATTCCAACCTATGTCACCTTAGCCAGGCAGCAGAGACTTGAAGAGACAAATTGCCCTTTCCCATCTGTGAATGCCCTCTTACCTAATATGTGCTTGTCTGTCACCGGCTTCACGAATCACTTCTTGTCTTGATCTGATTCTTGATCCGAGGTCCCTAAACATCCGTCAATCATGACTGAAGACTCAATATTAGAGGAGTGGACTTGGTGTCCGCCCTCTTCCTACGCTTCTGGCAATGTGGGACATCCTTCCACGTCGTGAATCTTCTGATCCTTCTCAATGATCATATCCTGGCTATCAGCACCATATTTTCGCACACCTTCTCACTTGTCTTGACGGCATTGCAAGTACAACGCGACTCGTGGGCCCGTGGGTCGAAAATCACCAGGAACGAAAAATCGTTGGGCAAAGGAACTGGTCCAAGTTGGATTGCCTTTCGACAGGCTGGCCGCCAATATGGGTATCATTGTCTAGATCGTATTTTGAAATGATGTCGATTCTTCGAGCACCGCTCTTGTAATGCTCTCGACTTCCGCTCAGCTTGGGAATCAAGCTCATGCGTCCGCCTTGGCCGCCGCCTTCTCCTCCTCGGTCGGCCACCGCACAGTCCAGCCAGTGACGGTCTTGCGAATCTCCTCATCACCAGGGTCGTTCTCGAACAGAGGCTTCTCGGTCTTGACTTCGAGGAACTTGTCCACAATGAAGCCTCTCTCGCGGGCCAGATCGAAGAAAGCCAAGTCCTTGTGCTGGAGCCATGGGCGGTACGAGGTAAAGACAACGAACGCCTTGCTGCCGGGCTTCTTGTTCAGTGTGAACTGGATGGTGTCGACCAGCTTGCTGTGCTCCGAGTGACGGAAAAGAAGATCGGCCAAGATCAGAATATCGAACCCGATTTCTCCCTCCTTCTGTTCACCCAAGTGGGCGAGCAATGGAGCCTGCTTGGCGCCCCAGACGTAGCCGTCCGCAACAATGTTGCGATCCTCCTCGCGGTCGACAGCCAACATGGGGCAGCCACGGATGTTCTTCCACATAACCTCCACAATGTCCGGATCCGGGAAGTCGGTCACGACAACCTTCTTGGCTCCAAGCACAGCAGCCACCAAGCTGGGCAAACCGGCAGCGGCGCCAATTTCAAGGACGGTCCGGTCCTTGACCTCCTCGGGGTGCTCCTCAAAGTACTGTGAGATGATGACGGCTCCGTTCCAAAGGGTGTGAGCCTCGAGAGGGCTGTGGCCGACAAGGTGCAGTGTAATGTCGTCGCCATTCTTCATGGTGTAGTGCTCAGTAGTCGGGGGAGGCGAAGGAGGGTAGAAGTCAGGGGGGTCCTCGAAGAGCCCGCCGGCCTCGATGTCAGAGCCCTCATCTTCGGGAACTTGGTTGACAACCTCGTCAGATTTCGACATGGTGGATGAAGTTTTCGGATTTGGAGTTTGTTGCAGTAAGTTATGCACACCTGAAAACTTTGAAGCACAACACTGTGAAGATGAAAATGGCACCCAAAACGCTGAAACCCACTGCAAGATTCACGGTCATGTGACCGGCTGGCAACTTGGGAGTTGTAACTCAACGTGGTCTCACTTTACCATCACCAGCGACTATATTCTCTTTCTCAATAATAATTCAAAGACACGAGCCAATTGTCCAGCAGGGTGAGGCAGACTGTTGTTTTGCGAAACAGTCTTCCTGAACGCTCTGCTCAACGGTCTGAGCGAAACGGTACGTAAACGGAATGCCACAGAAAAACGGTGCATTGGCGACCGTTTAGCCACTGCCATCCCTGACTTTCCATGCTCTTCCGTTTTGCTGGGATATCAACCATCCTGCATCCAGTTCATCTCTTTTCAAACTTCCAACTTCAAATAATTTTCAACATTCAAATTATTCGTCATTGCTTCGGACTTACCAACCTCTAATCGACTAGAAATCCGGTTAAGTGGCAAATACCAACACAATCCCTGTTTCATCAAGTCGTTGGCAACTCCTTTGACAACTGGAGATCAACAAGTGGGACTCACCTTAATACGACGACATACCGCTCCGGACGACGAAATACTGAACATAACGCGGTCCAAAACGATTCAAAAGTCAACGAGTTGATATTGAAGCCCAGAGAGAAGAATTGGGTTCCAAGGCCATACGCCGACTAAAGCAAATTATGGGCTCAAACGCCGACGGCCACCGATACAGGTCGCGGTCACCTCTCCCAGGTGGCTCGAGATCTGTACATCACGACAGGAGGAGGTCAAGATCGCGGTCAGAAAGACTCGATGACAAACGGGAACGCAGACATGGAGAGGGACGTGATAGACATCAGGAGCGATCAAGAAGTCGAGACCGTGAGAGGGACAGAGACAGGGATCGCCACCGGCGGCGGCATGAGGACAGAGATACCTCTGTAGACCGCAAGAGGAGGCGAGAAGAGGGCTCTCATCACAGACACCATCACCGATCAGAACGACACAGAACCTCCCGCTCCCCTTCCCACAAACGATCCAAGGATGAACCGCCCAAACCCCTCCCCTTCAACTCCCGCCAGCTCTCCCGCTCCGATTACCCCAACTTCGAGCCCCTCTTCGCCCACTACCTCGACATCCAGAAACAACTCTACATCGACGACCTAGACGACCACGAACTGCGCGGCAGATGGAAGAGCTTCGTCAAGAAGTGGAACCGCGGCGAGTTGGCAGAGGGGTGGTACGATCCCGAGAGATTCGCCGGAGCGGCCAAGGAGGCGGCAGCAGAGGGGAGGGTACCACGTTCCATCACTGAAGCAAGCAGCAGTGCGAAAGACGGAAAAGACAGAAAGGAGAGGGGGGTCTCAACGATGTCTGAAGGCGACGTCCCCGAGCCAACAACAACAGCCAGACCATCCATCGAAACAACCGACACCCCCCTCATGACCGACACCAACCCGCCTCAAAACCAAAATCAAGAAGACGACGACGATGGCGCCTCAGACTCCGACTACGGCCCCACCCTCCCCGGCCAGTCCTCTTCCACCCGTCACTCCCACGCCCACGGCCCGACCATCCCCTCCCTCACCGACCTGACCCTCCACCGCGAATCCCTCGCCGAAGAATCTGCCAGCCAGCGCGCCTCCTCCCTCGAAGCCCTGCGCGCCCAACGCAAAGCCGACCGCGCCCTGCAAAAGCAACGGCTTGAAGACCTGGTCCCGCGGGCCGACGCCGGCACGCGCGAGCGTCGTCTCGAGAAGCGCAAGGAACTCAACGAAAAGCTAAAATCCTTTCGGGAACCGTCGCCGGGTGGTGGGGAGGTGGCTGAAAGTGAACTGATGGGTGAAGGGGAGGGAGGCGGACTGGAGGAGTATAAGAGGATGATGAAGAGGGAGGAGGTGAAGAAGACGGAACGGCAGTTGAGGAGGGAGGAGATGGAGCGGGCGAGAGCGGCGGAACGGGAGGAGAGGATTAGGGAGGCGAGGGAGAGGGAGGATAGGGTTATGGAAGGGCTGAGGGCACTGGCGAAGGCGAGGTTTGGATAGGGCTGTTGGGTAGTGAGTGTATGGGGATTGGTATATGGGGGATATGGGTGAAATGGTTCTTTTTTTTTTTTTTTTTTTTTTTTTTTTTTTTTTGGTAAATGGGGTGAGACATAGTCTATTGCACTTCTTGGTTTGATGAAACGAGACAAACAAAAGCGCGGCGTAGGATGGATAGATCGATTGCTTGGGTTTGTTGTTGCTTTTATCGACATTCGTTGGCTTCACGAAATACAAAAAAAGATGGATAACAATGGAGAATGGACTGTGATCAGCAGATACTCTGTAATGTGGTCCTCTTCCTTACATGTGATTTCATAGTGTGCTTTACACAACAACCGTCATTCTAAAGCTATTTATATTGATTCCTTTTCATGATATCGTTGATTTGTCTTCTTAGGGCCTACATTACTTTCTTCATCAGAACAACGGTGTTCAAAATAATCCAAGCGATCTGATTGGTGGAACGGATGCCGGAAAGACTTCCCTGTTTACGACTTCACCTTGGCAGTTGGTCCTGTCTTTTTCTTGTAGCATAGAGTAAAGCAAGCAACGAGCCAAAGGAAGCGAAACCCGGGCATCCAAATCGAAACATTATAAAAAGCCGTGCCAGTCCGAACTTGGACGGAAAATTCACCACGGCATTTACCTTAACATCAACCCAAGCGCACCTGGCGAACACGTACATACCTAGGTATCAACCTCGACGCTACCACAACATCCCAACCCGAGGTAGTTCATTCAAACTTCAAGATATTACCTTAACCACCTTTCTACACTGCTGTGCTCAAAACCACCTACTCTCTCAAATTCCGCCAAGGTCAGATACACCTCAACCCTCATCACTCTCACCATCCCTCCGCTAACAAAACCCTCACTCAGCTCCTCACCTCCCATCCCATTTGCCCAACACCTTACAAGTACCGACCAAGATGCCGTTTCTCGGCGGCCTTCCCACCTCCCACCTCCCCCTCCTCCTCCACCTCATAATCGAAACCCCCGCCTCGCTCTCCTTCCTCTTGCGTCCCGAATCGCAACTCCCTCTTCTATCGTCTCACTCTTCTTCCTCCATTCCCTCCTCCTCCATTACATCCGCCTCCTCAAAGAGCACAAAGCAGACCACAAAAATCACCCCCAAAGAAGCTGTCGAAGCCCGCCTCATCCTTTCCAACTTCGGCGGTCTTCTACTGACCGTCAACTGCCTGATTATCCACCTTCTGTTACGGTATAGGGGCCCGGGCCCAGGAAATGAGGAGCTGATTAGGGGAGTTACCGGGTGTCTGAGTCTTTACCACGTGTTTCCGCAGTACAGAGCTTTGCGGAGGATCGGTATGGGTTTGGACATCTATATGCCGTATATGGGCTTCCCTGCGCCCGCGGGGGATGAGAAGAAGGGACTGAAAGAGGACAGGGAGGAGGATGAGACACAAAAGACGCTTGGCGGACCGGTGGTGCATTTTATTGTTCATATGATTGTGGGGGGGTTGATGAGTGCTGTTGGTTTTGGACTTTTGTGAGGTGTGTGTGGTATGTATGGATGGATGGATGTTATCAAGGAGTTGAATGGGTGAAGAGTGTGGGAAGAGTATGTGCGAAGAGACCACTTGGGAGTTTGGTCAGTGGCGCAGGTTTGGTCAAGTAGTAATGGCATGCTTGTGCTGGTGCAACTGGAGGTGAATAGAAAGTAGAATCGGTTACGTGTCTATCTATCCATGAAGCTATCCTGCTTTTAATCGATTCACTCGCACTCATCCTCGGAGAAAGAGGGAACCTGATATGCCTTCCTGAATCGTAAACATAAACTCATAACATCTATACCGCGCCAAATCTTCCTAAGCCTCAGTCCTGATAGCGCTCTTGACTGAGCATGTACTGTGTAGCCACCAACTCAGAGACTGTTCCTGCTCCGTCTGCTAAACTTCCTTATGATCGGAATGTCCTGGACGTGAGGAATATGAGGCATGTGAGGGATATGGAACCCATGTTCATGTTCCTGATATCCATCCTCATCCTCATCCTCATCCTCATCCTCATCCTCCTCGCTCTCTTCCTCTGCTGCAAAATCGCGCTCATCAAACCCATGATACTCCCTCTTCTTCGCCACCTCAAAGCCATGACAATGGCCAGTAGTTCTCTCGTCCTTCTCTTTGCCTTTCTCCTTGGTTCCACACCGAGATTCCGTTTCCTGGGCTTTCTAAGCCACATGAATTTCTCCCGGGCCCTGATCGCGGCTCTCTTGAGAATCCCCACTCGAATCCAGCCTAGAACTACCGCTCTTATGCCCCAGTCCAGTACCAGGTTCAGTAGAAGTCTCACTCCCACCAACAACATGACCACCACCACCACCAACATCCAACGGTTCCAACCCCAACCCCACCTCCACCATCTCCTTCCCCTGCAGTCCCATAAGCGGAATACTACCAACCCCGTTCCTCTCCTAAAAGGCCGGAATATGATTACCCACGCCCTTCTGCTCCGCGAAATCCACCAGCTGCATGCCGACCGTCAAGTCCATTAATCCCAAGCCGACGCTCTTGTAGATGACGTTGCCCTTTTGCAGCCAGCGGGCCAGCTCGTCTTCCTTCTCCTTCTTCTTCTTCTTCTTTTCCTTCTCTTCCTTCTTTCTCTGTTCGTAGTCGGCGTCGGCTGAGTCGGGGTTGCGGCTGCGACTGCGGGAGCGGGAGGCGCCGCGGACGAGGTTGTGGATGGACTGGACGGAGAGGTGGCGGCTGTGGCGGGGGCGCTTTTCTTTTTCACTGCTTTCTTTGCTGCTGCTGCTGTCCTTTTCTTCGGTGGGAGCGGAGTTGATGGTTAGGGTGGAGGCGGATGCTGAGAGGGAGTCGGTGTCGACGTCTGTTGAGGCGCGGCTAGAGTCGTCGGATTCTGAGAGCTTGATTCGATGGAGCATTACTAGTTCTCCGAGTCTGTGAATGTTTTCGTTAGCATTATCCACCAAAAGAACGAAGCAGGAAGAGGGAAGACATACTCAACCAAATGCCTCGGTCCCAACCCAGCCTCAATCAACTCCCCGGCCTCTTTCAACGCCCCATCCAGCGTATCAACCACCACCACGCCGCCCTCCACCGCTTGCTTTGAAAGGTTAATAATCCTCTTCCCCGCGTGATCGTGAATCTTGACCGCCTGCTGTATCAGCTCCACCGGCACCTCCCTCATCTGCGGCGTATAACTCCCAATCGCCACAATCAGCCTGCCCTTCCTCCTCGCGTCCCTTTCCGTGAGGATATTCCCATCAAACAGCGGCACGGTACTGGGCGTGCAGCAGAAAATCACATCCGCGCTCCGCACCTGGTCCCTCATCAAGCGCTCATAGTCCCCATAGCTAGGCGTCAAAACGCCAAACTGCGTATCCGTCCAGCCCTCGCGCGCTTTCGTGGCAGGCGAGACCCCGTAGAACCGCCGCAGCATAGCGCCGCAAGAGGGCGAGAAGCGCCGGTTGATCACGTTGACATGCTTGATGGTGGACCCGCGCAGGAGTAAGGTGAGGCGCACGTGCCAGTAGGCTTGCTCGCCGCAGCCGAAGACGGTAATGGTCTTGACGTGGTCGCGCTTGTGCACCAGGCACAAGGAGGCCAGCGCGGTGCGGAAGGCGGTTACGGTGCTGGCGTGGATGATACCCCGCGGGGAGCCGTTGGGGTTGAAAAGCGTGATGGCGCCCGTGGGCCGGATGAGCGGGTTGGAGGCGTCTTGGCCAGCTTCTTCTTCTTGCGTGGACTTGACTATTTGCTCGGCGGAGGAGAGGGTGATGACTGTGGGGGGTTGTTAGTATCTTGTCCTGCGATGATAAGAGACATACATGCATGGATGCGAAAACGTACCTTTGACTCCGTGACCGGCCGGACTACATGATGGCATAAACAGAGTGGTGGCGCCGGTGACACCACTGCGGACTACCGTTCGCTCAGGCTGGTGGATGAGAGCTTGGCCGGGCGTTTGAGCTCCGGTAGAGTATTCGTGGAGAGCATCTCTAAGGTTCTTGCGGAATGACTCGAACTCGTCGATTGTTAGGTTGTCCAACAGCGACCTGATTTCGTCGTCGGTAAGGATGGAGAATGTCATGGCGTGGCTGAATGATATATCGAGTTTAGTCCTTCTTGGGGAATTTGGAGACAGAAGGATCTCGATGTTCCCCGATATCAGATATCAAGTGGGATATCCAAGTTGTTGGATGGTGAGGTAATGTTGAATTGTTGATCCGCCAAGCCGCGCTGTCCAGCAGGTAGAATAATCCGTCGGGTTCCATGGTTTGCATGTCCGTCATCTGTTAAACGGTCGGGTCGGGTTGGGCTTCCACTTGGTTCCCCCATCCCCGGGTCAACGGTCTAGATTTAAGAAGGGGAATCGGATAAAATTGACACTTTTTTTTTTCACATCTGGATCGGAAGGCAGTCCCCGGCTTTCTTGCTCTGGTCCGGCAAGTGAGCCCGGTGATAAATTTCTACAACATTCACTTCTACCTATACTGCTACTACACCTACAACCTTTGGACAAAACCATAACGACTCGTTTGCTACTCTCAAAGCCATCCAAAACATCTTTCGCAATCATCATCCGAACCCCCCCATCACCCATCGACCTCTCCCTTGGGGATCGACCCCTTCCACCATCACAGTGGACCTTTTAACATCAGACGACGTTCCCAGACCATTACAGCGGGCTTCCCTGACGTCGTCAGCTTCATGCCGGTGGGTTTTGGAGTAAATTCAAGGGACTGCTTTCAATGCCGAACGTTCGCCCCCCAAGAATCCATCTAAGATTAGTATCCTCGAAAGATCCAGACCTAGACACGTGCGCCTTCATCAATGGTTTATCTTTTTTTTCTATCACCTAGAATTTCTCACGTCATGGCCGGAAACCGGAGGGCATTTCATGGTGGGGTTCCCCAAACTAAATGAGGGGTAGAGTGGAAGAGACAGGGTTAGGGTCAAATATGCCAAAGCCAAGAGGAGCGGAAGTTACCTACTTGTAAGGACACTGTCCGATAACGCCGACAAGGGTTCACGCCACGGGCAAGCCTGGAACTTCAAACAACCAAACAATGCACTTTGTCAATTGTTTGCCTGTATGTCTTGAATTCCCATATGGACTATTGAAATCCAGAAAACTTGACCGCCAGTGTTTTTTTTTCTCTGTCTGTAATTAGCAATCTCGCATCTTTTTCGCTTTCGAGTCATGTTCTGTCCATCCCCTCTGTCCATCAACGGTCGCACGGAACCCGCGGAAGTTACCTCTATCGATATGGAGTGTCTTGTAAGTCGTGATATCCTATTGGTCATTTCTGATCATCCGTCGTCAACAACCAGGCAGTCTTGGGGAGGCTCTGGGTCAATATCTTCGATATAGAGGGCAATTGGGAAGATCATTAACGCTTTGAAGAGGCAGAAGACCATGTTGCTAGATGTTGATCATGTATTTCTCAAAATATCCCGGAAACTAACTCAACTCTCAACTCCTTGCAATGATGCTACTCCGTAGTAGAAGTCCGCGATAAGGATGTAAACCAAAATGAGGAGGATGTCGGACTGTCAGGATCTTGTGCTGCTGCTCCAGCCTTCTTCCCAAGTCCCTCCATCCATGATTCCCTCCAACAGCAAAACCATGCTCAAAATACCCAAAAATGCAAAACATCTCATTGCCGGCCATGTCAATGCCCTTTGCCCGGCCCGCTCAACAACCCGAGAGATCGCCAAGACGATCTCGCTAAAGTTTCCCCGCAAAATCAACCTCAACCTCAACCTTGTTCTTGTTGACTTTTGTACTTTACTGCGCAGCAGCAATCTCAGCCTCGCCATCCTGTCCAAACACAAGCTGACCATGCTTGCCCCTAACAACATGGTCACCCTTTCCCGCGTGAGCCGTGCCGCACCCGAGCTCCTTGATGCGTCCGCAGCCGATATCAAAGAACACACCATGGACCTCGAGCCCGCGCTCCGCAATGGCTTCCCGGATCGTAGCATTGTTCATGAGCACCTTGATACCCGCCTCGACGTTGAGCTGGGCGAGACGGACGATGCGCTCCTTCTCGTCTGTGATGGCGTCGAGCTCTTCGGCGTGGTTGAAGCGGAGTGTCTTGAGAGGTAGTAGCCAGGTGTCGAGGACACCACCAACGCGGGTGTCGGGGAGGGCGCCAGCGGCTCCACCGCAGGCTGAGTGGCCGCAGAGAACGACGTGCTTGACCTTGAGATGGGCGACGGCGTACTCGATCACGGCAGTGGTGTTGATGTCGGTGGGGGAGACGATGTTGGCAATGTTGCGGTGGACGAAGACATCGCCGGGTTGCATGCCGAGGATGGTGGTCTCGGGGCAACGAGAGTCGGAGCAACCGATCCAGACTGTTGTGACCATGTTAGACCGGATCGAAGGGGGGCAAGGTAAGTGGGATAGAATCAAGACTTACGGATCTCCGGAGACTGGCCGCCAGCCAGCTTGGGGAAGAACTGGGGGTTCTGATGGGCCTTGTAGCCAGCCCAAGCATTGTTGGAGCTCAAGGCGTAGTGGAATGTGTTATCGGAAGACATTTTGAAAGATGAAACGAGTTTGGGTATCAAAGGTTGAAGAGACGAAGCAAGAGAGACGTCACGCTAAACTATTGGTTTGTGTTAGCCAGCAGTGTTATGCAAAGCAAGAGGTGCAGCAGGACTGAAGCGGGGAGGACGAACTTGAGACTTTGGACAAAAAAGTTGCTCGAGTGAAGAAAGAGGATGATAGGATCGTTATATATGAAAAGAAACGCGAACCGGCAGCTTAAATGGAGGAGTGGAGGAGTGATATAAATAATATGAAGCGGGTATCAAAGGTACCAGGTAAGCTTAGTGCCGGGGGGTTCTGAGTAAATTTGAGGAGCTCGAGATCCGCCTGCGGTCCACGCATGTGTAAGTATAGGAAATTGTAGATCCGAATGTATTGGACCACGATAACAGGACATCTAATCGTACGGCATGTGGTGTCCGAGCGATTTTCCGTCTTGTGGAACAAGAAATGAATGGGTGGTGAAGGGGGCATGTTGTTGAGCTGACCAGTGGTCTTGTGTGGTTCGTCAGCCGGACCAAGTAGAATGATCTTCTCTTCCTCCAACCCTCTTCTTCTCAAGCCCCAACACCGGTACCAGACTTCTGGAAACTGGATGCCCTTCAGTTGCGATCTTCCAGAAATGGAGGCTGCAATCTCTTGGGATGCCCGGTATCCTCATCAGGTCCCCGTATGACGGTGGACTGGTTTGTAGCTGAACCCCACTGGTTCACTTTGAGGTTTGCGCGATCCGATGGGTCGGGAGAGGCTGAATGTAAGGTCCCGGAGTATAGACATCCACAATCACAGGCCAAGAATAGGCCCGTCACCGACATGGACGGTATTTTTGGAGGCAGTTTGACTTTTTGACTTTGTTGTCTAGGGAAGTGCCAAGAGAGATTGGGACCTACCAGGTGGATACGCTTTTCAGGAGGTCGTCGTCGTTAACTCGGCCGTAGTCTGAGATGCGAAGAGCGCGAGATCGTGTTGTTGATATCAGGGAGAGAGCGAGAAGGAGGGCAATGGATCAAAACTGAACAGAGGAACTTCAAGAACAAGATATCGTCGAGGACTGCAGCTGCCCGTCGGAGGGGGGGGACACCCGCCGGCTTTTGTAGATGAACTCTAGATTTCCCCATATTCTTGAACTGGAAAGCCAACCCCTGCTTGTTTGACCTCGTCTGGAGTTTAGTCCAGGATAAGAAGTGTTTGCTCAACAAAATGCCAGGAAGGCGCTTCTGTCTTCAGCATTGTCACGGTGTAAGGCCGAGTGGGAGGAGTTGGGATGCAGATGTCAAGGGTGGCCAGAGCGTGCACCACCGTAACCAAACTTTGGGAGGCACCACCCACGCCCCGGCCAGCCACTGTGAACGGCGCCTGCCTCGCCTGTGAACCGTGAAGAACCCCTCTCAGCCGAGCCGGCGCCGGAAAGATCGGGTGGAGGGATGGACCAAGCCGAAGAGCTCTCGCGACTCCCGGACTCATCATGGGTGCCCCGGTCCCGTATCAAATGCATCCACACACATCGATCCGAACCAGAGGGACACGGGGGCTCGAAGGGAGATGGCAGTGGGTGGTAACAGCGCAGCTGTCTCAGCTGTCAGAAGATTATGATGAATCTGGGTGGAATAGAAAGCATTGTTTTGTGGTCATGTGCCGTCGCGGAGGGTTAACTCTGAGATGGCTATATCCCAGATGCTTTGCGCAGAAACTTTCTGATAGCTTCGAATCCATCATGGATCACCCATTGTCCGGCTTTAAAAGTAGCAGATAAGCTTCACACTTCCCCAAATGCCAACAGCGGATCCGGTTCGCCGTTACCAGCCGGATCCCCGGTAATCTGGCACAACAACAAGGCAGCCCTGACGATCGTTCACTAGCGCCGGTAGTTCGCATTGATTCTGCGACTTCTTGACCATTCGACAAAGGGACACTCAACCATGATGAGGGATGACGAGAAACTCAAGTGAAGAGTGATATTAACTTTATTTACTATATCATAAAATCCTGGCCGTTTGGGCCATGCCCAGGACCAAGAACAGACAAGGGACCGGATATCCAATGTCTGAAGAGACCGAAAGACCATCATGAAAAGTGATGGCATGTAGCACTACTTTCATGCACCAAAAGTCCCGAGAGCAAAGGGGACAAAGGTGTTTGGTAATAGTAGGGCGAAATGTTTATCTTGGCACGATAAAATCCTTCAACACATGAGCGTAGGTATATGAGCCCAATGTTGTACACACTAATGCCGTTCAAGTTCACAAGGGGAGAGCGCAAGGGGAAGTGAGATCCGGAATCCATGGGTAACTGACCTGGGAGGAAAGGTGGGACTTTTTCACACTGGAAGAAAGCAAAACTGGGTATCATTTGTTATTCACAACGTCTGAAAGCAACCTTGGGACATCTGCTACGGCGGAAGTAGGCAGTTCATTTGACCCTGATCTGATTTTGGTATGTCCAATACGCCAACCGATAGTGTAAACGCCATGTCCCAACCGTATTCGATCACACCATGAGGTCAAATTTAGACCTTGATGGCGTTCTCGAGAGCCTTCTTGCGCTTGGCAATCTTCATCTGGGACTTGATGCCCATGATGCCACCACCCCACTGGCGGCGAGCCTGCTCGTTCTTCTCGACGTAGCCCTCCTTGATGGCGGAGACGAGCTTGGCGAGCTCGTTCTTGTCCTCAGTGCGGACCTCAGTGATGGCGAGGACGGCAGCGGTCTGAGAGATAACATGTTAGTTCACTGCATGCTGTATATGCGGGATTGCCGGATGCTTCATACCTTCTTGTGGACGACAGTGCCGAGACGAGCCTTGCCCTTGATGATGGCATAGGGGATGCCCATCTTGCGGCAGAGAGCGGGGAGGAAGACAACGAGCTCGATGGGGTCGACATCGTTGGGGATCAGGACGAGGGAAGCCTTCTTGTTCTCAATGAGGCCAACAACGTGGTTGAGACCGTACTTGACAACGTAGGGCTTCTTGGAGACATCCTCCTTCTTCTTGCCCTCCTTGATGGCGGTAGCCTCCTGGAGGAGACGCTCCTTCTTCTCGGTCTTGGTCTCAGGGCGGTACTTGTTGAGGAGCTTGAAAGCCTGGGCAGCGGTGTTCTTGTCGAGAACCTGCTGGAACTGGGCGAGCGCAGGAGGGACCTTCAAGCGCATGTTGAGGATCTTCTTCTGGCGCTGGAGGCGGACATACTCGGGCCACTTCACCATGCGCGAGAGGTTGCGCTTGGGCTGGATGGCCTGGCCAATGCCGAAGTTGCGGGGGCGCTTCTCGATGAGAGGGTTCTATCTGCATGTTAGCACACCGAGACTCGGGCACGTTGCCATGAGGCAGATGGGGATGGAGCTGATTTTGCTTACCTTGGGCGCCTTCTTGCTGCCAGCCTTTCCCTGGGGGAAGGGGGCCGGAGCGGCCTTCTTGCCAGACTTGGGAGGCTATCATTGAGAAGAAGACATCAGTAAATGTTTTGGTCCATTTGACTTCAGTCTTCGTTAACTCTAGAGAGTGGCCGGGCAAGCATTTCTGCCATGCACGCGAATCCAACTCAAGCCAGGTCATCACCCGCGGCCCCGAAGGACCGACGAGCGGAAAACATGCAACTCAATCAGAGATCGAGAGCATTCCCAACAATTCCCACATGCGCGCGTCGGAAAGACGATTGCAGAGGTCGTGAGTATCGAGTCGTAGTCGTTTAGGTGCTTACCATTTTGATTATCGGCGTTGGCTCAGGTTCCTAAGTGTACGTGAGGTGCAACAGTCAAAGATTCAAAATCGAGAATTCCAACGCGCGGAGAAAAAGTGGTGGTGAATTTTTAGGGTTGGCGGATATTTTGCGGCTGGTGTCCACTCTGTGGGGGCTGACAGGCCGTCGAGCTGTGGCTGGATTGAGGACAGGGTGGGGCGTTACAGCAAGCTTCTTCTTGGACACACCCCTTGGCGTATTATCATTAACATCGCTTATCGCATTTTTTGGTCAGGTCCTGGCCCGTCTTAAACGCTGATGCCTTCCTTTGAAGTGAACCCGGATCTGGACACTTTTAAATCCAGCGGGCGATTCTCCCAGCATAATAAAATCCGCGGATTAAGGAAAACCTGAATATTTCGACGACAACCCATCTCAGTCTTGCACTCCTCGTCACCCTTCACCTTCGCCAAGATGGCTCCAGCACTTTGCGCCATCTGCAAAACCGAGCGAGCAAACATCAAGCGCCCAAAGAACCACGCCAGAGTCTGCAAGGGCTGCTTTCTCACACTATTCGAGGAGGAAGTTCATCACACCATCATATCATCAAAGCTTTTCTACCCAGGCGAGAGGGTAGCTATCGGCGCATCAGGCGGCAAGGACTCGACTGTGCTCGCTTCCGTTCTCAAGACTCTCAACGAACGATACAACTACGGACTCGAACTTGTTCTGCTCAGTATCGATGAAGGCATCAAGGGTTACCGGGACGACTCCCTGGAGACGGTCAAGCGAAACGCCGTGCAGTACGACATGCCGCTGAAGATCGTAGGGTACGATGAGCTCTACGGGTGGACCATGGACCAGGTCGTCGAGACCATCGGCAAGAAGGGCAACTGCACATACTGCGGTGTTTTCCGACGACAGGCGCTCGATCGCGGAGCCAAGATGCTCGACATCAAGCACGTGGTGACGGGACATAATGCCGATGATGTGGCCGAGACGATCCTCATGAACCTGCTCCGTGGAGATATGGGACGCCTGGCGCGGAGTACGAACATTGTGACTGGAGACGACAGTTCCGATGTCAAGAGGAGCAAGCCGCTCAAGTATGCTTACGAAAAGGAGATTGTCATGTATGCGCATCACAAGAAGTTGGACTACTTCAGCACAGAGTGCATTTACAGCCCGGAGGCGTTTCGTGGCAGCGCAAGAGCTCTGATCAAGCAGCTGGAGAGGATACGACCGAGCGCCATTCTGGATATTCTCCGTAGCGGCGAGGACATGGCGAGACTAGTACCGGGAGAGTCGGCTTCATCTTGTGGTTGCAAGGGCAAGTCCAAGACACCCGCGGCAACTGCTGCAGAGGATGATGGTGGCATTGGCGGCTGTGGTTCAAACGGAGCTGCCTCTGGCAATGAGATGGCCGCCATGGAGAAGCAGCTGAGAGAGAACGAGGCTGCCGAAGGGCTCGAGGTTGATGTCTCAAAGCTCTCCCTGGCCGGCAAGGCAGCGGAATCAGAGACAGATGGTGCAGTGCCCTTGAAGACGAACAAGAACTCCAAGCCAGTAACACGACAGACATTGGGTAACTGCAAGCGCTGCGGTTACATGTCTAGTCAGGAGGTTTGTCAGGCGTGCATGCTATTGGAGGGTCTCAACAAGAATAGAGCACAGATTCAGATCTGAAAAGCATTCTATACTCTGTGGAAGCACCATTAGGCAGTGCTGTCTACCTAGCCTGTATCTAAGCGTTCTGTTTTCCCGCACGGCTGGTATGGTCCGAACAAGGCGCCGTATTGATATCGTGGAACGTAACGGTAAGTGTCGTCGGTGCGGTCGTCGTGATATCGTGGGTGAGCCTGGTTCTCTCGATAATCCTCTCGACTTTCCGCCCTGGAAGTTGCTGTTTTGAACGTCGTTTGACCAATCACGAAAATCGTTTCTCAACCTGAAGATGCTTGTGTAAGTTCATCTGTCTTGCAAATGGTGGGATACAGAGCAACATACTCTCCATGGGTTGTTGTACTCAAACCCATAGGGCGCATCTGCGGCATCCGTTTGCCCTCGTAACCATCCGGTAAGTCTGCGGTCGCGGTCCATCACTATAAAAGCACCAATCGTCAGTTGCTGTCAGGGTGGATGTGCGCGAAGGTTTGTCATGACTCGTGTAATTCGCAGGTATAAGTGGTTCGTACTTTGCTATACAACAGTTAGCCCATGACATCTACGAGTGGCAGAGGGTTCGACGTACTCTATCCCAGGTATCCAACGACCATCTCGCCTTCTTGCCGCCGTTCTGGGCGGTCTTGATGGCAGACAGGCCGGCGCCCGTGACGCCGAACATCTAGACTTCCGTCAGCGGACCCGAGTTCCCCCACCCCGCTCCGGGCGCACTGATCCGGTGGAGCTTACCGTGACGATGATGGCATAGGGAATGAGGGCCTCGAAGGGGACAGGCATCGCGGCGGTTTTTCTGGACCTAGTCAATTCGGTTAGTTAAGCAGTAACACTGTCTTTGAACACTTCGGAACCGACCTAAAGTCCTATGCGCAGTGGTGTGGTTATGTTGTGGCTTCTCTTGGTGACAATCCGCAGCTCAGCAGTTGGCCGGGATACAGGTCCCAAGTTTGGTGATGGCAGATGGAGCGTCTTGACGAATTGGCGGAGACGGGGCGCGGATGCCTCAGGCGCCCAAAGGACGGGAACTGCATGGAAATGGAGCTTTCGGTCGCATGTTTCCAGTGGAGCAGTGACCCCCCCGCCAACCCGCCTGGACCCGCAGGAGCTTGAAGCTTGGCGGTTGCACTACGGATGACTAAGCACGTGAATCCTTGCACGTACATCGGCCCGTAACGTAACTTGGATGGAAAGGGCGTCTGGAACTCCGAAGGGACGGGCAACTTCTCAGGGAGAACACTCCGCGAACAAGAACATTGGCACTTTCAGGACTTACAACGGCCCTCCACGACGAAAGAACTACTACGCGACGCGTCTTTCGACATCACCGACCTAGTGCGACCGCAGAACAAGACGATACACGCAGCCTTGTCCCCCGGATCAGCGCGTTTTCAACCCCCTTTCGAGCTGTCGCAAACAATCACCTGCTTCCAGTAGGCACCAGCTTCTTGCAGCTGCGGCCTCCAAGCACCACAACCACACAAAACATTGTCGCCGATATATAATCTACGGTCGCCTTACGCTACACATTCACCTCCAGGCATGATAACGCCCGAAACACCAACTTTCAGCTAGCGGGTATGAGCGCCCTCTGGCCTGGTTACGCTTGACGAGACTTTGCCAAAGGGGTGCCCGTGCGGGAAGCCAGGTTGGGTGCTGAGAACAAAGCGGACAACCAACAAGAACAAAACAGAACACACAACCTGCAATGGCCGACGAACAACTCAGGGCGGAGGAGCTGCAACAGAGCGTCATGATGTCGGAACAGCAGGTTGAGGCCAGTACCGGTGACGGGGACGTCGCAATGGTCAACCAAGTTACTATTACCTCCGAGATCTCCCAGATCAACGCCCAACCCGAGCCTAGCGAGGCCGACGAAGACCAGGAGATGCACGATGCGCAAGAAGAGAACGATCACCACGACGAAGAAATGGGCGAAGGGGATGATGCCGAACACTCGGACGAAGGCAGCCACGACGGTCATGATGATCACGACGACCACGAAGACTCCGGTGATGAACACGGTGAAGAGGAGGAACACGACGGTGAGGACCACGAGGGGTTCGACGAAGATGCCGAAGGAGACGAGGGCGACTCTGTCCACTCCGAGGAACATACATCGCAACAACACCTACCAAGCGTGGAGGAAGACCATGAAGATGATGAGGACGACGACGACGAGGGTGTCGGTGCTGTCAAAATAAAACCGGGTGAAACTGACCATAGCGAAAGCGAAAGCGAGGAGGAAGACGACCATTCGTCAGCAAGTTCGGCGAGCGTCAGTGATGCGGAATCTGAAGACGAGCCACACTGGGAAGATGCGGCTGAGCACGAACCTGCGGGAGACGAGGACGATGATGATGAGGGTTCCGAAAAGGGAGATAGTGGACTTTGCATGTTCTGTAAACAAGACGAAGACCACGACCCGGCAGAGGAATTCGAAGAGTATCTTGCATGTTCCGGGTGTGGGGAAAACGGTTAGTACATCTTGTTCCCGTAAAATACGAACTGGCAAGAGCAAGAGCTAGAAGCTGACAAGTAGTAGCCCACCAGCAGTGTGCAAGGGAAGCGAATGCTTTGCCCAGTGATCAAGGTACGACTGGAGTCCTCCCGAATTCCATCCACGTGAAATCCAGTTTACTAACAAAACTAGCACCCGACACGTGGAAATGCCCGAATTGCGCCAGTGAAGGGTCACAAACCGCCGCGGGGAAGAATCACGAGCCGACGCAAGTGAATGGGACGGAAACCACTACCTCTACGCACCCCACCACACGCAGGGCCTCAGCACCAAAACTGGCAAGGGACCTTCTGCCTCCCCAAAAACACACAAACCCGGATTCGCACTCCGTCTTCAACCAACTAGTGCTGGATGAGGATCCTATGGATGGATCTCGCGTACTTAGGAAACGTAAGACGTCTTCAGTAGAGCCCACCGAGCACGTAATAGGCCTTAGGAAGCGACGCCGGAACACCGTGGGCACCGAACTTGAAGAAGAGCCCAACGACAGCACAGCCGGCCAGGACGAACAAGCAAGGCCGACATCGGCCCGGTCATTGCGAATTAAGATCTCCAATCCCACGGCCCCGGTCAGCATCGTCAAGAAGACACGAAGCAGCATCTTGCTGCGCATGCGTGTAGACCCCACCAAGCTACAGCAGATAACATCCCAACCACCCAAGGGGAACAGCAAGCGATCAAGTCGGTCTGCTCGATCAGGTCGATCCGGCCGTTCAGGACGTTCTGGGCGCAAGACATCAGGAAGGTCAGGTCGGTCGCGCAGGGCGGCCGCAGCAGAAGCAGATGCAATGGAACCTTCCACGGCACCGTTTGCTAGCGCAAGCTACACCCAACCATTTTATTCTTTCTACGACAAGGAGACGGATGAGCTCAAAGGAAAACCCTACGGCGGCATCCTCACCGACGCCGAGGCGGATACATCTAAGACATTACCGCAGCCCGAGGATCGTCGGCGATTCGATGAAGCGAAACAGATGGCCGAGGAGGAATGGCGACAACGACTTCTGAAGATGCAAGCGGAGGTCGAAGCACCAGTCAAGAAGTCCAAGAAGACCGCCGGTCCAGCCAGCCAAATCGAGTGTATCGAGTTTGGAGGCTGGGAGATCGACACATGGTATGCGGCTCCATATCCCGAGGAATACAGCAGGAACCGGGTCCTATATATCTGCGAGTTTTGCTTAAAGTACATGAACTCCGACTATGTTGCGTGGAGGCATAAGCTCAAGTGCCCCGCGAAACACCCACCAGGCGACGAGATCTATCGCCATGGCTCGATATCTGTGTTCGAGGTTGACGGTCGTAAAAACCCCGTTTATTGCCAGAACCTCTGCTTGCTGGCCAAGCTCTTCCTTGGGTCAAAGACCCTTTACTACGACGTTGAGCCATTCCTCTTCTACGTTCTCTGCGAATATGACCAATATGGCTACCATTTCGTCGGCTACTTCTCCAAGGAGAAGCGAGCCAGCAGTCAGAACAACGTATCCTGTATCCTCACGTTGCCGATTCACCAACGAAAGGGATACGGCAACCTCCTTATCGACTTCTCCTACCTCCTCACCAGGGTCGAGCAAAAGACCGGTTCCCCAGAAAAGCCTCTCTCCGACATGGGCTTGGTTTCCTACCGTAACTACTGGCGCCTAGTTATGTGCAAGTACCTACTCGAGCATTGCTCTGGAGACCCCAAAGAGAAGAAAGGTTTGAGCATCAAAAAGATCTCCGACGACACAGGCCTCACGCCAGACGATGTTATTTCGTCACTGGAGGGATTGAGGTGTCTGGTACGCGACCCACAAACCCAAATATACGCCTTCCGCGTCGACTTGCCCTACTGCCGGGAGTATGTTGCGAAGTGGGAAGCGAAGAACTACGTCCAGCTGGAACCCAAAGCTCTTACATGGACTCCGTATGTTATGGGCCGGAGCAACGCTACCAACTTCGAGCTTGGGCCGGCACTGAACGCCATCGCTCCTAGGGAGGACGAGGAGGCCAAGCCAACGGTCGAGGAAGGAACCGTTATCGACGGTGATGCTTCTCAACCGGAAGGTCTGGCAACCCAAGTCCAGAAGATGGAGATCGACACCTCAGCTCCGACTATCCTCGAGTCAACCGAGCCAAACGAGCTCGGCATCATCCAGCCTGAGGTCATCTCTCCTCGCTCGGTTCTTAAGACCAACGGTCTCTTCCCCAACGGTTCCGTGCACGGCTCTGTCCACCCCAACGACGACCACGACCGGAAAGCCAAGACCGAACCGGACGCCGACGGCGAAAACAAAGAGAACCCCGACGACTGGATGGCCCAGTACGAGGGTATCCCACCCACTCGCTTCGAGGTCGTTCCACCTCTCAACACTTCCAGGCGCGGAGCCGGCGGCGACCGCATCCGCAACACCGTCCCCCGTCCACCAGCCGTCCGCACCAACAGCGGTAGCGCCGCCCGGCCACGAAACCCTCGTCGTACGAGCGGTGTCCGCCGCGTATCTTCCGCCGCCAAGCCCCGCAACAGCAGCAGCAGCAGCAAGCGCAAAGCGGGCGGCACCGGTCGCGGGCCTGGCCGTTGGCCCAAGGGTACCAAGAAGAGCGACTACGGCAACGCCGAGAGTGGCCCTGGTTTTCCTCCTGGTTGGTTGGAAAAGCAGAAATCTCTTGAGGGTACGACCCCCAAGAAGGAGGGTGAGGAGGGGATGAAGGATACCGTGCATGTTACCCCTACTGCGGAGAGCGCCGCCGTTTCCAGTTCCGGTGGTAGTGGCAGTGGAAGTGGAAGCCGTAGTGCCAGCTCTTCTGGCGCAAACGGAAATGGAGAGGACACGGGAAGCGCCGATAACGGCAACAGTATTAATGGCGGCGGAGACGAACAAGCAGATATTACCATGAAGGATGACGACAATTAGGAATCAGTAGCGTTATCGTGGAGGCCGGAGGTGATGATAAGGGGAATTAGAGGGGGGAAGGGAGGAGCAAGGGCAACACCAAGAGGATAACCAAGAGAAAGACCACGGAAAGTGGTAAGCTTTGGGTCTCCTCATCCCGCTTTGGCTGGCCGCCCTGCTTCAGCGCCGTCAGCGCCGCCATCATGGAGGACGAAAGCCGACACACAATCTGCTGTCGATGGAATTCGGGAAGAGACGACCAATCTATCGTCTGAGAGGTCGAAACTCGAGGAGAGACTCTCGAAAGAGAAAGCCGAGCGAGCTTTGGAGGGTCGCGATCGTTCTGCTTCGGCTCCGGACGTCCGTGATTATCGACCGCGGTCGCCTCGGGGGACAAAAGCCGATAGAGCTATGGGAAAGCGACCTGCTTCAGTTCCACATGCCCCCAGGGATCTATCGCCGCCTGCGTGGAGGACGAAAGCCGAAAGGGGTCCGGCGGCTGTTTCGGACAATCGGCATGATCGACCGCCGTCTTGGAGGACAAAGCCTGATAGACCATATTGGCGTGACCCGGGTTACGGCACCGTCGACTGGTATCTCAGGAGTAGTCGTCATGACGAGGATGGTGATGGCGGTGATGGCGGTGGCAGCGGTGGTGGTGATGATGATGGCGGCGATGACAAGTCCTGACCGGTTCCCCTCCCAAACATTTCGATGCCCTCTTCTCTTCTTATCTCCTGTCATCTTCTTCGGCTTCATGATGTTTTACTTTTCTACTCTACTACTTTATCTTGTTGTTATGTCTTTTTAAAGAGGGGGGAAAGCAAGCTGGCTTGAAAGCTTTATTACCATTCTTCGTTTTTCATTTATTGAAGATTAGGGGCTGATGGGGGGCATCAAGGGATAGGTAGGCCATGGCGTCGGTTGGTCAATAGGAGTCTGGTTGGTCGGTTGGCTGGTTGCTGGTTTAGGTCCATAGCATTTGATAGCGAGGGGCATCTTCCTCTTATGTCTTTAGCATCAACTTGAATGTGATGCGCAGTAGTTAATCAACCTCGGGGTTCTCGATCGCAAGTGATGCATAGTGACTGGTGTGGTGATTGTTTTCAGCGAGCCCGTTAAATCTACTGTGCTGGCCTAGTAAATCTACGGTCTACTTCAAGCTTGACTTCTTCACCAGAATCTTCCAGTGCCCATGCGAGAAAAAGAAGCAGCATAGGAAAAGAGATAACTGCTTCTTCCGCAAAGCTCACTAGAAAAGCTCAGGAGCTTGAAAACGCAATCGGTAGTCTTGGGGATAGAGAAATAAGGCAGTTCCGTCATAACAATGGCCGCCGCCCTCAAGTGCAAGCTGGGTTGACTTCCTATCATACGTATTCGTTACTCTACCTCCCGCGTTTGGGAGTATCGCGGGGCTAGCGTTTCTACGCTCGATGGGAAATGAATCACTTGAGACTTAGGAATAGTAATGGTGATTAACGCCTTCGAGATTCTGATGTTATCAGGACGGTACGGGAGGAGTTCATATCATAGCCCGTGCTATTTAGTATTTTTGCTGCGGCTTTGGTGTGGGTACCATAGATTTAACGAAAAGATACAGTTAGATTTAACGGGCTCGGTTTTCAGCCGTGATAGCTTCAAGTGCCTTCACTTCCATTGCTTCCATTTCTAGAAGAATACCCATTAACAAACCAAAAATCTCCACAAGGGTGTTCCACTGCATATGCAGCCATTTCTGCCCTTCTGATTTGCTTTCCTTTCATCCACGAATGATTTTCCCCCGTTCGTCACTTGTCCCGTTGCAAAAGAGCTTTGCTCCTCAGGGCGAGTCGTGAATGTTTACGTCATTTTGCTGGAACTCTCAGGGCCTCTTCTGCAGGACAACAAGGTTCCATAGAAATCCAGGAACGAGAGTACATCATTGGAGCTGAGCTCATGGACCCCGTTTCTTATGTCAGTCAGGCACATTTTATGGAGTAAATTCTGGATGACATAAGAAGAAGGTTATTGTTGGGCATGATTTTCTTCTCATTGACAATGTTTGACTGGTCGAAACGAGAAAAGAGGGAGCAGCTTGTTTGAGAAGGAGCCTGATGTCCGGGAAAGGGGGATGCCGAACGATGGGCAGTGACATGACGGGAGTTGAGTGGAATCGGGGGATCCGGTCGCGCCAAGCCACTCACGGCGGTCTTTCAGTCGTCACCGCAGCAGCGCAGCTCGCCCGCCCAGGATGGCGCAGGGCATCAGACTCGGAGGGGTCGGTCAACACATGACAAACATTTCGGTATTTGTTATAGGACATGGTCGTCGACGGACATAAAAGACTGACAGTGGGTTGGGTTCGGATACTTGGACTACTGTACACCCCATAATGATCGGCTACGTTATAAGCTGCCGAAAGGGGTCTAGCACTAACAGGCGGGTAATCTTGAAAGAGGAGAACATCAACCGGGAATGATAGTGCCTTGTTAGGACCGAACCAGCTGCGTAATTTCATGGCTGGGAAGAGGGATTTCTACCCAAAGATACATCTCGGGAACAAGCTCGGATATTTCTACCTGTACTAGTCTTTGACCAAAAGGCTGGTGGTTAGTGAGAAGGCTTCTAACCAAGTTGCGCATTGGACCTGAACTTGCTTGCGCGTCGCAGTCATTGTCACATTGTAACAAGCTCGCTGCGGCCCCTCTCTTTCTTCTTCCTGTTCCTCCAAACATCACCTAATCACCTGCTCCCATTGACGCCTCCTACTTTCACACGCCAATCTTCCAACCTAATCTCCAGGACAACCGCATTTCAACCTTTCCCACTCCCCGGCGCCGCTGTCCTGTCGACGGACGAGGATCCCCAGACGACCAATTTACCCCAGAGTTTAGAACAAGACCGACCCCCGAACCTGCGCGCTCCAGACCACACGGCAAAAGACCAAGGCAAAGCTAAAAGTCGAGCGAATATAATTTGAACCACGGCCTACCGTAGTACCTTGTGAGCGGCGCAGACCGATCGCCAACCATCGCACTACGTATCCGACGGCATCCAGCCATCCAGCATCTGCGACCACCTTCCCTGCCCGTCTGTAATTGCCATAGCTCCACTGCGGACTGGTCGTAATCAGACGTTAAGCACGACACGCAATCGTTCCGCCGAGCGAGACTCCCCCGACACAGTCTCTCATTCTTCTCTTTCCTTTGACATCGATCTATCAGTTTACGAAGAAGCCCGCCCATCATGTCCAAAGTAATTCGCAGCGTCAAAAACGTCACAAAGGGTTACTCGGCCGCCCAGGTCAAAGTGCGCGATGGTGGGTCATTCCGAGCTTTCTCTCTGCTGTCTCTCTCCTTCTCCCACCCGCTGCGCGCTCTCCCCCTGCGGTGATGCCATGTCGTCCTTGGCATTGTGCGCATCTGCTTAACACATCACCACCTCGTTTGGAGACATGACTTGACTGACATGGACGCTTTCGATTGATTCTAGCGACAAGTAACGACCCATGGGGACCTACAGGAACCCAGATGGGGCAAATCGCCCAGATGACGTACGGCACGTAAGTTCACCGTCTCGAGCCGACTACACCGAGTTCCCGTTAATGACTTGTTGTACCGACTGCAGAAGCACCGAGTTCTACGAAATTATGGACATGCTCGACAAGCGACTGAACGATAAGGGCAAGAACTGGCGTCACGTCCTCAAGGCCTTGAAGGTTATGGACTACATTCTGCACGAGGGATCCGAGATGGTGGTTACGTGGGCCAAGCAGAACATCTTTGTCATCAAGACGCTGCGCGAGTTCATGTACATTGACGAGGACGGCAAGGACGTTGGCAACAATGGTAGGGAACACACGCCAATTCGGGGCCTTGTTTGCAGTATGCTGACATTCTTCTACCAGTCCGTGTCGCTGCCAAGGATCTTACTGCGCTGCTCCTGGACGAGGAGAGGTTGCGCGAGGAGCGTACTGACCGAAGAGCCTGGAAATCCCGTATGCAGTACGGAGAGGAGATGCCCCAGCACCACGCCGAACCGTCGCGTCCCCGCCCCAGGCAGCACAGAGCACAGTATGCCGACGAGGACGATGCAGAGTACAAGTTGGCGATCGAGGCGAGCAAATACCAAGAGGAGGAGGACAGGAAGCGACGTGAAAGGGCTCTTGCCGAGGTGGACGACGATGATCTCGCCAAGGCCATCAAGCTCAGCAAGGAAGAAGAGGAGCGAAGGCGGCGGGAACTCGAGGAGACGAACGCTTCCGCCTTGTTCGATGATACACCAGCGCAGACCACCCAGCCTCAGTTCACCGGTTTCAACCAGGGCTATCAGCAAGGCAGCGCGGTGGATTTCTTTGCTAACCCACTTGATCAGAACCAGCTCCAGGCTCAACAAACTGCTTACATGAACAATGCATTCACCGGGTACGGGCAGCAACCAATGGGATATCAACAGACGGGATACCAGAACGGCTTCCAGAACGGCTTCCAGCCCCAGCCTACCGGCATGTACGATCCTTACGGTCAACAACAGCAGCAGCAGCAGCCCCAAGGATTCATGTCCCAGCCAACGGGCTACAACCCATACTCGAACCAGCAGCAACAGCAACAGCAGCCCCAGTTTGACAATTCCTCGTCGACATTGCAGCCTGGTAGCAACAACCCTTGGGCCAGCAACAACAACAACCAGCAGTCGTCAGCCCTCAAGCCGGCGCCGACAGGCTCGAACAACCCATTCGCGCAGAAGTCGCCATACAAGGCGCCATCGATGCCGGCATTGAGCAGCCTCCCCGAGCAAAAGACGCTATCAACCTTCCCCCAGATCTCCGTTACTTCCTCTAATTCGCCATTTAATACCTTTGGATCTCAATCCCAGCAACAGCAGCAGCAACCCCAGCAGCAACAACCCCAGTTTCAACAGCAACCGCAGCAGCCCCAGCGAGAACTCAGCGAACACGAGCAGAAGCTTAACGCCCTGCTCGCCAGCGGAGACGGTATGGACACATTCGGCAACACGGGTAATCTCCGTATTCCGGCGCAACATACCGCCCCTGGAACGTTTGTCAACAGTGCAGGTGCTGGCCTGAACAGGATTACGGCCGAGGCGACGGGCAACAACCCTTTCTTGAAGCAGCAGTTCACGGGTATGCCGACGGTGTCGTACGGAGGTCAGCAGATGCCTGCGGCCACGGGGCCGGCTGGCATGGGCATGAACGTGGGTTTTGGGGGCTATCAGCAGCAGCAGATGGGTAACAGCAACCCATTCGCGGCGGGTGGTCAACAGCAGCAGAGGCAACAGCAGGGCGGTGGGGGTGATTTGATCTCTTTCTAGGAGGAGGGAGATGAAGATGCTGGTGATGCGAAGAGTGCTCAAAGGTCGAGGAACTGAGTGGAGAGCTTTTTTCCTGGAGGAGCAGTCCGGTGAACCGGGGAGAATGCAGAGATTGAGAACCAGGTGGGAGAGAGAGAGAGGAATAGAGTTATTGGGTAGGGAAGTGGCTCCAAAACTTGAGTTGCGTTGTTGTTTTCATGGTGTATAGGGTTGGGATTTTGTTTGTATGGTATTATTCTAGAGACCCCCAGTTACTTTTTTCTTATTTTTCCAAAGACGCATTTTTTACACGAGAGTTCAGTGTTTTGACGTACATGTTGTGTTTGGGTTATAGGTAGAATCCAGTTTCGTAGACGACATTGACAGAAGCAGCATGGTTGATTTTCAAGGCACCGAGAGAAAACGAACAGCGCGACGAGGTAGTCGAGTAACTTCAGGTAGATACTGGTGATAATGGCAAGAAAGTCCGAGACAACACAACCACACATGAACCTTTGAGAACGGCCGAGAAGATGAGAACAAACAACTCGTCAACACCGGGGGATTTATACCCTTTTTCAACAATCCGACTTACCACTTACTCATACCACATTTCTTCTTATCACCTCCATCGATGGCCATGAAAGAGCATCATGACCTTTTGGCTAACAACATGCACAATCTCCTCTGAGTGGTCGAACCCATCGTGATCTGTTAGTGATTGTTAAGCAATCCCGCAAGGCAGACTGGCTTATCCGCCAATCAGGTTGCTGAATTGAAATGGACCAGGCGCAAGACTCTAGGCAACTGCGCGGGATGTGGGACCACGTGATGAGGAAGTGCCGTGCTGTTTTGAAGATGAGCAATGAGCACTCGAGGTGTCGGACTGTCGGACGAGAGGAGGGTTTGGGGGGTTTGGGGAGTTTGGGAAGTATAAAGAGATGGGAGATGTATCGACGAAGGGAAAAGAGTCATCTACTATCTTCCTCCTCAACTTTGTTTTTTGACTGACTGTCTGTCTGTCTCCCAGGTCGTCTCTCTGTCTGTCGAAGTGATCATTGATTGAATGTTCGGTTGTTATCCTTGACCAATTTACAGGTGGTCATAGCTTCCGTTCGTTCTTGTCCAACTGCCTGCGCGGGCGAAGTGGTGCACGAGCCATTTCCTGCAGTTTAAGAATCCAGTGGACTAGAACGTTATCGTATGGTTGGTCGGATGACAGGTTGAGAGTGGATCTTCAGTTCTTGGCTTGGGCTCGGCCGCTCGCCGCTGTTCCAGTTCCCCAGCAAATTTGACGAGTCGCCCAGGTTCTGTCTGTTCGCTGCTTTCAAGTTCTTGCTTGTGTTGGTGGTCTGTGTGTTTTTCCAGGCTGTCTGTCCATCGGCTTGAAAGTTGTCGCTGTCGTTCATCACTCTCATCGCGCCTTCACCACCGGATTCAGCCAAGCACTGCTCACTGACTGCATCACAGAGCAGACGGGACAAGGCGTAAAAAAACCGTTCAAGAAGAAGAAGGTGGTCCACGCTCTGCGGTCTCTGCCTTGATCACCCTTTTTCTCGTCTTCAGCTTCACCGCTATTCTTTGATCTTGTTTTTGACCAGCCCATTTATCAAATCTGTATCTTCGAGGCTGTTGTGGTGTTTTCTGCCGGCCCCCCTCCCCCCCAAAATACTCGCGCACTTATCGTCAACCCATCCATCGCCCGACCCCCCCGACCGTCGGTTTTTTTGGACCAACGCGTCAAAGGGTGCCACTTCGCGCATCCAAGACATTTCTTCTCCCCACACCCACAACATCCAACATTCACTTCGCATCCACATTCAATCCATACATTATCGATTGATCAACAACGACAACACCAAAGCTAAACGACCACACCACCCAACGCCTCCACCCCATTGTGCGCCCAACGCGCGAACCATCGATTTGTTTCCCCGTCCATCTGCCGCCGACTTGACGGCGCGAGAAGGACAACATGTCGTTCTTTGGCGGCGGTGGCTTCGGCCAGAATACTAACACAGGCACCGGCTTTGGCTCGAGTGGCTTCGGCACCAACACCCAGACCACTGGCACAGGTATGTTTATTTCCCTTCGTTGTCGTCGTTGTTGTCGACCCCCTTCGGAGACAAGCTTCCCTTGCTTCTCTACTGCGTCATACTCCACGCGGTCCCATGGTGCGACCGAAAGCTAACATGCGACCTCGTCGTCTAGGTTTCGGCACAGGTACTACTGGATTCGGTGCCCCCGCGCAAACAGGCACCACCGGCGGTGGCCTCTTCGGCAGCGGCGCGACCGGCACTGCTGGCGGCTTCGGCAGTAACACAGCGGGCGGCTTTGGCACTGGCGGCGGATTTGGAGCTAAGCCTGCCTTCGGAGCTACCCCTTCGACCACCGGCGGAGGTCTCTTTGGAGCTTCCACGACTGCGACTACCGGCTCTGGCTTCGGCAGCACAGGCTTTGGCTCGAATACCGCGACCACCGGCACAGGGTTCGGATCTGGTGGTGGTTTGTTCGGCGCTAACAAGCCTGCGACCACCACCGGCTTTGGCGCTCCCGCAACTACTACTGGCTTCGGCGCCACCAACACCACCGGCGGCTCTCTCTTTGGCGGCGGCGGTACTACCAGCGCCTTCGGTTCCGCCAACAACCCCGGCATCGGCACTAATGTTCCCGACCCCCCGGGCACGGCTGCCGTTCCCTTCACTCCCTTCCAAGAGAAGGAAGCTAACGGGTCCCAAGTCTCGTTCCAGAACATCTGCTTTATGGATGCTTACAAGAAGTGGTCCCCCGAAGAATTGAGATTGGCCGATTATCAGCAAGGAAGGAGATACGGTGGTCAGGGCGGCACTGGTGCTTTCGGAACCTCTGCCTTTGGATCGACTGGATTCGGCGCCAACACTGGCACGACTGGCGGTTTCGGCAGCGGCACCACCACCACCGGCGGCGGTCTGTTCGGCAGCGGTAATACTGGCACGACGGGTGGCTTCGGCTCTTCGACCACGGCGAATACTGGAGGCTTCGGCTCTCAGACGACGACGGGAGGTGGTCTTTTCGGTCAGCAGAACAAGCCCGCTACTGGTGGTCTTTTCGGAGCGAGCACGACGACTCCTGCCACCGTTACTGGTCTCTTTGGTAGCGGAGGTACAACGGGAGGATTTGGCTCCAACACTGGCACGGCGACCACCGGCTTCGGTCAAAACACTGCTACTACTGGCGCCGGTCTCTTTGGACAGCAGGCTGCTAAGCCTGCTGGCTTCAGCTTCGGAAACACTGGTGCTACCACCACCACTGGCACGGGCTTCGGTACTGGTACAACTGGCGGGTTTGGAACCAACACCGCTACCCAGAACACTGGCGGTGGTCTGTTCGGAACTGCTCAACAGAACACCGGCGCTACCGGTGGTGGCCTCTTCGGTACCCAGCAACAAACTCAACAGCAACCCGCAACCACGGGCTTTGGTGGTGGCTTTGGTACTCAGCAGCCTGCTACAGGAGGCGGTTTGTTCGGCACCGCTAACAACCAGGCGAAGCCCGCAGGCGGTCTTTTCGGCAGTGGCACTACTACTACTCCTGCTACCGGTGGTGGTCTCTTTGGCACTGGCGGGGCCACGGGTGGTTTCGGCCAGCCGAACAACACTCAGGCTTCTGGAGGCTTGTTTGGTGCTAAGCCTGCGGCTACGACTGGTGGTCTTTTTGGAAGTGCCCCGGCTCAGCCTGCTGCCACTGGTGGACTTTTTGGCAGCCTCGGTACTCAGCAGACTCAGCAGCCTGCTACTGGAGGCGGCTTGTTCGGCACTGCCAACAACCAGGCGAAGCCCGCGGGTGGTCTTTTCGGCTCGGCTCCCGCTGCTGGCGGTGGCCTCTTCGGTAGTGCCCCCGCCCAGCAGAGCACCGGCTTGTTTGGATCCACCAACACTCAGCAGCAGGCTGGTGGTCTTGGAACCTCTCTTCTCGGAGGCGCCCAGAACCAGCAAGCTCCTCAGGCCTTCTCCGCGGGTATCAACGATATCAACGCCTATGGCGCTGCCACGTTGTTCTCTAACCTGCCTGATAACCAGATTCAGAACCCTGGTCCTCTCGCCACCCCCCTCAACGGCACCTCCAAGGCCAAGAGCCGCTCGATCCTGCCCATGTACAAGCTGAGCCCGGCAAATGCCTCTCGGATGGTTACGCCCCAGAAGAGGGGTTTCGGGTTCAACTACAGCACCTATAACTCCCCGGTTAGTACCCCCGGCGGTTTGGGACAGAGTCTTTTGGCTGGTAGCATCAACCGCGGTCTTGGAAAGCCCGTCTCCACCACTAACCTCCGCCGTACCTTCAATGCTGAGGACAGCATCCTCACCCCCGGTGCTTTCTCGGCGAACAACAACAACCGTTTGCTTGGCTGCAGCCATAAGAAGCTTGTCATTAACAAGGACATGCGCAGCGACTTGTTCCAGTCTCCGACAGCCAAGGGCAAGCTTCTCCAGGATGGCAACAACACCAGTGCCCGTAAGCTGACCAAGAGAGTCAGCTTTGACACCAGCAACGTCGAGGCTACTCAGAATGGTGCTGCTTCACAGCAGGAGTTCCACGATCTTGACGATGACAGTGACTTGGGCTTCCTGAAGCCTTCTTCTGCCAATGGCCGCACTAACGGTGCTGTCAACGGCTCCAAGGCTTCTGATGCCTCCCTTGAGATGGAGCAGATTAAGGGCAATGAGCTTGCCATTGTTCCCGAGGAGTCTTCTTTCGCGTCTTCATCTACTGTTGACGCCAAGCCTGTCAAACAGGTCGATGCCGGCTCTTACTGGATGTCGCCCAAGCTGGAGGAGATCCAGGCCATGAACAGGGTGCAGCGCCAGAGCGTTGTTGACTTTACGGTTGGTCGTGAGAATGTCGGAAGTGTCCGGTTCAAGGTCCCTGTTGACCTCAGCAACATCGACGTCGAGAACCTGTATGACAACATTGTCCTCTTGGTGCCGCGCTCCTGCACCGTCTATCCCAACGCCGCCACCAAGCCCCCGGTCGGCAAGGGCCTGAACGTCCCCGCGTTGATCTCACTCGAGCACAGCTACCCTCGTGGCGGACTTCGCGTTGGCGGCCGTCGCCTTGAGAAACACATCGAAAAGCTGAAGACGATCACAGATACCACCTTCGAGAGCTACGACATTCCCACTGGTGTTTGGTCCTTCTCCGTTGAGCACTTCACCACCTACGGTCTCGTCGATGACGAGGATGATTCCGAGGATGAAGATATCACCGAGGTTGAGCCTACTCCCCGCCCTTCCACCGAGGCTGTTGTTGTTAAGAACGAATTCACCTCGCCCGAAGTCGACCCCGATGACACCTTCGAGTATAGGCACAGCACCGGCCGCCGCGCCATCCCTGGCGCCTTTGACCAGCGCGCCATGTACGATGATGAAGAGCTTTTAGATGCCGATCAGCAGCAGGGTATGCACTCCTCTCACCCCAAAGGAGCCGATGCTCCGTTGCCGTCTCGGGAGTGGCCTGACGATGAGAGTATGGTGGATGGACAGGACGCGTACGATCCCGATGATGAGAAGTCATCCCAGCTTGACCTCGACGAAGAGCAATACGACCTCGCCCTCACCCAGATTGCCGATAACACCAACAACGTTCCCGCCGGTATCCTCAGAGCGAGGATGAGAGCCGTCAAGAGATCGACAGCCCCTACTAAGATCGAGGTTGCTGGTGGTGATGATTGGACACAGATTCTGCAGGCGAGCGTGCGGGCGCCAAGGACGGTAGATCGGAACTTGCTGCGGGAGCAGAACGAGTCGGGCGAGGCGTGGGAGGCCAAAGAGAGCGGGAGTCCTGCTCCCCGCGAGCCTGTTGTGCATGAAGGACAAGGGTTCGCGACGAGCATTGACTTGATGAAGTCGCTTTTCGAGCAGGCAAGGGGCCCAGCTCAGCCTGCCCCTCCATCAGGGGGTTTCCTGAAGGTTGGTGCTTAGCCTGTTTCTCCTTCCTTACCTTACAAGCTTCCTTCTCTTCTGATGTGTTGTCTGCTGCTCAAGCTTGGTCTATGTGTCTTGTGAAGCTTGCACGGCTATTTTGTACCTTACTACCTTTCTATTCGCCTACACTATTTGTTGTATGAATACAGACTAAGACTTTCTCTTGCTTTATAGTGGCCGTACCAAAAGCGCGATAAGGTTGATGACGAAGCCGCCGCCCCTGCTCCCCGTGCCACCTGGGGCCCCAACGAACTCTTGATCACCACTGCCAATGATGAGGCTAGCCTTATCCCCGTCGAGGGTAGTGCCTCTGCCTCAGAGACAAAGACAGCCCTCAATAAGCTCCAGCAGTACATTGAGATCACTAACGCCAACCACGACGTTCCTCTGAATGAACTTAAGGATCTCACCGAGAACGACCCGGTCTGGGATTTGGCGTTCCTTCTTGCTAATGACGAGGCTGAACTGCCTGCTTTCTGGAAGAAGTTGGTTGCTGCGGATACTGACCGCTTGCTTAAGGAGGCGCCTACTCCGGAGGAGAAGGCTATCATCCTTCTCGCCGGTAACCGCGTCTCTGATGCCTGCGACCAGTTGATTGGCGGCAAGGACTTCCGCCTCGCTACTCTTGTTTCCAGCATCGGTTCCCAGACCAAGGACCTCAAGACCCAGTTGGATGACTGGAGAGACTCGAATGTCTTGTCTGAGATGTCCGAGCCCATCCGTGCTCTCTACGAGCTCCTCTCTGGCAATGCCTGCGTTTGCGCTGGTGTTAAGAACGCCCCTATCGAGAATCGTGCTTCCTCTTTCACGATCGCTGAGCGCTTCAACCTCACCTGGATGCAATCCTTCGGTCTGCGTCTCTTCTACAACAGCAAGACCGCCGATGGTGAGCTCGACTTTGCCAAGGCCATCAACTCTTTCCAGGACGACATCGAGCAAGACAAAGAGCCTGAACCCGAGAGCCCCTTGTGGACTCTCCTTCAGACCTTCGCCACCCGCGAGTTCAACTGGGCGGAATCCGACCGTCTCGGCTGGCTCCTCACCCGCTCCATCTACTTCACCCACCTCTTCTCCTTCGGCCCCGACGCCGAGCAAAAGCTCGACCAGGCCTCCGTCTCCTTCGCCTCCTCACTCACCGCCCAAGGCCATTGGGTTCCCGCCACTTTCGTCCTCCTCACGCTGTCCGACCCTGTCGCCCGTGAGACCGCCATCCGCGACCACCTCGGCCGCCACGCCCACCTCATCGGCTCCTACCACGAAGCCAAGTCCCCCTTCTCGGCCCTGCGCCGCTTCGGCGTCACCGAGTCCTGGATCTGGGAAGCCAAGGCGCTCGACTTCCGCGCCAAGCAAGACCACCGCCAGGAGTTCCTGGCGCTCGTCTGGGCAGGCAACTACAAGGAGGCGAACACTGCCTTTGTCGAGCGCGTCGGTCCCGATCTGGTCATCGAGCGCGACTGGAAGAGGCTGGTCAAGTTTGCGCAGCTGTTGTTCAAGGTTAAGGGCAAGCTCGGCTCTGTTCAGGAATGGGAACGTGGAGGAGCGGCGGTTTATTTGCTTTATCCGCTCAAGGTCGCGGCGTTGAGGAATAAGTTGCCTCCTGGAGAGGACGAGGAGGAAGAGAGGAGGCTGGACAGGTTGTTGGTGGACGGACTGGTTGCGCTGGGTGATAGGCTCAAGCATGTTCCTGGTGCTTCGGGCGCGAGTGATGTCAAGAGGGAGGCGGCGGTGGCGGATATGGCGGAGGAATTGATCAAGGGACGGGTGAACGGTCAGAGTGAGATGGGTGGTATGGGTGCGGATCCGAGGTTGTTTGGGCTGTTGCCGGAGGATGTGAGGGGGAGGTATATGAGGACTATGGCGCTTGAGGGGATGTGCTAATCTTGGAGGTTGCTACTTGGTTTGAGGGCTAGGATAGATGCGTGTTGGCTGGGGGGTGTGTTACAGATGGATGGATGACAACTGGAGGGAGAAGTGAGGAAAGAGTACGAGTAAAAAAGAGCTTTTGAGTCTAGTTTAGTGGTGTTTGGAATTTTAGCCGTATACAGATTGTTGCTTTGTTGAGTCCTGGCTAGTGAGGGTGAGTGTGTATCTATGGGTTTGGCGAGGTGCCGCTTGTTGGTCTACACAGTAAAAGGAAGGCTAAATAACCGCTTATAGTGTGTCTACATACTGTTACCTGGTCCTCAAAAAGCAGATAGTCATAAAACTGTTTCGAAACACTTCCCAAGCAAAGTGCCACATGCGAAATGTTGATGTAGCTGAAAGTGAACCCGGCTACAAATAAAGAAGCTTATTGCTTGCCATGAACGAGATTTTCTGTACAAGCGCAGCCCGCCAAAGAGCGATTCAATAGCGGTCGTTAGCGCCCTTCCATTAACATCACAGCAACCCAACCAACACCACATCACGTCACAGCTGAGCTTACACTGCCTCATTGCAAAATGTGAGGCAGGATGCCTCAATGAGTCGATAAGTCAAATCCTGACTCTTCTTATCTTGCTTTCTGACTTTGACTTCGAAACATTCTCAAGTGCTGTTGCTGCCTAGCAACAACAATACACCATACAGTATTTTACCCACTTGTGGCCTCCCCCTCCTACAATACCTATTCGACGTCATTGAGTAACGTATTTCTCCCAGCAGCTCATGACAGAGTGAAACGTTGGTAAAATACTCTTACATCTATCTGACTTCTCACCTTATCACTAGCTGAAACATATATCTTTTTTTCTTCCTCATCCATCTTTTTCCACATCCAACTCAAACTTCAACCCCAGACTGAACTATTTTCCCCCCATGACATAACAAATCCTCCACGGACCAACACAACAATGACAGCCCACGCCACCCATGGCCATACGGCCCTCACGCCGCCGACCCCCCACCCCAATCTCAATATATCAGACCTCCCCCACGAAATCCTCCTCCTAATCCTCTCCTCCCTCCCCACCGCCGCCGACGTCTCCCACCTGGGCTTAACCTGCCGCCGTCTGCGGCGGCTCGTGACCTCGGAGGGGTGGCGCGCCTTTGTGATTGCCAGGTTTCCTTCGCTTGTTGAGTCCATCCCCACCGCTCCCGCTCCCATTTCTGGCTCTGGCTCTGGCTCTGGCTCTGGCTCTCAAGGAGGACAACAACAAAATGGAAGTGGAGGAGGAGGAGGAGGGAGATACGGCTGGCAAGAGATAGCCGAGAGTTTAACCTGGCAAAGTAGGTGTTGGGATAAGAGGGCGGTGGGGTTTTGTGCTATCTACCCTACTACCTCCTCCGCTTCTTCTGGGACTGGACATGGACATGGACATGGGCAGAGAGGAGGGGGTGGGCAACAGGGACAGCAGGGACAGCAGGGACAGCGGGGAAATATGTTTCAATCGGTGGTGGACGCGCACTTTGATTTCGCTACGGGGAGGGAGTTACTCATCTGGGGTGCGGGGGAGGACTTGGTAGCAAGGAGGAGAGATTGGGGAGGCGGACAGAAGAGTAAGAGTGCGCCGAAGTTTAGTTGGTTTAAAGCCGAGGGGAGGGAGGAGGGGTACAGGAAGGGGTATGATGATGTTAGGGCTTTGTGTGTTGTTAGGGGGGATGTGCCTCTGTCCGGTGGGCAAGGGAAGGGGTCGGGGTCGGGGTCGGGGGGAACCAAGGGGAACGGAGGAGCAGGGGGATATGGAAGGGGGTATGGAAAGGCGGTGGTGGTGGGGAGGGATAATGGGGATTTGGCCCTGGTAGAGGCGGAGGGGGAGAGGTTTGGGAAGAGGATTGTGAGGTTTAGGCCACAAGAAGGGGAGGAAGGGGAAAGATTGGTGCAGGACACGATTAACAGCGTGGATGTGTTGTATGATGCCCCGGGGGGAAGGAGGTTGCTGGCGGCGGCGACGAAGAAGGCGGTGGGGGTTTATGCTTTGCCGGATGGGAAAGAGGAGGTGGGAGAGGATGAGGAGGTGTCGCCGGTGGTGGTTTACGATTTGCAGAGGAGTGTGTTGGACAGCAACACGGCTCAATTGTGCAGCGCGAAGTGGATGGGTGGTCAGGGGAATGTGATGGCTTTGGCGCTTAAGGGGTGCAGTGAACGACTGCAGTACCTTTCGATCACGGAGTCGGGGTGGACGCATCATACTACGGCGAAGAGTATCATCAACTCGGGAGGTGTGGGCGGGTTGAGTATCCCTGATGCGGATATCTGTGCGAACTCCCTTTCGCCTGTCTACGCCAATCCCAACCAGCAAAAGTCGGGCGGGACAACACTGCTCCTCTCGGCATGGAAAGACGGTACCTGTCGCCTTCAGGACCTACGAACTTCTTCTCCCTACGACGCTATCTATCAAGACAACATCCAGCCCTGGGATCATGTCGAGGCCATCCTCACGTACGGTACAGAGCGCTTCGTTGCTGGCGCTGGTAACTCTGGCGCAACCATCAAGATATTCGACTTCCGGTGGCCGAAACCATACTCTCACACCTCAGCCCTCCCCTGCCTCGGTCGCCAACCTTTTCCGAAACCTCACCAACCTTTCGCCAAGGCACCCAACGCTTCTCCCACCGGCCGTGCAAGATGCGATTATCTAGCAGGCTTAGAATGCCACTGGCACTCCCTCTCCAAGCACCTCTACTATCGGCCCAACGCAACCATCTTCCTCCCGCGCGGCGTGCCCGGCCACGAACACGACCGGAGCAACCAGCACGGCTTCACACGGACTTGGTCCCTCGCCAAAGCCTCTGACTCGGCTCCGAACTTCTACATGGGCGTTTCCGGCGGAGTGATCGAAGCCAACCTTCAACCGGCCCCTTCCAGCCCTTCAAACCCGGTAGAAATCGACCCCATATACGGGTACAACTACCCCTATTTCACCGGCCCATTGCCAGTCACCGGTCACCCGGCACTCTCCCACTCCACCTTCTCCCCTTACTCCTCGAGAAACCAAAGCCAGGTAAATCAAGGCGCAGCGGAAGGGTACACAACCGTTCCCATCAAATACTCGCTCATGGAAACGGGCGATGGACTGTCGGTGGAAGCGAACGACAGATCAATTCGCATGCCGAGGATGATGGGTCCCTTTGAACCCTCTTCTTCTGCTTTTGCTAACCCTGCGTCGCCGTTCGGGAGGGTTCCCCCAACGGCTCCGAGGGCGGATAGGGAACGAGCGGCGGCGGCAGCAGCAGCAGCAGCAAGGGGAGGTCATGGTGGACGAGGAGGTGGTGGTGGGCATAGAGGAGGCAACCTAAGTTTTGGCCGGAATGGAAACGGATCATGGGTGACGAACAATACGAATAGGGATGGATCGGCGACAAGTCAAAAACAGGTGTGGGAGCAGTGGAAGGAGGGCGTTGAGCTGCCGGCTGGGGTGAGGAGGGAACATCATCGGTTGGATTTGAAGTATCAGACTACGATTGATTTTGGGGTGTTGTTGGAGGATGAAAAGGGGGAGACGGGGTTGGAGGGGAGGGTGGAGAGGATGGTTGTTTGAATCGTAGATGAATAAAGATGAAGACAAAAGCGTTCATATAGTCTCTATATTTTTCCTCTTTGTCAACGTTCTCTCTCCAACGGTGTCGATAAAGGAGTGCTTGCGTAACACCTCGTCCTTCTCTTTACTCGGAAAGGAGTCAGGGTTGGGGTTATGTGTGATCTCTATCTGTTTATACACCACGGTGAAGTCGCCGGTGAAGTCGCCGGTGAAGTCGCCGGTGAAAGTTCGCTGCGGGGGCGGGGTAAGCTCCCTGCCGGTTGCCCTGGGATGCCATTCCCGAAGCCAGATTCGTCACTTTGTAAATACTCTGCGTCCAACAAGCTTGCAACACGCGACGGAGTAATCTTTGACCCCGCCCCTCAAAAGTGATATTTCGAAGTTGATGACTGAGGAATGCCAGCTGGCAAACTTCCCGTGTACATAAGAATATCCGAGCTGAATGAGAGAACATCTTTCTTTCCCTCATCCCGAGCTCCCTGGAAGTTTAGGCAACAAAAGCAAACAGCCACGGGACAACTTTGAACTTTGAAAAACTTGGAAGCTCACACTTACCGTGACATCAACAAACAACCTGCTCACCTGCCCTGGCTGGACCGGAGGCATACGTCATTTACAGAAAGAAGCGACATCTCGAAAGCGAGCTCCTGACCAAACAAACAAACAGTACTAGTGCCTTGCAGAAGGAAGGCATAAGCGACAACCTCACATCGATCAAGGAAACAACACCCCGCCTGGATTTCAACCATGGCCTCCCGCCGCCAACGCTCCGACTCCCTTGACGACGACGACTCCTTCAGCGACGAAGATCTCGACTTCATCAACTCTCAAGCCACAGACGACAGTATCAGCATGTCATCTTCACAACAAGACCTCTCCTTCGCCAGCAGCAGGGGCAGCAATGGCACGCCCAAGAACAAGAACAACACAGATGTTGTTGACTTGACGGCTAGCAGCCCGACTACACCGAGCCATCCTTTTTCCGGCAAACGGGAAGAGTTTAACCTTGGAGGGATGACCATCCACGGCCTCGGCCAGGACCACGCCTCCACACCCATCCCCAAATTCGGCCAGCCCACACAGCTAGTATCCCAGTTCACGCCCGTCAACACCAGCAACAACACCAAGAAGGCTGCCAGCCGAAGCGGCGGAGGAAATGAAAACAAACATGCCTTGAACCCGTCTCCTCACGGCAACGGTGGTCTCGGCGCCAGCAGCCACGCCATCGGCGGATCCAAGTACAACAACCTCTTCAACGACCGGGGCAAGAACCGACCGGAATTTCACAAGGACTTGTACAGATCTAGCGGACCTCTCAAGGCCAATGCCCCACCGGCGAAGCCGTCGTCGACGACGGAAATCAAGAGGAACAGCATGGGCATGCAGCTGTTCAGCTCGTTGGATGTGGATCCGCCGGCACCGCCACCTTTGCAGCCGGGTAGGGGCACGGCTTCGAAAGGGGCTGCGGCGGCGTTTGGGGAGAATGTGTTTTATACTGATCCCGACAAGGCGAAGGAGGATCTGAAGGCGTTGTTGGAGGGTGGGTTGGATGATGAGGAGAGCGAGGATGAAGGAGCTAAGGCGAAGACGAAGGGTGCCGTGTCAGAGTCAAAGAAGAAGGAGGAGTCGATTGTTTCTTCTACTGGACATCTAGCTGGCCTTGCTGTCCCTTTGCTGCCGCATCAGGTTGAGGGTGTCAGATGGATGATTAACCGCGAGCTTGGCCCTCTGAAGCGCGGCCGTGTTCCCAAGGGTGGACTCCTGGCAGATGATATGGGTATTTTGACTCTATCTTGATTCTATTTTTGACTCCGTGCTAACTTTCCGCAGGTTTGGGCAAGACATTGCAGTCCATTTCCTTGATCATCGGCAACCGAAAACCCGCCTCGTCCTCGGCTCTGGGCTGGAAAGTCCACTTCAAGGACATCAGCAAAGCCACACTCGTCGTTGCGCCACTGGCTCTCATCCGACAATGGGAGGCCGAACTGAAGGATCGCGTCATGCCCGACTTGAACATCAAAGTATGCGTTCATCACGGCCCAAAGCGTTCTACAACTCCCTCCGAACTCACCAAATATGATGTTGTCATCACCACCTACCAAATCCTCGTGTCAGAGCACGACAAGTCTCACCCTGACCCCAACAAGGGCGCGCAAGCAGGCTGCTTCGGCGTACACTGGTTCCGCGTCATTCTAGACGAGGCGCATAGGTGAGTCCTGAAAGTCGGATACTGGCTACTTCATGAAGGCTTGCTTACACATGATACCACAGCATCAAAAACCGCAACACCAAAGCGGCCAAAGCATGCTGTGCCTTGCGCTCCGAGTACCGCTGGTGTCTGACTGGCACGCCGATGCAGAACAACCTCGACGAGCTACAATCTCTCATCCACTTCCTGCGCATCGCGCCCTACGACAACCTAGCCGAGTGGCGAGCCCAGATCGACGCGCCCATGAAGCAAGGCAAGGGCCACATCGCCATCCAACGCCTCCACAGCATTCTCCGCTGCTTCATGAAGCGCCGCACCAAGGAAGTTCTCACCGAAAAGGGCGCCCTCGTGGCCGGCGGCAAGGAAGCCCTCGCCAAGGCCGAAGAGAAGGGCGAGAAGGCGCCCGAAGCCGCCTTCAAGGTCACGGAGCGCAAGGTCGTCACCATCGAAACGGAGTTCAGCCCGGCCGAAAAGGCCTTCTACAAGGCCTTGGAGGAGCGAGCCGACCAGAGTCTCGAGAAGATGATGAAGGGCCGCACGGTCAACTACGCCAACGCGCTCGTGCTGTTGTTGCGGCTGAGGCAGGCTTGTAATCACCCTAGGTTGGCGCAGACGAAGCTTGACAAGGACCGGGACGCGTTGTCGGTGGATTCGGCGACTGCACCGACGCCTGCTGGTAAAAAGAAGAAGAACGCCTATGATTCGCAAAGTCAGACCAGTAGTGTGGATGACTTGGCGGATATGATGGGCGGCATGGGGATTCAGACTAGGCAATGTGATATGTGTCTGGGGGAGATGACTAAGAAGGAGATTCAAGAGGGGCAGTTGAGATGTAGAGGGTGCGAGGATAGTTTGAGCCAGTTGTTGAAGGAGCAGCAGAGTACGCAGGAGAGTGTGGAGAGTAAGGGGAGCAAGAAGCATAAGAAGAAGAAGAAGAAGGTGAGTGTGGTTAAGGAGAAGGTGAAGGTTGAGAGGAAGACTAGAGGGAGGGGAAGGAAGGTTGTGGTGGATAGTGATGATGAGGAAGAGGAAGAGGAGGATGAGGAGGAGACGCCCAAGAAGGGCAAGAAATCTCGCGATAACAGGAAGCGGGTTGTCGATAGTGACGACGAAGAGGATGAAGGCACCTGGCTGGTGGGAGAGTCACAGAGAAGCACACTTGACCTTGGTGTTGCCGGTGGCACAGACGACGAGAACGCCGAGGGCACCGGCGAGGACATCGACTCCAACGAAGAGATCTCCGAAGACTCAGAGGACCCAGAACAAGACAGCTTCGTCGTCAAAGATAGTGACGATGACGACGATGACGACGACGAGAGCGTCGACGAGGACTCGATAGTCGGCTCCGGCGACGAAGACGATACGTTCGCCTCCGTCTCCAAGCTCAGCTCGCAAGTCCTCAAGCAATCCGAATCCGAAGAATCAGAGACCGCCACCTCCTCCGAAGAAGAATCCGATATCTCGGAATCAGAACTCGACGACTCCTCCGAGACAGACTCCGAAGCCGAATACGGCATCAAGAAGCGCACCCCCAAAGCCCCGGTACAAATCTCCTCCAAGATCCACGAGCTCATCGCCATCCTCCGCCGCGAAGCCCCCACCCACAAGTTCATCGTCTTCTCCCAGTTCACCTCGATGCTCGACCTCGTCGAGCCCTTTTTGAGGCATCACCTGCCGGACATCAAGCACGTCCGGTACGACGGCAAGATGCCCAACGACGCGCGCGAGGCCTCGCTGCACTCGCTCCGCAAGGACCCGCGCACCCGCGTCCTGCTGTGCTCGCTCAAGTGCGGATCTTTGGGGCTGAACCTGACTGCCGCGACAAGGGTGATCATTGTCGAACCCTTCTGGAACCCCTTTGTTGAGGAGCAGGCTATTGATCGCGTGCACCGTTTGACGCAGACGGTTGATGTGGTGGTGTATAAGTTGACGGTGAGGGGAACGGTGGAGGCGAGGATCCTGGAGTTGCAAGACAAAAAAAGGTTGTTGGCGCAGGCGGCGGTCGAAGGGTCGACGGAGAGAGGGAAGAAGAAGGGCCAGGGATTGAAACTCGGGCTGCAGGAGATTTTGGATCTGTTCAGGCATGATGGTAGTAGGGCTGTCAATGGTGCTAACGGCGGGTCTGGGTCCCACGTTGTTGAGGAGAATGAGTTCGCTGCGGGTAGCAGGACTCCGGCTAGGAGGAGTGCTGCTGGTGCGGCGGCTAAGTCTAATACGGGGGCGAGGAGGGAGCATGAGGTTTTTGGGCGGAGGTGGTGAGTGGACAGGAGCGAGCACGCCGTGGTATAAATTGGGCTTTTTAGCTTCCTTGCTTGATGTTATGAGCTTATGATGAGATATTATGATACATGATAAATGGCTGGGACTCGGTATACTTGGTTTGGAACTTGTCTGGGTATAGGTACAGGATGTTATGATGTTATGTTTATGAACGACCTTGGTTGAAAGTGTCATTTCTGTGTGGGATAACAAACAATGAAGATGGAACGACCTGGTAAAAGGTCGGTATAATTGTTACCGTTAGCTATCCAATTGGAACCAAATCATGATATAGAGAGAAGAAGAAACTGATAACAATAACAAAATCCTTTTACACGCCTCGTAAATGCGGGTATTGCAACAGAGGAGCATGTGCTCACTCAAACCATGATCTATGCATATTTCTCATCCATATCCAGGATATATCCCTCTCACATCACACCCTTCCCTTAACATCCCCCCCCATCTCAAGACCGGAAAAGCTTCAAACCAGCCTCCTCAACACTAACACCACCCATCTCCTCATCCTCCTCCTCCTTCTCCGCCTCCTCATCCTCCTTGAGCACCATCTTCTGTCCAAACAGCGTGCCAAAGAACCGATCAATAGCATGCTCCTCCCACGACCTTCTGTCCTCGGGCGCCATAAAGTTCTGCAACTTCTCGTGCACCGTGAACCGCAACTTGCGTCCTTTGCTCGCCTTCCGATCGACCTGCTTCCTCGTCTTGGCCTCCTTGAGTGCCGCCCACCTGACGGTCGCGACCGACTCTCCGGGCGCAGCGGAATCCGAGCTGCGCTGGTCGACTAGCTCCTTGAGCAGCAGCTGGTAGAAATCGGCGTCGTCGTAGATCTCGGTGTCTTCCTCGACCTTCTTGGCCGCCTGCGCGGGGGCGCACGAGCGCGGTGTGCGCGCCTTTTTGATGAGGCGGTCGGCGCTGAGGAGCTGGTCGTCGAGCACGGAGACGAGCGATTGGGAACCGGCAGACTGGGCGAGGCGGCGCTCCTTGGTCATGGAGGCGGTGGTGCTGCGCACGCGCGTGGACCACTTGTCGAGGACCTGGCGGCGGTACTTGTTGGCGGGACCCTCGACGGCCTCGAGGGCCTCCCAGATCTCGGACTCGGGCGTGTCGAGCTCGATGGCGTCGCGCTTGCGCTTCTCGCCGGCCTTGGCCTTGACCTGTTCGGGGAGGAAGCTGTTGCGGACGGAGTCGATGGTGTTCCATAGCTTGACGGCGGCCTCTTCGGCGGCCTTGTAGGGCTTCTCCTTGAACTTCTCGGGCTTCTCGACGCAGTTGAAGGTGTTGGCGGCGATGAGCGCCTTCTGGAGACGGATGCGGAGGTTGAGGATGGAGTCGAAGATGCGGCGCTGGGAGCGGACGGCGACACCCTTTTGGGCGTCGGCCTCGGCGGCTTTCGAGAAGGTGGAAACGATCTTCTTCTCGTCCTCGGCCATGATCTTGCGGAGCTCGGCGTTTACGTCGTTCTTGTCGTCGTCGCCTGACTCCTCGTCCTCATCTTCGTCTTCCTCATCTTCGTCCTCGTCCTCGTCGCCGGAGCCTTCTTCGTCATCCTCGTCGTCCTCTTCGGAATCGCCCTCTTCGTCTTCGCTGCCGGAGAGCAGAGCACCGTCGAGTTCCTCCTCATCATCCTCACCCTCATCGTCATCAGTCTCCTCGGCCTCCATGTCGAAAAGGCCGTTTTGCTCGCCCTCCTCAGAATCTTCCTCATCCTCATCGTCCTCCTCGAGGTCCTCATCATCTTCCTCCTCTTCGTCATCCTCAGAGCCGGACATGAAGTCAGCGGCAGTAGGCCTCTTCTTAATGCGAACCGCAAGGTCGTCCTTCTTAGGGGTCTTAGCTGGTGTCTTGGGCTTGGAGCTCCCACGGAAGGTGAACTTTTCCGCCCAGTTTTCGTCATCTTCCCCTAGCGCATTGTCGCTGGAGATCTCGGCGTCGTCGTCGATGTGGTCGCGTTCGAGATCGGCGGTTTCTGGGTCGGCGAACTCTTCGGAGCCGGACTCGGACTCGCCATCTTCGAGGTCGCTTCCCTCTTCGTCGTTCTCTTCATCATCTTCCTCGTCGTCTTCCTCGTCATCGAAGTCCTCTTCGTCGCTCTCCTCTAGGGCCTTGCGGCTGACGCGGGTACCGCTGTATTCTGGGCCGAGTGTGGGCGCTTCTGTTTTTCGGAGCTTGCTCTTGCTGTTGGGTGGTGGTGATTAGTCTTTGTTGTCTTCGGCGCAAAACGTATGAAGTAGGGATTGTGTCGACATACCTAACTGCAACGTAATGCTCTGTCTCAGCACGCTCTACATCGCTGTCGACTTCGCTTCCGCTCTGATCATCGTCACCATCGCGAGGCTCGGCTTCGGGATCATAGTCTGTAATAATGCATTGTCAGCAGGAACCTCTTTGGTCCTGTAGCTCCGTTTGCCGTACCCTTTGCAGGCTTCTCGTCGAACATAGAAGCCCGCAGCTTGTTGCTCTTTTTTGTGGTGTACAACGGCATGGTGGCGGCTCTGTGTGGTGGTGGTTGTGGTGTTGGCGCCAAAGAAGAGAAAAAAACCAAGACGAATTCGAGATGGCGCTTGGGGATGAATTCGATGGTTCTGAAAAATACAGAGGATCCGAATTGATGGAACGGAAACCCCACGCCCGAAAAAATCAGAGCTTTGCCTGGGAGAACGGGAAATTTTGGCGGTGACAGCTGGCAAATGGTAAAGTGGGGCCGATGGACAGGGGTCCGGATGCACCAAGAGATGGGCTCCACTTGCTGCGACCACTGTTCCTCGGGACGCCAATTGGGGAAGTTGGGGAACTGAACTTCCACTCTTCACTATGACTTCACGTTATGACAATTTGATACAATCTGAGGACTCAAAAATTATTCATCTTTTTACATGAACGTTCAGGTTCTGCCTGGGCCAATTGAGGAAAATGAGGGCAACACTGTCCCGCCTTTTACAAGCCACAAGAGTTCTCCAGCATGAGAATCCACTGGTACCTTTCCCGCGACTTACACACTGACTCGGAGCTCTTCACTAACACATCAACTCATAGGGACTCCCCAGAACTGGCACCATTCCACGCTTTCAACGAGGTCTTCCTCAAAAGCGCAAGATCAAAAATGTAAACAAAGTCATTGCCGTATCTTCAGCCAAGGGTGGTGTGGGAAAAAGCACAATAGCTGGTGAGTTGTCCTCGTCTTCTCACCTCATCCCTGTCCGGAACCGGATCAGGGGAAAGTAAACAACATCACCTCCTACAAGTCAGAACAAGCCTCCTCAGAGACTTCACTTTTAAAATATATCTCTTCCAGTCCAGCCCACCTGGTGAAAATATCCCCAAAATCATCTAATCCAAACTCATTCTCCCAGCCTACCTTATCCCCCCTTCACTATCTTCCTCTCCACCTTTCACTTTGAAGCTAACACCCCCCACCCACCCTCCCAGCAAACCTAGCCCTCTCCCTCTCCCGCCTCGGCTACACAACCGGCATCCTCGACACCGACCTCTTCGGCCCCTCCATCCCGACCCTCTTCAACCTGTCCTCCGATAAAAACCCCCATCTCTCCCCTTCCCTCAATGCCAACGACCAACTCCTCCCCCTAACCTCCTACGGCGTCAAAACCATGTCCATCGGCTACCTTTTAGGGTCTGAAGACTCCGCCCTCGTCTGGCGCGGTCCCATGCTCCTGAAAGCCATCCAACAGTTGTTGCACGAAGTCGACTGGTCCCATCCCTCGCTCGATATCCTCGTCCTAGATCTTCCGCCGGGGACGGGTGATACCCAGCTTAGTATAGCGCAGCAGGTGGTGGTTGATGGCGCCGTGATTGTCACGACGCCGCATACGCTGGCGATTAAGGACGCGGTGAAGGGGGTGAATATGTTTCGGAAAGTGGAGATTCCGATTTTGGGGGTGGTGCAGAATATGAGCGTTTTTTGTTGTCCTGAGTGTGGGAAGGAGACGCATGTGTTTGGCGGGACGGAGGGGGTGAGAAAGGTTTGTGGGGAGATGGGCATGGAGTTTTTGGGGGATGTGCCGCTGCATCCGGCTATTGGGGAGGATGGGGGCAGGGGGAAGCCGACGGTTGTTAGTGACCCGGGGGGAAGGGAGGCGGAGGTGTTTATGGGGTTGGGGAGACGGGTGGCGGAGTTGGTTGGGTTGGAGAAGATGCCCTTGGGGAGGGAGTGAGAGGATGGGAGGATAGGGCAGGTTGAGGTGGGGAGACGATGGATCACAGGACGGGTCTTTCTTAGTCGAGGCTGAACGGTACTCGATGGTGTATATGCTTTGTAAATGGAGCTATAAAGTACCAAGATCTTTGTTGTATATGAGACTTCAAAGGAGGCATAGCCTATCGCTTCCTCTACTATCTTGTCACTATCGCCTTCTTTCCCCCCTTCATCCGCTCAAGTTGACTTGGTAGGCGTATCAGTATAAGGATCAAAACCCATACGTCTCTTCGCCTCGTTCCGTATATCCCACTTTTCTTCACCCCTCAGCCCAGTCGTCGACGTCTCCTCCAGGAAGAAGGTAAGGATGTGATCTGGAATCGACAGGTGAGACGTCTGCTGGAACTCCTGCAGGCTGCATAGTCGTATCAACATTTCCATGAGCGACAGCGACGAGGTGATGGCACCGAATGGTGACCTAGCCACGAACGAGTCCATGCTGTTGGGTTCCTTCTGCGCCCCCTGGACCTGGGTTGGTGTTTGGAACAACTGCTTGCCATTTGCTCCCGGGCCTGGTAATGATGAAGTTGACGCCAGAGGAGAGGGGACGTATTTTCGTTGTTTTGGAGGCGTGTTCGGGTATGGTTGTAGAGAGACGTTGCGGATCTGATCGACGAGTTTCGAGTCGACCACCTTGTCGCGTGGTGTAGCTGACTTGGAGGACCGGATGCTGGACTTATCATCACCGTCATCATCGTCGTCAGATTCGTCTTCGCTCTCGACAAAAACCTCCAGCGCAAGCCATTCGGGATCTAAATGCGACGGTAGACCTAATGCTTTCCTCAATCGACCTTCTTCTGCCGCGGCCGCAAGTTCAGTAGACTTGGTCTCCGTCAGCAGTTGCGCGTCGATGTTGGCTTGCTCGTCGTCTTCAGCTGTGTCGTATGCCGTTTCCCCTTCTGATGCCTCTGCCTGTTCCGGGTCGGCGTACCATTGGCGTTTGAGCTCGATCGGATCTGGGGCATGGAGGTCTCTCTTTAGTAGCAGCACCGGGTTGTTGTCTCCCTCCTCGGCGTTACCGATGTTCAGGAGTCGTCCGGTGTCGGTATAGAAAATCTTGGAAACCTGGTGTATGGGAATGGAGTCTCGAATTCCAGCCATATCAACCCCGTCGAATGGTTCACGTGCCTCATCATCCTCGTGAACACGTCCGTCGTCGAGATCTTCAATGATCTCCAAGTGATAGGCATACTCGTCTGGGCGGCCAAGCAGCGAAAGGGCCGAATCAACGGCAGCAGAGTACCCGTTTACGGTTCCATCAAGAGACTCACCGGGGCAGTATCCGCGAGTCTTGTCAAAGTTCCAGCCTAGCGGTGTGCGAACCAGCCGTACACGAGCCTTGTGCACCACTTCCTGCCAGATAGGTTTCCGTTCACCTTCGCCGACACCATATGGTCGCTCCTTGGTCCACGTCTTGCCTCCAGTGCTAGGAGTGGTAGGAACGGAACTAGCACGGCCAAGCTTGGAATGAGCGCGGAAGAGCATGTAAAGAGATAATGTGAAGGAAGGTCCGATGGGCACTGCTCGGTTAGGGTTGTTCACAAAGTGTGAATCCCCGAATGACAGGAAGGCACTCGCCTGCATCAGTCTCGACGGAGAGATACCAGCGTTCACTGTAGTGTTCATCCGCTCTCCAGAGGCAGTGATGGCGAGCTGGATCAGAGGGATCTCTCTGTCTATGCGGGCCAGTAGTTCCTTCATCTCCTTGATAATGGTTAGCAGCTCAACATGATGAGCTTCCGACATCCGGGCTTGCTTGCCATCGGAGCGGGAGCTCTCTTCGGCAGTGGCAGCATCGTTTAGGCGCTTTCCGAGAGAAATGATGTCTCGATGGAGAGACTTGGCAAGAGGCACAGCTGCCTCGAGGAAGACATTGCCACGGCCAGATCTGGATACAGTGTTAGTCACATATGACTGAGTCAAAGAAAGGTGAGGCATACTTGAACTCGATCAGGTCGATAGCTGGTGAAACGATCTAACATGGGGAACATCAATGTTAGCAAGGAGTGTCTTTGTTGGAGGGGTGGTTAGCATTGTTGGACCAGGCATAATGACCACTCACCTTGATCTTACTATCCAAGAGCTTCTGCAGCTTCTTGAGCTCCGTATAAACTCCTTTGTCGTCGACCGTCTTGAGCAGCCTCGAGCACTGGTTGACGGCGTAGGTGGAGGTGATTGCGATGCCTGATCTGATGGCGTAGTTGACCGCATGAGACCCGAGCTTGGCCAACAGTGCGTCCATGATTTTCTTGTCCGGTCAAATAAAAATGTGTGATTATTTGATTGGTGTGCCTATCATATTTCTGTCCTGTTTGGGGAGTTTTATGTACGTGATAATTGTTAGTGTTCGTCCCGTCCGTTGATGTTCAGGTCCTTCAAGTTATGCCCGTGGTTGCCTGCGCAGTGGAAGAGTGACGTTGGTTGGCGGGTCCAGGCTTTCGTCTCTTTTGAGTTCACGGCCCGGGGACACGCCAGTGCATGCGCCAAGAGACACCAAGGAACCTGTACGTTGCAAGTATTCGCACTGTAATTCTGCTGATCGAATCCCACTGAATGCCGGTTTTAGGCGCATCTCTCGCCGAGTGACTCCCCGAATCGCACCGTGTGCAACTGTCGGTGTTTCCGCCTTGACGCACAGTGGATAATGGGACAAAAAATTGTCATGCCCGTGTTCCCCGCCACCACGCTCTCCCCAATCAACGGTGGGGCAGCCCTTGCCAACGTTTCTTGACCCAAATCTCTCTTCGACTCTTTGCTCGCTTGTAGTTGGACGGGTCACTCAGAGTCCAAGTCATCAGGGTACATTTCCATTTTCCGACTGCCCGATTCCCTCCTTGCGCAACTATATCCATCGCGCTACCCAGTCGACAGAGTCGGAATCAATCTTGCTGACCATCCCTCTTATTCTCACCACTCTCCAGCCCCCCGAGCGAGACCTCGAACCCATACACTTCCCGCCGGTACCCTTTCGCGAAAACACACGCGACCACTATCCAACATGTCTGGAAACGTTCAGAACAACTGGGAGGATGCCGCCGATCAGGACGAGCGCCTGGCGCGCCAGACCCAGAACCAGATGAACATCAGCGCTGGAACCTTCCGCCCCGGCGCCGCTGCCTTCACTCCCAATGCTCCCGCCTTCACTCCCGGCCAGTTCGCCGCTCCCGGCTTCACCCCCCAGTACCAGCAGCAATACTACGGCGGCGCCCAGCAGGGCTATGGCGGCGGCTACCCCCAGTACGGCCAGCAGGGCTACGGACAGCAGTACAACAACCAGCAGCAGCAGGGCTACGGCGCTGTCTACGGTCAGCAGGGATATAACCAGGGCTACGGTAGGCCGCTTGTTAATACGTTCTTGTGGATGAACCAGGCTGATAGATACGGATACTAGGCCAGCAACAACAATATGGTGGCTACCAGCAGAACCAGGGATACCAGCAGAGGCAACAGCAGAACCGCGATGCCCCCAAGCCAGCTCCTCAGATCGTCAAGAGGCCAGAGCAGCCCGCTGCCCAGGCGCAACCAAAGCCCGAGGCCCCCAAGGCTGCCAAGATTCTCAGCATCGGAGGCGATGCTCCTGCCAAGGTTCTGAGCATCGGTGGTGATGCCCCCAAGCCCGCCGCCAAGGTTCTCTCCATCGGCGGCACTGCTCCCGCCAAGGAGGCACCCAAGAAGGAGGAGACCAAGAAGGACGCTGCTAAGAAGGAGGGTACCGCTGAGGCCGCCGCCAAGGTTGCTGCTACCAAGGCCGTCGAGAAGTCCGAATCTGCTGCTCCTAGCGGCAAGACTTCGCCCGCTCCCTCTTCCGGCCGCGCCAGCCCTTCGGCCGCTAACTCCGGCACCAAGGTTATTCGCGAGGTCGATGCTGTTGAGAAGGAGATTCAGTCCGCCGATGTTGACGACGAGACCCTCAAGGAAATCTACGGCAAGGAGCATATGAACATTATCTTCATTGGTCACGTCGATGCCGGCAAGTCTACCCTCGGTGGTGCCATTCTCTACGTCACCGGCATGGTTGACCAGCGTACCCTCGACAAGTACAAGAGGGAAGCTAAGGAGATGGGTCGTGAGACCTGGTACCTCTCGTGGGCTCTTGATTTGACCAACGAGGAGCGTGCCAAGGGTAAGACTGTCGAGGTTGGTCGCGGTTTCTTCGAGACCGACAAGCGCAAGTACTCCATTCTCGATGCCCCCGGCCACAAGACCTATGTCCCCAACATGATTGGTGGTGCTTCCCAGGCCGATGTCGGTATCCTCGTCATCTCCGCCCGTAAGGGTGAGTACGAGACCGGTTTCGAGAAGGGCGGTCAGACCCGTGAGCACGCCATGTTGGCCAAGACCCAGGGTGTCAACAAGCTCGTCGTTGTCATCAACAAGATGGACGACCCTACCGTCAACTGGTCCGAGGAGCGCTATAAGGAGTGCACGACCAAGCTTGCTCAGTTCTTGAAGGGTACTGGTTACAACCTTAAGACGGATGTTTTCTTCATGCCCGTCGCTGCCCAGCAGACCCTGGGTATCAAGGACCGCGTCCCCAAGGATGTCTGCCCCTGGTACGATGGCCCCTCGCTGCTCGAGTACCTCGATAACATGAACGCCCTCGAGCGCAAGGTCAACGCCCCCTTCATGATGCCCGTTGCTGGCAAGTACCGTGATATGGGTACCATGATTGAGGGTAAGATCGAGGCCGGTGTGATCAAGAAGGGTATGAGCTTGATCATGATGCCCAACAAGCAGTCGGTCGATATTTCGGCTGTCTACGGCGAGACCGAAGATGAGGTTTCCGTTGCCCAGTGCGGTGAGCAAGTCCGTCTCCGTCTCCGTGGCATCGAAGAAGAAGAGATCATGCCCGGTTTCGTTCTTTGCTCGCCCAAGCGTCTTGTGCATAACGTCACCGCTTTCGAAGCTCAGATCCGTATCCTTGACCTCAAGAGCATCTTGACTGCCGGCTTCAACTGCGTGCTCCACGTCCACGCCGCTATTGAGGAGGTTACTTTCGCTGCTCTCCTCCACAAGCTCCAAAAGGGCACCAACAGGAAGTCCAAGCTTCCTCCTTCGCACGCCAAGAAGGGTGACAGCATCATTGCTCGTCTTGAGGTTACCGGTGGTGCCGGCTCCGTGTGCGTTGAGAGGTTCGAGGACTACCCCCAGATGGGTCGTTTCACCCTCCGTGATCAGGTATGTTTTTGTCTTTTTGCCCCTTTACTTCATCAAATACGTGCTAACAACTACCGCAGGGTCAAACTATTGCTATCGGCAAGATTACCAAGCTCATTACCGACACCTCTGCTTAAATGGTGAAGAGAAGATTGGTGTTGTCGGCGGACTTGAGTTAAGAAATCGTATTTATCAAGTCGAAGATGGTAACAACGTAAACGGGATCGAGTAGGTTTTACATTGGTTATTTGCTTGAGCGCGGAAAAAGCTTTTGTAAGGGTCATGTTTACGTTGTTCGAGTCCAAGCATTGGGGAGATAGAGCAAAATACCAGTTGGAATCAAAAGTTTTGTTACGTTTGGGAAGCCCGGGTATCTTGGATACCCAGGTCATTTTTTGTTTACTCTTATGATGATATTTATTGGCTTGCCCAGACCTCCATGTGACATGGAGGATGGAATTGCCCACCCAAATCACTGACGATCATTCCATCGGGACTGATGTCGCAAGATTCAAGCCAAGCTGTACCTGACATTAGCAAACCTTCCCAAGTGAAGACAATGAACTTCGAGAAACTCCCCGAGGAACATGCGGGGAGAGCGGGGCCGATGACGAGCTATTCCCGTCGGAAGAGGATGCCGAACAACGGAGGAGGTGTTATAAGCGGGCCCACTCCGGAGGCTACCGAGCGTATGAGGGGAAGAGGATATGAGTCTATGACAACGACAACAGCTTCTTTCATATAGGATTTGTAATTCCGTCGTTATAAAAGACAGCTCCGGAACTGAGGACGTTGCAACAGTTTTTACCAGAAAAACTCCAGGAATTCAAAGGTTCACGACGAAGGTAAGTTCTCATATTCCTCCTCTCATGACATCATGACAAATCCGGAGCTTCCACCGAATCCAAAAATGCGAGTTCAGAACTGTCAACATCTCAACTGTTTCTTCACTCTCCCACTTATCGTTTCAGAGTGCTGATACCAAGTCGTGGAAGTGTAGTTACTAATAAGACGAACAGCAACCCGATTTCACCCAGTTCCCAAACACCGAACGAACACACCTACTCACAACATCACGAACTTTTATTAAACACTGATCGATATCTCTCAACACCACCACCAACCATGTCCGTCCCAGTAACAGCTTCCCCAGCCACCGCGCCTCCCATCGACGTGAGCAACCTCTTCTCCGTCAAGGGTCTCGTCGCCCTCGTCACAGGCGGTGGTTCTGGTACGTCCACCCGACTTTTTTTTTTTTTTTTTGTTTCTTGACCCCCTTCCCCTTACCCGTCCTTTCCCAGTTCTCCGGTTCTCCCTCCCTCCCAGACTACCACTACCACTGTTGCTGACACACACAAAATCACCACCAAACAGGAATCGGCCTAATGCTAACTCAATCCCTCGCCTCCGCCGGCGCCAAACGCATTTACATCGCCGGCCGCCGCCTGTCGGTTCTCCAATCCGCCGCCGACCGCATCAACTCCTCTCTTCCTTCAACAAAAGAACCAGTAGTCGTCCCCCTAGAATGCGACGTAACATCCCCCACCTCCCTCTCCTCTTTAGTGTCCACCATCTCCTCCGACCCGTATACAGGATACTTGAACTTGTTGCTTTGCAACGCCGGCGTCGGCGGGCCGCAGGTTTCCGCCGTGAACAAGGAGACCGGCGAGCCCAAGACTCTCAAGGAATTCAGGGAACAGAATCTGGCGGTGGATTTTGATAAAGAATGGGAGCAGACGTTCAGGGTCAATGTGGGCAGTGTGTGGTATACGGCTATGGCTTGTTTGGAACTTTTGGACAAGGGGAACCAAGTTGCTGCTACTGAGGGGGTAAAGGAGGGGGTTTGGAGGGAGAGTAGCAGTCAGATCGTTGTGACGAGCAGTATTGCGGGTTTAAACAAGGCGGCGCCGGGCGGGTGGGCTTACGGGGTGAGTAAGGCTGCGGCGACGCATGTGGGGAAGCAGTTGAGTGTGCTGTTGCCTAGGTGGGGGATTCGGTGAGTTTTTTGATCTTTTTCTTTTTTTTGTTTGGTTTGGTGAAGGACTGGAGGGACTGGGGGGCTGTGGTGAGACGCTAGGGGAAACGGGAAGTGGTGAAGAGAGGTGAAGAGAAAAAGGGTGAAGAGAGAGGTGAAGAAAGGTGAAGAGAGAGGTGAAGAGAGAAGTGAAAGAGGTTGGACAGACTGGCGATTTTCAAGTGAGAAGAGCCAGGGGAAAAGGGTTCTCGGGACGAGTGTCCGTTTGAGCCAACTCCTTGATGCTTCTCGGCGTCATTTCCAACCTGGACCCTATCGGAATAGGGGGTCTACCGCTTTTCAAAGAAAACTTGCTAACCTTCCATCTCTCACAGCTGCAACGTAATCTGCCCCGGCCGTAAGTCTCCCTCCCTTCCCACCCCTTCCCAATCTTTCCACGGCCACTAACTCTGTCCACAGTCTTCCCCTCCGAAATGGCCGCTCCCATCGTCCAAGCCGCCGGCGGCTCCATGACCGGCGGAGGCGTCATCCCTCTCGACAAGAAGATTGTCCCTCTCGGCCGCATGGGCGATGAGTTCGACATGGCCGGGCAAATCCTGTACCTGGCTTCGCGGGCCGGAGCGTATCTGAACGGAAACGTGATTGTTGTTGATGGTGGACGGCTGACTACGATGCCTAGTACGTACTAGGTACTAAGTCTTGAATGAGGGTTGTGGGATGAGTAGTTGGAGAAGAATGGAGGAGGAACGAATTATAGACTTGGTTGGGGAGGGGGGAATGAATGAGCTCGGAAAGGAGATATATGACTTGGAGTGGTTGATGAATTTTGGCTCTACATACCTACCTTATGTTTCAGGTTCTACATGTGAAATGGATGGAAAGTTCCCAATGTCCACTTGTGGTCAAGGAGGCATTTCATTTCCTCGTGATTCCCTGTGTGAACCGCCATCCTGCAACAGAACAAGGAGTGTACCTACTCATCACTTTAGTTAATACTAGGACCATATCTGAGATACCACCTGTTGAGGGGCGCGCCATACCTACCTGTACCCTTGATCATGCTTAGCAGGGCTGAGACTATCTATGAATTGTCAATCTTGTGTGTATCCAACGGAGAATCGCTGAAGTACATACATCAGTCTGCTCTCCATCCATATTCCATCCTCGTCCATTCTACTAGTCTAGGATCTCGTTTGCTCACCAGACAACCCCATGCTTGTCGGAAGCATTTGATGACGGAAAGGATAAAGAGAAGCTCGAGTTGTGATCAGAGGAGGATCACCAAGAAGTATTTTGGCGTGAGATTTGCGGGCTTGCTACGTATTTCGTGCTCAGTTTGCCCCCTCTCGTCGCTTTCCATATTCCTTTTTCTCTCCATTTCTTCTTGTTTCTTCGTCCCCTTGGCAGTAAGGAGGGAATTCGTAAGTGCAGTTAGGCCGCGCCCTGCTTACTTGCAAGAGTATAAACAGGACCACTTGCATGACCGTGACACTCAAGCGGTCGTTACCGGAGTGAAATGTTACTACTCATGAACAAGCAAGACTTGGTGAGGAAGAATCATGAGCTTCTAAAGTAGGCCATGACTGCCGAAAGAAAAGATGGATGAAACGAAGGCGCATGGGAGATGGAGGAAGTGGATGACATGTTGAAGTTGCCGTTCCCATTAGGTATCCACAACAACCAGTCACCCCCAGATAAACCATGATATGCCACCGGGATATTGACCGGCGAGTGAGCACTCGAACCCTCCATATGAAACTTTATCTATGAATCCCGAACGCGCATGCCGTCGACTTTTATCTTCCATGGTATCCTAGCGGTGAGAAATACGAGCTCGAGCCTTGTTGGGAGAGCTCCATTCATAAGGTTTAGAAGCAAATAACAAGTGGAAGTTAGTTGGTGACGATGGCAGATGGACCCCCAAACCTGTCAAGGGGTCTCGGTACTCAAAAAGTGGGACTTCGGATCCAGCTCCGGCAATGTCGACCTTGCTTTCCCCGTACCCGTGGAGATAGGGTGGCCTTTTTCACCCATCCCCACTCTCCTACAGAGAGTGGGTCACAAAACTGTCGGACAGCTCAAAACCGCTGGACAGTCTTAGCATATACAACAATATAGACCTATTTCATTTTATTAGCGAACTACACCAAAATAAAAACCAAACTGCATATTTTTACTATATCTTGTACTTCGCTATTTGGACTCGCATCGATTCGATTTTTTGATTAGATATTTATTATTAACTGTAATATTATCTTTTATCGTATTTTTATTATTTCTAGTCGAAATAGTACCCCTTGAGCGCGAATCCACCAATATATATATAGTATGCTAGTTAATTAATACTCGAACTCAGTATTACAACTCCGTCATTAAAATATTTATATAAAAGCGCTTAATTAAGGAGCCTAATTTTCTTAATGCTACGAAAATATTTAAATATAGTAAATTATAGTTTAGTTAATATATAAAGGCTTTAAACGAGATAAGTATATTTATATTTAGTATACGCAATAATGAGCGACTGATATATTAAATAAAAGTAGAAGATAATACTTTTGAGAGGTATTTAATATAATTTATTGAATTAAGGTTATTCTTTAGTAGAAATTTAATAATTAACGCCGCGAACCAATTATAAGCTTATTATATTGGTTCTACGTTTGGTATATCGTATAATTAGTATATTCGTTAGAAGAAGGATTATTTATAGTATAGTATAATGAAGATTAAATTAGTAGAAATTCGCTATTTTTTTTACTAAGTAATATATTAAGTACGTAGAAAAATTCTTCAAAAAGTTCGAAGCGGCGGTTTAAGAGTATAATATTTCTTTATCTTTTTATTAAAATACGAATAAAGCGGAGTACTGTATAGCGATATTCGCAGCAAGTATCGAAGTTTTAATTATAAAGTACTTAAAAAAGAAGTAAATTAGTACCTCCCTTTAGAAGAATATAAAATAATATAGGGTAATAATAATATATTAATTATATTTTTTAATAATTAAAATTATTTAATTTCGCTAACTATAAATCCGTTACCTCAATTAGCGCAGGGAATACCGTCGGTAACTATATTTCTATTTTTTTAATATTTAAAACGTAGTTATTAAAGGATATAGTTAATAATAACTTCTATCTAAAAGCATAGTTCGTTGGATTTAATACCGCGTTTAATAACGTAGAAATAATATTAAAATAGATATATTATTTTAATAAATAGTCGTAATAACATTATACTAAAGTAAAAGAGAGAGGGGTAGATTTCGTAAAGTAATTTGGTTATAATAAGGAAGAATATAATAAGGAGCAAGACTTCTTATATTATAACCCTAACGAAATAATTAATTTTGAGAAATACGCTACCTCTTTAAAATAACAGATTTATTATTTATTAGTATTAAATTCCTTTTAAGGGCATTATAACTTCGATTTCTACGAATATTATTTGTAATATAATATTTTAATTTTATTCTTCCCCCTTTATTTATTTTACTTTGTATAGCCTATAGACGTAAGTATTTTTTAATTGATAAAAGTAATATATTAGCGGAAATTTAAAAAATATATTCGAAAGGGGGAATTAAATATAAACCGTAAATAGTTTATCCGTAACCTTTAAAATATTATAAATTAAGGATTTAAAATTAAAAATATAATATTTAGCTTCGAAAAATTAAGAATTTACTTACTAAACCTTGCCTACATTATTTTAATATTAAAAGAAAAAATAAATTAAATTAATAGTATAACCTACCTAGAGATAATTCTAAACGATGCCCGCTGCTAGGCTGCTATTTAAAAAGGTTTTACTCGTATTAGAAAAATTATTAAAAAGTATAGTTTTCCTACTTGTATAGTATTTAAGGCGATAGAGGTTAGCTTTAACTAGAGATACTTCAATTATTACTACTTAATAGAATTCTTTCTTAAAAGACGTAAATAATTAGAAACTCTTAATAATAAAAAGATTAGAAGGCGGTTCGCTAAACTAGAGGGCGAATTTATAAATAATATTGCCGTTAAATAAGTATAATATTAATAGGAGGTTAGGGAGTAAATTAAGTAAGTGGCTACTAGGGGAAAACAATTAAAGGCTATTAATATTACCGTTAAAAATTATTAGAAAGAATAATAGAAGGAGTAAGATAAATGGAAGCGCTTCTTAAAGAATAGAATTAAATTAATTATTAATACTAGCCACCCTCGTATAGTTACCTTTTATAAATATTTCGAAAAGATTAAATAAGTTAATAATTATATTAATTTTAATAACCCTACTTAACTTCTTTAAGTATACAATAGGAGAAGGAAGTTACTTTTCTTTATTAATATACTAATTAAGTAAGTTCCTAATTCTATAACTAGATCGTTAAGAAATATGCCCGCTATCGACAAAAGTATAATTCTACTAGGAGATAAAGTACGTATTATTAGTATTAATAACCCTATACTGCTTAATTATAATAGGGAGGATAACGACGAAGATAATAATAATAATGATGATGGTAAGGATAGTAATAATATAGTAGATCCTAACTTCTCTTTTAGTTCTCTTTTTAACGAGGATAAGGAAAATAAGGAAGAAGGGGAGGAGATGCCTAACCTAGAGCTCCCTACCTAATTAAAAACCCTATTACCTTCCCCTTGTGATGGCTGGCACCACCAGTCGTCATGAATTCCATTCACAGGTGGCTTCCATTCACGGGTTTGGTTCAGATAGTTCAGGTTCTGGGCTTGGCCTGGCTCCCTCCCAGAGTTCAGGGTATAAAACCCAGTCCTTCCCATCTAGCCTTCCCTTTTAGAGTTTCCTTCTTTCCTCAACTTCTTGTCTTTAGTCCAAGTTAGCCATTAGGGTAGTATAGTCCTTGCACCCATACCCATCTCTGGCTACGTGTAACATCCCTTCCCTTATATTTAGTATTATACTAGAAGGTAAAAGGGTAGTCCTATACTAGAATATTATATTAAAAATTAGGGTATAGAAGAAAAAGAAAACTATAGAAAAGGTTATATAAGGGGAGGGTATAGCACTATAATAATTACCATTTATTTACTTTTTTCCCTATAGGGTAATTTATTTATACGTAAAAATATTATATTTAAATTATTAGACCGACCACGTTAAAGACTATCAAGTTATAGCCAGATTATTTCTAGTGTTTAGATAAAAATGTTGACTTTCACAGCTAAAAGTATACTAAAACTGTCTGGCGGTTTTGAGCTGTCCGACGGTTTTGTGACCCACTCTCTGTAGGAGAGTGGGGATGGGTGAAAAAGGCCACCCTATCTCCACGGGTACCCGAACGTTCGTAAAATAGCCGATCACCGCTCCACCGGTGGCCCGGGTCTCGAACTCCGTGCTGGTCGGTCATACGAACGGATTCCCGTCGTCTGTAGGGTCGGTCGGATGTTGGAGTTAGGTTCGGGTTGCTCCGTTGCTAAGCGCTATGGGTCCCGAACTAAAACCAACCAAGCGCAACGCTACGGCCAAGGTACGTTGTCAGGCTGTGTCTGGGCCTGGGGCGCTAGAAGTGCCAGGCGCTTTAGCGGGCTGGTGATAGTGGGGCATGGTGTTGCTGCATTGACATTGACGTCATCCCCACGCGATTGATCAACGTCGTGAAACGAAACCTGAGAAAAAGGGGACCTGTCTTGGTGTTGATGAAGGTCAGCGGTGAGGATAATTCTTCAGAAACTTTCAAAGCTCTTTTAGTGAAGTCAATGGTGGACCATGGATTGAAGGCCTTCCTCGAACGAGCTGAAGTGGTCGTTGTTTCTGTCTTGGGTTAGGTTTCGAGGTCTGCTTACACCGGAAGTGGGGCTTCAGGGGATCAAAGGCCTGTCAAAGGGTTCCTACAGGTCCCGCGAATTCGCGATCAAGCATCCGGTCCGGTGACCCCGCAATTGTCGACGTCTAATCAACCAAGAAAGGAAACCTCGAGGTCGGTTGGTAGGTCGGCTGTGATGAAGGAAAGTGACGGGTTGGGAAATAGAGGCGCACCTATCCCCTTTCTCCTGGTTCTCCATCTGTCCGTCCCCATGGTCCGATCTCCCCCGCATTGTGCTAAGGCGGCCCGGGGATAACAGGACAGCGTCAAGCTATGACTTTGAAGTGAAATCAGCAAGTGCACATGTTGATGTCAAGATTGCTTTTGTTGCGAGGTGGAAGACGGATACTTGATATCGAAACTTGTTGATGTGAGATGTGGATAGGAAGGAACACTGGCTCATTGAATAAACATCTGATAGACAGGCGCGGGATGGGAGAGGGCAACTACCATTTTGAAGAGAGCATCTTGATGGCCTCTCAATCTGACATCGTATCATGGCTGGAATTCAGTTGAATCGTGCTTGCCTTACACTCATCTTTATCAACCTCAAACAGCCTACTGTAAGTCGGAACCATGTGGTATCGTGAAGCAATGGCGTCGTTGCTGTACCCCGTCTTAGCCTCCTGTTCAGACAGATTGATATGCAGCATGTCGGTAATGCTCGACCCCAAGACCGAAACCCACATCACTTGCTCTTCAAATCATTCCTTCCATCCAGCCCGGTTGTGCTCCATTCCTCCATATTGGCACATGAAGATCCGGGGTCACACTCTTCCAAGACTTCTCTCTGCCCCTCCCTTCCCCCGTCCAGCCCGGCCATTGGTCCCTCCTCCACTTATACGCCGCGACTGTGGTGTATGGGAGCAACCCGGATGAAGGAAAGTCATTCAGTCGTACTTGACCTTGTTGTATAATAAAAGGCCGATTCCCTTCTCCCATCAGATGATATATCTGTAACCCGAACCATATCACCTTGCCGCGGCCCAGGAACTTTTCCATCTTTCTTCCTTTGTTTGGTGCTCTCACGTCAGAAGCACCTCTTATTAGACCAAACCAGACTTCAAGTTACGACAAAGAAATCACCAAACTCAACACCATTCCATCCATCTTGGAACACATTGCTTTTCCTAAAGGAACCATTCAGACGACCAAGTCCATTGCTTTCGTATTTTGATTGCTGCCTACGACTATTCGCCGCTTTTACTCGACCGAATCCTCAAGACCGACCGTGCAAAGCAGAGCACGCGACCCCGCTCTGACAATCGGCATCACATTCAGTCCAACCGCGAGAGCTTCCAAGCTTGCAGTACGACCCGAGTATACGGATTACAAAGCGCAGAGCAAGGCGCAACTTGGAAAACCAGTTACCGACCATCTACCAGGAGTGTCCCTACACTTGCGAAAAGAGACTGTCTTCCATCCCGTAAGAAGTTCGATCCATTGCGTGCATCCCGTCTCATCATTTCACATCACAGATGACCATGGATCATGGTTGAGTGACCACCATCCATCTTTGAGCATCCCAGTGATTTTGGTTTTCCCCAAACTGGAGTCCCCATATCAGCTCCCCCGGCGCCTCCGTTCCCCACATGCCCGCTTGAGCCCTGCCGAAGCCGCAAAGTGGAATGGAAGTGTTCCTTGACTCGAGCTTGACCAGCCCGGCCCCACTTCAACAAATTGTCCTGCATGCAGCAAAAGAAGAACGAGTCCCTACCTTTCCCGATGGCCACCTCCCCAGAGCTCCTCCCTTTCCCGGTCGGGTATCCCCATGATTTCTTCTATTCCGTCGAGTGAGCCGCCGCCACTGGAGCCTCTCCCAGGAGGGTCCCGGACATGGCAGGGGCTGACGGCATAGATGACGGCTTACTCTGGTTGTCATATGGAGATACTTCTGCAGAAGAGACTCCATATAAAAAAGAGATGAGCTGGGGCTAACATGGCTTTAAGCCCTGCAGTACCCGCTAGGACTTCCTGGCTCATCAACAAACATATCTGACACGTATCTTGTCGGTGTCCTCGTCCTGCTCTCCAGTCGTCCTAGAATCTTGTCAACAAGTTAATTTCAAATCATAAAAACCATGTCCACCGTCAAGCAGTCCGCCCAGGCCGCGACATCAGATGTCGTTGGCACAGCTAAGAGCGCAACGGCCGAGACGGTCACTGCCGCCACCGACTTCCTCCACACTCCCGCCGTCCGGGCAGCACTCCCGTTCATCAACGGCGGTCTCAGCGGCATGGTGGCCACGACGGTCATCCAGCCCATCGACATGATCAAGGTGCGCATCCAGCTGGCCGGCGAGGGCAAGGCCGGCGGTCCCAAGCCGACGCCCCTCGGTGTGACGCGCGATATCATCGCCAGTGGCAAGGCCATGGACCTCTACACCGGTCTCTCTGCCGGTCTCCTCCGACAAGCCGTATACACCACGGCCCGCATCGGCTGCTTCGACACCTTCATGAGTCGGCTCTCGGCGCGGGCCAAGGAGAAGGGCCAGACGGTTGGCTTCTCGGAGCGCGCCTCGGCCGGTCTCGCGGCCGGTGGTCTCGCGGCCATGATCGGCAACCCGGCCGATCTCGCCCTCATCCGCATGCAAAGTGACGGCCTCAAGCCCGTGGCCGAGCGCAAGAACTACAAATCCGTCATCGACGCCCTCCGCGGCATCGCGCGGAACGAAGGCGTCGCGGCGCTCTGGGCCGGCGCTGCCCCCACGGTGGTCCGCGCCATGGCGCTCAATTTTGGCCAGCTGGCGTTCTTCTCGGAGGCCAAGGCCCAGCTGAAGACCAGGACGGAGTGGTCGAGCGAGGTGCAGACGTTGAGTGCCAGTGCTATTGCCGGCTTCTTTGCCTCGTTCTTCTCGCTGCCGTTTGACTTTGTCAAGACGAGACTGCAGAAGCAGACGAGGGGCGCGGATGGAAAATTGCCGTATAATGGCATGGTGGATTGCTTTGCCAAGGTGGCGAAGCAGGAGGGTGTGTTTAGGTTTTATCGGGGGTTTGGGACGTATTATGTGCGCATTGCGCCGCATGCGTAAGTTGTTCTTTTTCTTTGAACTCGTGAACTTACTTGACTTGATGAATGGACTTTGCTGACGATGATTATATAGGATGGTAACGCTGCTTGTTGCGGATTACTTGGGCTGGTTGACCAAGTAAGCTGGTGGTTATGAGCCGGTGATGGTGATGAAGTGGACTTGCATAATATAACTGTTGGGCGTTTTGGGAGGTTAATACTGCCGGGATTTTTTGTTTCTTCCTCGGTTTCATGCCGTCTTCCTGACTGCGTTATGGGATGGCTTTTCGTTGGTTGTTTTGTTTTGTTTGTTTATACCTTTCTTGTTAGTCTTGCTTGCTAAGACAACTCTTTGACATACGTAGCTGTTTTGGTGTTCTTGTCCACTGACGGGTGATGTGTGATGCGTGATCAGGGTGCTGTAGTTGACGACTCTCGCACTTGTGCGTCGGCATTCCGTAGCAGTTCAGAACCTAGTTAGGACAGAGCCGAGGGTCAGGGTTATAGGTGTGGAAATGCAAGGGTTGGCAGTGTTGGCGGGGCCACCTCCAAGCTACCCTGCGGCCCAGGCCCTGACGGTTGGTAGAGGTACGTATCTTCGGACAATGGATTCAGTTCGCTTTTCACCCATTCACCAACTCTCTACAATATCGGCGTATCCTCCAACCAGAAACTGGACAAACAGTATTTGCTTCCAAGCAGTATTTCTTTCCACCAAAGATGACATACTAGACGGTCATGGATTCTCGGGATTGGACCCAGGCAAGTCGTTGCATCTGTTCCCTCTCCCTCTCCCTCTCCCTCCCCTCCCCTCAAGGTCCTCGGCCAGACCTTCTGCTAACACTCCTCTTGCCGCCTACAGCTGGGCTGTGTTGCCTACCCGTCGCCAATCCATCCAGATTACCATGCCGGACCCGCGTCGACGATAGCCTTCGACAACCAAGATGAGCTGCTATGGATAGGCACCCAGAAGGGCTTTGCCGGCTCCTTCATCGGCCGCGAGCTCAAGCGATTCACTGCCTTCCGAATACACCCCGAAGCCGACGGTCCCCTCCGCCAATTCCTCTTCGTCGATAAGGGCGTCATCTTCCTCGGAAGCCGGAGCGTCTACATGGCAGCACGTAGCGGCGTGCCCATTTGGAGTATCCGCCATGAGTCCATGCAGGATCTGCGCGCCATGTCCTTCACTAGCAAGGGCACGTCCGAGATCCTCGTGGCCGGCTGGCAGAACAAGATGTTGGTGATCGACGTCAATAAGGGCGAGGTCGTCAAGGAGCTCCCGACACAAGATCATTACTCCTTCCTGAAGATGAGCCGGTACATCTGCGCGGCAACGAACAAAGGCACCGTCAACATATTGGACCCTATCAACTTCACCATCAAGAAACAATGGCAGGCCCACGGGGCGTTCATCAACGATCTGGACACGTCCAACGACTTTATTGTTACATGCGGTGGCTCACATAGGCAGACGCACAACACCCCGGCCATACTGGACCCTTATGTCAAGGTGTTTGACCTGAAGAACATGAGCGCCATGAACCCGGTGCCCTTTGCGCCGCTGGCCGCTCACGTTAGAATGCACCCGAGGATGTTGACGACTGCTATCGTCGTCAACCAGGCGGGCCAGATCCATGTGACGGATCTGTTGAACCCAAGCAACAGCCAGGTCTGCTACACGCAGCCTCAGGGCGTGGTGCTGCATTTTGACGTGTCGAGGACGGGCGAGGGAAAAGCGCTTGCTGATAACAAGCACAACACCTACATCTGGGGCTCACCAAACAAAATCCAGTTCACCGAGATAGGAATACCGCCCAGGTTGCCGGACCCCCCTCAGCCGTCGTTGTTGCCGCCAGACCCAGACATGTTGGACGAACTACCCCTGAGCCGCATCGGCTTGCCGTACTACAGAGAGCAGCTCTTCTCAGCCTTGCCGCCGGATATCATCTCCGACGTGGGCGCTCCTCCGCAACAGGTCGATCCGAACATTTTGAGTACCCTTACCAAGACCGAGTGGGGATACATTGGCCCCAACAAGACGGGCTTGCAGAGAAATCAATACATAGATACCCGGTCTACCATGAAGACGTCCAACACGATACGAGCGCCAAAGTTCCTGAGTGAAAAGGCACGCGAGTCACAGGCGGGTTCGGAAGATAACACCCTTGTTACTACCGAGACGGCGGTGACGACTCCGAACAACGATCATTGGAGTCTGAGGCCGGAGGCGCCACCGGAATATAGGATATGTGAGATCAAGTATAGCAAGTTTGGTGTGGATGATTTTGACTTTGGGTAAGTAGATATATCAGACTGTTTTTGAATGGTATGCTAACTCGGCCCACAGCTTCTTCAACAACACCCAATACCCTGGCTTGGAGAACAACATAACAAACTCCTATGCCAACTCCCTACTGCAGGTCATGCATTACACCCCTCTGTTGCGAAACATGGCACTTCAGCACGCTGCTACGGCCTGTCTAGCTGATCCGTGTCTGTTGTGCGAGCTGGGTTATGTTTTTGATATGCTGCAGAAAGGTGAAGGGCCTTCTTGCCATGCTACCAACATGCTCAGAGCTCTTAATCATACCAGTAACGGTGAGTGTTTCTTGTGTGTAACTGGGTATATATCGCCACTGACGTATCAGCAGCCTCTGTTAGTGGTGTCCTCGAGGAGAACGCCAAAGACAAGAACCCCAGCACGCTGGTCAAGAACCTCACCATGTTCCTTTTCGACAAGATTAGCCAGGACTACAAGGGCACACCTCCGATTTCTACCGAACTCGAAAGGACTCTATTCAAGCTCAACCAGCCTCCGAACCCTCCTGATCTCGTCAAGAAACTCCTAGAGACCGACGCAAGGTACCAAATCAAGTGTATGCACTGTCAACACGTCAGCCCAAGGACAGCAACAACATTCGTCAACAAGCTTTGCTATCCGGCAGCGAAGCCAAACATCCGTGGTATGAAGGCCCAACGGATCACCTTCTCGCAAGTGCTCAAGGCTGGGCTCGAGAACGAGGCTGTCAACAAGGGTTATTGCACCAAGTGTCAGCGCTACCAAAACCTCGACCAGCGCAAGATCATCTTCAACATCCCAGCTGTTTTGGCGCTCTGCACGGAGATCACCACTGCGGAGCATCGCAAGTTGTGGTCTACCCCCGGATGGCTGCCTGAGGAGATTGGTATCATAGTTGACCAAGGCCATGTTTACTGCTATGAAGGGGATGACCTCAAGTTGCATCTTAATCGGGGGATACATAACATTACGGTGTATTCGCTGGTGGGTACGGTGGTTAACGTTGAGACGAAGAGTCCGCAGAAGAGCCATTTGGTGGCTACTGTTAATGGTATGTACTTTTCTTTTGATGAGATGGAAGCGGGTGCTGACGTGATGTTTAGTTGGACGCGCTGAGCCAGAGAGCAAAGACCAGGATCGCTGGCATCTCTTTAACGACTTCTCAGTACGAAGCATCTCCAAGGTTGAGGCCCTCACTTTCAATGCCGCTTGGAAGATGCCGGTCGTCGTCATGTTCCAAGTCAAGGCGGCCAACCATCGGTTCAACATGGACTGGAAGACACGCCTGGATACATCCGTCCTCTTCAGGGATAACAACCCACACGCCCTCAAGACGTACGAGATACTTGACCGGGAGACAGAGATTCCCGGTCCCGAAACTGTCATCGCGATTGATACAGAATTTATTCGACTTAAGGAGAGAGAGATCCATATCGACGAAGACGGGAAATCCAAGACCATCCGACCCATCTCGCACGCCATCGCGCGTGCCTCGGTAGTCCGGGGTCAAGGCCCCAGAGAAGGCGTTGCCTTCATCGACGATTACATCCACATCAAAGAGACCATTGTCGATTATCTCACCGAATGGTCCGGCATCACGCCTACCGACTTGGACCCTATCAACTCCCAGCGTAACTTGGTGTCCCCCAAGACCGCCTACAAAAAGCTCTGGGTGCTCGTCAACTTAGGCTGCAAGTTCCTCGGCCACGGCCTCAGCCAAGATTTCCGCGTCATCAATATCCAAGTGCCTAGAAATCAGGTTATCGATACGTCTATCATCTTCATGAAGCCGCCTTCTCAGCGCAAGATTTCGCTCGCTTTCTTGGCTTGGTATCTGCTCAAGGAAGACATTCAGCAGAATACCCATGACTCTATCGAAGACGCTCAGACAGCACTAAAGCTGTACAGGAAGTACGAAGAGTTCATGGCTAACGGGAGCTTCCACGATGTCCTGGAAGCGCTCTACAAAAAGGGCAAAACACTCAACTTCAAGCCGCCGCGTATTTCCACCGGTGCAGCCAAGGACGCCGGTTTCGGGACAGTACACCGCGTCAGCACCCCTCCCGTCCCCGCACCCGGAACATCCGAGGGAACCTTTGAAATCCCCAGCTCAACAACAACAACAACCGGTAGCAGTAGCGTCCTCTCCGCCACCGGCGGCGTAGGAAGTGCAAGTGCGAGCAGTAGTATGCCCTCCACCCCTGTCAGGAAACCCATCGGTCTCGGAGGACCGTTTACCGTCGCTGGTGTCACAAAGCCAAGCTCAGCTACTAGCGTTGATACTATTGGTGCTGGTGCTGCTGGCACGGGAATCACAGCGACAGGAACAGGAACAATGGGTGGTGGATACGGTGGTTATGGAACGGATGGCGCGTATTGGGGCGGACCGAATGATATGGCGCCTACGAGCATGATGGGGGGATCGGCGTTTATTCCTGCTCGACTCCCTCCTGGACTGCCGGAGTCGAGGTTTATACCGTATAGGCCGCAGGTTTTGGCTGCGGAGCGGGAGGCGGATGCTGCGGCGGCGGCGGCTGGTAATGATGTCGGTGGTGGTAGTGATGTTGGTGATGTTGGTGGTGCTGGTGGGGAACATGGGAAGCAAGAGTAGAGTGGTTCTTCTTCTGTTGTTGGTGGGGGACAGGGAACGCAAAAACAGCAAGGGGCTCGTACTGCTTATAATGGGAAAACTGCTGATGAGAAATTGGAGGAGCGAATAAGGCCGAATGAGCGAGAGAGGCGACGGAAGAAAAAGAAGCGTTACAAGGCAAACCTGCGGCGGAGGCGAGAGGAGGAAGCCTCTTCTCCTGCTGTCGGTCCTCCTGTCGAGGAGGGTTCTTCTGCTGTCGGTGAGGAGCATGCTGGTGAGGAGCAAGCAAGGCAAAAAAGGCAGTCAAAATGGAAGCAGCGGCAGAATCGAAAGAAGCGGGTGAAGGGTGAGGAGGAAGCATCTTCTGCTGCCAATCTACCTCCCTATGTCGGCGAGGAACCTGATGATGATGAACTGCGAAAGCAACAGCAGGATTCTTTTGCTCCTGATTTCGAGCAGGATCTTTTTGCCTCTGATTGCGACGAAGGTTCTTCTGCTGTCAAGGAAGTTTCTTCTCCTGCTGCCAGTTCCTCCTCCTCTGCTGTTGTTGGCGAGGAAGAGGTGAAGGAAGTAGAGGAAGTAGCTTCTGCTGTCGGCGAGGAACCTGTTGATGAGGAACTTGTGGAGCAAAAGAAGCAAAAGAAGCAAAAGAAGCAGAGGGACCTAGAAAAGCGGCAGATAAGAAGGAAGGAATTGAAGGAATATAGGCGGCAGAAGCTAGAGGAGGAAACCTCTGCTTCTCGTGCTGCTGTTGACAGTGGTTATAGTTATATTCTTGCTGTTCATTTTTCTCCTCCTTTCGTCGGCGAGGAATTTGACGATGATGAATTGCGGAGGCAGCAGGAGGAGCTTTTTGCTCCTGAACCTTATGGTCCTGATTTCGAGCAAGATCTTTTAGAAGCCCCTGGTTGCGACGAAGGCTCTCCTGCTATCGAGGAAGTTTCTTCCCCTGCTTTCGAAGAGGATGATTCTTCTGCTATCAAGGAAGTGTCTTCTCCTGTTGTCAAGGAAGTTGCTTCTCCTGCTGTCAGTTCCTCCTCCCCTGCTGTTGTTGGTGAGGAAGAGGAGAAGCAAAAGGATGAAGATTCTCCTCCCGCTGTCGAGGAAGCTTCTTCTCCTACTCTCGCTGAGGAACAGCGGAAGCAAAAGGAGGAAGAAGGTTCTTCCGTTGTCGGTGGTGGTGAGGAGGGGGAACAGGAGAAGCAAGAGGATCAAGGTTCTACTCCTGCTGTAGCGCCTTAGAAGGGCTGGAAAAACGCAAGGAAAGCTGGGAAAGTTAAGGAGGAGTATAAAGCGGGTCATAAGAAGTTTGTCCTGCCATGACCACATTTGGTTGTGGCTGGTCACAATTGTAGTCGTAGCATAGGTAGAAGCATGAAGCGTGCGGATAGAGTATGGATTTCCCAGCGGTGGATAGGGCGGTTGTCTCGCCGTTCTTTACGGAACGGAATCTTTACGTCTCATCAACTAGTACGTATGGTATTCGTCGCCAACCCAACTCCAAAGTGCTGTGATGATTCCCATCCAGGTCGGGCCCTCCTCCTCTGCTGTGATTATTCTTCCTGCAAGCATCCAATCCAGACAATTCTACCCATGCTTCGCTTCGTTTTTCAACCATGGGAAATCATTTATCGTGGACTTGGACGCACGTTTAAGGTGTCTGGGCATGGTATCACCAACTTTCGCGACTTTCAATCTCAGGGGGCTAATCATAGTTATGCCCAGCATTTACCTGGCCGTTCTGACTCTTCAGAATCTCCTTTTTCTTCACTCTTTCTGCTAACTTACCACCATTCACTTACCGAATAATCGCGGGGAAAATTCAGAATGGCTGGCTCCCTTGGGTTAAAGGTATCCGGCAGCCATACATTTATTGCCTCCTGACACCTGCAAAGCTACCTACCGAAACAACTCCCGGCAAGTGTTGAACCCTGCGTCTAAGCCAATTTGAGTTTCTCGTTCGAGGTTGTTCGGTAATCACTCTGGTCTCACAACCAAACCTGCTGGATGAACTTCAGTCCAGAGAGTAGTGGCTGTTGCTCTCCTGTCTGGGTTTTTCTTTTCCTGGGGCACAACCAGACAGAGCCTGGCAAGTCATGGAACAGTCCGACATTGCCTTGGTTTTCTTTCCCATATTTCCGCTTAAACCTGCCTCGCAATGCATTGTAAGGCATGGGAGGCAGGATCCTGCAGAAGGTATACGTATACACATCGCAGCTGTCTCGCAGTTCCAAGAATCAGAAGTGTGGCTGTGCCAATATTCGGTGCAGTTTCGAAGGTTTCCAAGCCGGATTTGAAGGGAATGATGGTTTTGTGTCTCTGTGCATTAGGGTTGTCGGGTTTCGCCAGCTGGAATCATGGGGCAATGACGTGCACGAGAGATCCCAAGGTTGTCAACGAGGCGAGTACAAAAGGGGACCGACAGTTGACAACAGGCCACCATACGAATTTCAACAAGGTCACCGTATAGACTTCAACGACGCCATTATACGAACTTCAACTGTCTTCGACCAATATCTCGTCACTATCACCACCAGCACAGGCGTTACCACACATCAATAGTTTCACTCCTCATTCCAACGAGGGCATATCTGATCCTGGACACTTTGTGTTGGTAGTCATATCAAACGAAGCACATCCAGCAACTGCAGTAAGTACCACATATCACCGAGAACTCTGAAGAACCCCAAGGACCCCAAGAAGCTCGCCCGGACAGAAGGGTTCTCAGCACTTCCCATCTCAGAATCAGTATGTTCTTGAGCCAGGGAAAGACCCAAGTCTTCACTTCTACATCCTTTCCTTTGAAGAGCCACCTGTCGCTCCTGTACGTCACATCATGTCGTGTGTTATATTTCCTAGAAAGCACATACCGCCAAAATGGCAAAACGGAGTAGACAAAAGGCAAGTGCCAGACAATTTGGATTCCGTCCGGGTTACACACTACAACCGGAAGACCGGGACACTCACCGGCACCTTCCTTCACTTGGTACCACACACCGAAAGCCCGATATGACCCCATCATCCCCGTCCGTATATGGGGTCACCAGTATGGGGGCTATGAAGAAAATAACTTCGACAACGTCTTCACCGGGGCCGTCATTCAAATCAGTAAAACACCACGTCAGAAAGTCGGGTATGGTGTCCAAGCATAGTACGGCAACAGGACACCCAATCGGTCTTTATGAGCTCAGCACCATGATCTATACCAAGGACGTCACCGATGGTTTAACGACTTTGACGAAGCAGCGGCACTGTGGTTATCTCCTTTCACTCCTTCCACCACAGATCAACCACCGCCGTCATCACCACAGCAGCAACGAGTGCCGCACAAGAACAAGGAGTTCCCCAGACTGCCAAAGACTGGTATTGGGGGTACTGCCGTGGGACCGAAAAGCCCAAGATGACTGCCTTTCAAGCTCAGTGCACCTACATCATTCGCAAGTCCTGGGCGGAAGTTGCCCCGCCTTCTCGCGATGCTCCTTCTTCTTCGAACCCTCTAGTCTTTGCTGTTGCTGCTGCTGCGGAGAGAGAACTGCGCAGGCAGGTGCGAGTCCGACAATGTGACAGGAGCAAAATGAATCACAGCAGCAACTGAGGACTGCTAAGGCCGGGCATGGTCGGCCTGTGCCTCTTGTCTTTGGCTGTTCTGTCTTAACGTCGACTCGGGGAAAGGGGAGAGGATGAGTCTGAGAAGGAGCAGCACCCTGGACAGACTGGAGGAGGGACGAATTAAAAGGACCGGGAAAACGAATTACGACATCTTCTTCTTCCAGTCCATCTCAACAAATCACCACTACCACTCATCCATTTCACTACATTCTTTGGAAACACCACGAACAGCACGCCATTTTCGACAGCTTATTCTATCGAGGCCCAATATCACTTGGTTGGAACAAGCATCGGCAGCAACACCCAGCATTCGAAACACTTCAACTATCCTTGCAGTGTCATGGGCTTTTGGCTTTGGCTAAACCCAAGCTTGCTGGACACTCGAAGAACGGTACGAACACAACACAGGCCAAAAAACACCACGCAGACCAAACTCGACAGCCAAGGTCGATATCCGGTGCTTTTCCACGAGTTGTTTCTTGTCGGAATTCTTGTCATTCTAGTCTTCAGTGGACTTTCCCGCTTGCTCGGAGCCTTTCTCCCAGTCTTCATCCACTATCTCGTCCCCGCTATCGTTGAAGTGGCCATCTTCCTTCATACCAGACCTTGTTACTTTGAGTCTTGAATACAAAACAAGTCTCTGCTGGTCACAATTTCCACCGACGCCTCCTCTCGATACACCACATCGAATTACATCATCTTTGGGACAGCTGATCCGTTCGCTGTTCCCTTTGAACAAGCATCACATTATCGCCAACATCCCACATTAGAAACAAGACTCGGCTGTCATTCATCAGAATCATGCCTCCAACCGGGCTTCCTGGACAGGACGGGCGGACCGGGACAGGACGGGCGGACCGGGACAGATACCACGACGCAGACCATACTAATCCCCGGCCACGGTCAAGGTAGACTGATAACCTACTACATCATACTTGGCGTTATCGGTGCAGCACTCCTCTATCACCCTGGCCCCGACTCCCCTGGCCCCTGGTCCACTTTTTACAGAATGATTGTATATGCCCTTCTTTTCGAATGTAGCAGGGGCCTTGGCGTACTTGTAGTAAGGCCTTGGCTTCCTTGGGGGTAGTGGGTACTTTTGAAGTTGGATTTTCAAAATTACTAGCAACATGATTTTATCAGCGAAACTACAAGCGGATTCAACAAACTTACAAAGTCTTTCAACATTGCAAATTAAACCAACCCGGAAGAGAAAACAAGACCGATAAACCGACGCTGCTGCCACTACACACCAGGACCGGGTCACAAAACTCAACTCAACTCGACGGCCAACTACGAAAAAAAAGATCAAATGGTTCCCCTATCCCTCATCCTCCTCGGATCCCTTCTCCCCTTCCACTTCAGTCGACAAGATCATCGAATGGAAACGGTCTTCTTTGTTTGGCTCATGGTGCTCATACCTGTGATCTGCTACCGTATGTATGGCCAGTTTCAACTTCTCCCTCTTGTTGCATCTCCCTTTGTGGTCATGGTCTTCTATGATCTTGGCATCTGCGTCATTATGCTTTGCGGACTCCTGGAGTTGTGTTGTGATCGGGTGGGGCTCTGAACTGCTGGCTTATCACCTTGAGGCTCTGGGACTCTGAGGCACTCTTGAAGACTCTTGAAGATGAGGACTGGAGTAGGAGGGAGGTTCTTAAAGACGAGAAGGATATACACACAGGGCTGGAAAGGCAAAGAGATCAGGCATGATGAGAAGGAAGATGTTGGATGGCAAAGACGCTATTAATGAAGAAAGAAGGATACGGATGACAAGGAAGAGCAGCGAACGAGACGAGGCACGACGACTTGGATGCCAATAACGGGATCTGGACATGTTCAGGTTGCTACTCGCTGCTCTTGGGCTTGAACCTGTTCTTTTGTCTTCTCTGCGAGCTCTACACGACAACTATCGCAAGCGTTTCTGGTACGATTCAAAGGGGCCCATTCCGTTCAGTTTATAGTTTTTCTTGTTTGGGTTATCATGGCTGTCTGTTCAGGGCATATGAGTTGGAGCAAAATCACTATAGTCATTATCTCTGCGCTTTGTAGTGAATACGAAAACGATAAGCGCAACTTGTTTTCCTCAGATGAGTGTTCCTACAGCGGCTCTTGAGTTAACTTGCTTGATGCATCATTTTGTCAGGAAAGATGAACTCGCCGCCGTTCAGGGTATACGTGTACGAACGGAAGTGAAATGAAATAAAACAAGCAAGCAAGCAAGCACCTGGGTGAGCCGGCCGGTTCGACGTACGTACACATTGCGTTCGTTGTGACATCCGATGGGCTCAATTGGATTTATTGGCCCCTTGAGATGTTTGTGCTTTCTCAACTAATTTTGTCCGTCCGGCATTACGTTCGCTTCTTTTGCTCTCTTTCTCTACCTAAGTAGCTATACAGAGAGATACGGTACAACCAAACCGCTTGGTGTGGCTTGGAAAACACAGCCAGAGAACCAACCAACCCTGTGAGAGAACTTGCTTGAATGCTCATATCACCCAAGACGAAAACAAAAGGAAAAAAAAAGAAAAATGTTTCGTTTTTCTCATACACGCCCACCCAGTCTCTGAATGGAAGAATTTACATACCTCTAGCAACCAACCAACTCTAGCCTAACTTCTTCAATAAACTGGAACGCTGACGCTGCTGGGTCACGGCACGGCACCGTAAACGTCAACGTCAACGTCAACGTGGTCATTCATCCATCCAAGTCCCATGCATGACTGACTGGATTTCGCTCGCTCGCTCGCTCGTGTGGCAGTGTGGCAGTGTGGCAGCAATGATGACCGTAAGTAAAGTGACTGACTAGTTGGTTGGAGTTGTTGTGGGTAGAAGTATGCAGTACCGTAGAAACTCGGCGGGAAATACCGCAAAGACTCGGGCCGTCCTTTTCAATTTTCCAGGGAAACCTGGCATTATCAGACATGCTGCGTATTGCCCGAATATGTGAATTTTATGCCCGCAAAAAAAGGGTGGGAGAGACTGGATGTGTTGCCACCCCGAAGCACTCACTGTAAATTCGATTTTTCTGGTGCCCTCCCTGTCTTTTCCCCGTCTCTTTTCAAGAGAGGGCGCTGGAGGGTAGGGAGGGACATTCAAAATCACCGTCTTGCATTGATACAATTTCTGGCGGGCATGAAATGTTGCAGTATGTTTACAGACTATGCCAGATTTCCCTGGAAGTTGAAAAACAAACGGCCCGAGTCTTGAAATCTGGCATAATCAGTACACTTGAGGCAACTCGAGCATTGCAGACTGCTCGAATCTCTTCCAAACCCCAAACCCTAAGGCACCTAATACATAGATTCTGTCAGTTAGGCCCTGGAAGTTGAAAAACGATCGGCCCGAGTCTTTGCGGTAGGCAATCGTCCTATATATCCCTCTCTTTGAGCGCCGGACAGGCAGGGCAGAACGCGGCGCTCCGTAAGCACGCATACATATGCCAGCAGATGTGTCTGTCCTGTTTTTGGTGAAATCTTGAGGACAATTACCACCACTCTTCTAACTTGCGCGCGTTTCAACGTAACAGGCTCGCGAGGGCTTGCCCTGTACAGATTTCCGCCCCCCCTGCCCGGCGGTCAAAGAGGGATAGGACGATTGCCTATTTCCTGAGTTTCTACGAACAGTATACAAGCGCCACAACAACCACAACAACAACAACAACAACAGCAGCAACGGACGTTTCAAGGGATGTCTTTCCAGGAAGGGAAGCAAAATGGAAGTTGAGAGATATGTTATAGTAAGGTAGTAATAATGGCGACGGGGATGGGGATCAGATGGGGACGGGGATGGGGACGGGGACGGGGAAGGAAGGCATTGCGGTCACTACACTACCTACATGAATGCTGAATCGAGGCGAAGTCCAGCTAGTTTAGTTACCAACAGACAGCCTCAGATCAGACGATGATGATAATGATGATGATGATGATAATGATGATGATGATAATGATGATGATGATAATGATGATGATGATAATGATGATGACAGTCACTTTCACTAACTACTTTTACAACAATCCCATTCATTCATTCATTCATCATTCACAAAACAACACAAAGGTAACATGTGGGCGGCCCCAAGGTTTTCGTTTTTCAGAGATGGATCGATGACCAAAGAAGTTAGTTAGGCAACGAACAACTAACTTGGAGACTGAATGAACTTCATAAGAGCGGTAAGACACACGCGCACGGGAATTTGCATCAAGTAAATAGCACCGCACCGTCCGTCCAACAAAGTTAAGCTTTCATGAAGCGGAGGGAGGCAGGCCAAGAAGGAAGAGGTAAATAAATACCAGGGCTTTGATATTACCTATATTGAGAGGTCTCGATTTGATATGCTATGTATGTATGTATGTATGTATGTATGCACACGATACGAACAACCTTTTTTACCCTCAATGAAGATTTTGCTTGTGTCTGCGTCTTGTCTGTTGCTCCTTCTTTTCTGTGTTCCGTCCAGAGACAGACAGCAAGCAAGCTCGATGACTTTTTTTTTTCCCCTTTTCGTATGCAAAAGATCCACGTTAGCCCCAGTCTCTAAGAGTTGACTCGAGTTTGAGGGTTGGGGAGATAGAGGAACGAGAGAAAAAGAAAAGAAGGAACAGAGAGGAAACCAAATTCAAGCGTGTGTGTGAAACCGTGAACGCCTGAGTCCATGTTGATGATGTTTGTTGCTGATATGGTCGAACGGACTGAGAGTTAGAACCCTCGAATGGATGCCGGACCCGTGGTCGAGTATGGTTCCGTTGTGTCCGTAGATGCGAGTCGTGATGGAGCGGTTTCGAATAACAACGATCCGGTCGTACAGCCGATAAACAGATATTGTCGATGACTAACGGAATTATCTCCCCGAACAAAGACAAGAAACAAGAAACAAGTTAGCCAAACTCAATCAATCCAGATCTTCGTTGGGCTGGTAAATGTGGCGAGACCGCGTAGGGTCCTTGCGCATGGCCTGGCCTGAACCGGTGAAACCGACTGTTTTTGTTTATCAGGTTAGCATATCTCCTTTTTGATGCCACAAGATTCCAAGCGGGCGTGGATCGGCCAGACTGCGGTCAAGTCAAGGCCAAGATCAAGGTCAATGTCAAGGTCACACGCGACCGACAAAACCTCGTCCCGCAACCCAAGTCCAAGCCGGGCCACACACAGCAAAACGGAAAAAAAAACAGTACTCACCCCTCCCATTCACCCCCTCGGGCGTCCTAAACATACTCTCCTTCTTCGCCGCGCCCTTCCCAAACTTGCCCTTGGCCGTAAACTCCTGCCACTTATTCTTGCCCTTCTCCAGCTCCTTATTGGCCTTGATCTTCTTGAACTTGGGTTTCCCATCCTTATCAAACTTGGAGTCCCCCATTTTCCCCTTTCCAGCTGCTTCTTCCGCCGCCGCCGCCGCCGCCAACGCACCGGGGTATAATTCGGGCCCGGCGGAAAGGGTGATGCCGTCCGAGTTCCTGGTTATAGCAGCCGCTCCTGCGGCGGAGGAGGCCGGGATGGAGGAGGGGATGGGGTACATGTCGGAGTCGGCTTTGCGTTTGAAGCCTGCTCCGCTTGCGCCGGTGGATGAGGAAGAGGCGGCGGCGCCGCCGGGGGTGGAGGTGGAGGTGGAGGAGGAGGAAGCGGAGGCCATAGGCTTGATATCCTTCGCTCTCAAAGTCTCGACGGTGTCGTAGCTCTTAAACTTGACGGTGTAGATGGGCGCGGTCGAAGAACCAGTCACAGAAACGATCTTGGCGGGGTAGAACCCCTTGTCGCCCGAGAGCCAGCGGGCCATGACGGTGTCGTTGACTTGGTAGTTTACTACTGGCGCTGGCGCTGGCGCTTCCTCCTTCTCTGGTTGAGGAGTGGCGGCGGACGGCTTCTTGAAGGCGGGGTGGTTCTCGCGCGACCATTTTGGTGGTTCTTCTGCATCTTGGACGGAGGCATTTCGTGATGTTGAGGAGGAAAGGCCGATAGCGAGCGGTTCTTGTTTCTGAGCAGCGGAGGCGGCGGCGGAAGCACCTTTGAGTTCGGCGAGCGAGTCTTTGAGGAGTTGGATGCAGTTGACGAGTTCGTTCCTGAGGGCGAGGAGTTCTTCGTTTTCGGGGTCATCCTGGAGCGAGGCGTCGACCAGTTCGAGCTGAAAAAAAGGGGGGTTATTAGTATGACGACGCCTTTGGGTAGGGGATGGGTAACGTACTTGGGTCTCGTACTCCTTGCGCTCTGCTTCGAGTTGCGCTGCCATCTTGAATGACGAAACTGATTCCAAGTACTTGGTATTGAGTGCCGAAATCGGGTGGCGCTGGTGGTTGCTGGGTTCGTCGGGTTGCAAATGGGCTGCAGTGGCGGTCTGTTGAAAAGTGACTGAAATTGCGAAAGTTTGTATGTCGGGCGCAAAAGGATGGGAATTGGGAAGAGAAGTGATGATGGGTCGATTGCACGCGGCTCGATGCGATACGTAAACAATTTACTATAGCGCGGGAACCTTGAGTGACGCACGGACGGAAATATCCGAACAACATCACCAACTTGCGACCTGGGAAACAACACCATTCACTTCAGTTAGACATTGAAATAGTTATCAGATAAAGACCAAATACAGTAATCGCTTCGTAAATATGCTATACTCATGTAAACATCACGCTGACATGTCCTTCGAGTCCACCCTTTCCGTCTGTGTCTGTATCCTTGACATGAATCTCGTCTAATATGTATCCGTCTACACCAGAGGATATCCACCCCTGACCTCATACCGAGATTCATACCTGTTTGTTTGTTATGTATACGCACAATCGTGCCCGTTGCCCTTAACGCCTTCAAATAGCAACCGAACCCTATATCAGCAATGAAAGCTCATGAATAACCCCTAAACCCCACCAGTCCTGGTCGACAATACTCCTACGCACTTCGACCGACACTACTAACCAAACCCACCACCTCCCACAACAACTCTAATGGCGGTTCATCACCACCACCATTCTCGTTCACAAGCGTCCTCGCATTGGAATCCTCGCTTGCACCATCACCGGCACCATCACCGGCACCATCACTCGCCCCATCAAAGCTCCTGGCAATCTTGCCGGCTACACCAACCCCACCGCCCCCATCAACCTTCACGCCATTCCTCGTGATATCAGATCCAAGCCTACCAGCCCCAGCACCAAGCCTGCAGGTCTCCTATTCCTGGCTAGTGCTCAGATCCAGACTCTTATCCCACAAGGCCCTCAGAATCGCCTGCGTCTCCGCATGTTCGCTCCTATCAACCAAGCTTGATCCGCTCAATCTCGAGCTGGAACCACCGTTGGCACCATTCAACATGCCTACATGCGGCTGTCCGCCGTCTCCATCGCCGTAGAGGCTAGAGCTGGTACTATTAGCCCTGGTCTCGATTCCGCCTAACCCAGAAAAGCGGGCTGCGGCAGAGACGGCCTTGGAGGGGATGGCGGACATGGAGTTGCTGTGCTGGTGGTTGGCGTTGATGGTCGCCTGGGCGAGGAAGGAGTCTCGCGGTTCTCTGCCGTCGCGGAGGAAACTGGGTCGGCCACCGCCTAGTTCGGAGCCGCGCTTGGAGTGGGAAGTTCCTGGTCGGGAAGAGCGGCCGCCACCGTTCATGTTCAGAGACCCGCTCTGCAGAGCCTGATATTGAGCTATGCGCGCTATTGAGCGAGCTACCGGGTTTTGGTAGCGCCGGACGACGAGGTACTCCATGCCTGTACGCTCGAGGATTTTGGTGAGGCGGGGGTCGCGGTTGTCGTACCCGTTTCCGTTGAGGCCAGGGGTCAGTGGGCCAAGGGTTGGGTGGTGAGGTGGGACGTGCGGCTGGTCCAGGGTTGAGCTGGCTCGCTGGAGCTCAAGTTTCTGCTGGGTTCTGTTCAGATCTTTAAGAGCGCCATATACGCCGCTGGAGACGCTGGTTTGAGTGCCGTTTCGTCTTCTGGTGGTTCTCCTGATCTCTGTCACTCCAGTACCTTCGTCGTCCGAGTCCGCCCCGAGTTTGGAACCTTGGTGGCCGGCATGCTCGAGACTTCCCATTGATCGTGAGGTACCGTTCTCTGCCGTGGCTCGGATGCTGGTAAGAAATGATTCACCGGGGTTGCTGGGATTCCCGGTAGATCCAACCTGATCACCTCCGACAAACCGCGAGGTGAGTAGCTCCTCTCTTCCACTGCTGCTTCCTGGGCGTACTTGAGAAGAAAGAATCGACGAAGCAGGAGACGTCGGCCGTGGGGCGTTTAGCTGGACCTGTACGCTTTCTGTGGACATCTTGGGCACAGAAATCATGGATGGTACTCGCTTCAGAATGCGTTCTGTAAGAAGCTGGCTATGTGTCTGGCTGGTAGTGCTATGCGCAATACTAGTCTGACTACTGCTATTCTTGTTGGTAGGCGGTTTCGAGGGTTGTTGCACTTGTTGCTGTTGTTGCTGCTGTTGTTGTTGTTGCTGCTGGGAGATATTGCTGGCGGGAGCAACAGTATTATTACTGGGCTGGACACGCTGCTGTTGCGAAGGGAACTGATATGCTACTCGCGAGTTGTCAAGCTGCCCCTGAGGCGGTACGGCGGACGCCAATGGATGCAGGTGGTTCTCGTTTGATGTCTCGGCACCGTTGATTGTCGACCCGCGCCGCGACAGGAGAGGGGAGGCTGATGTGCTGGCGTCCACCCACTCGTCCTGATCTTCCTCCTCGTCGTCGTCGTCCTGACCGTCGTCCCCTATGTTAAAGTGGACCTTGCTATGTCGTTCGCCCTTGAGCTTGTGGACGGCGGGGTTGGATGAGGAGCGCTTGAGCAGATTGGATGAAGACTTGGCCTTGCCTTTTCCAATTCCAGCTACGTCGGCATTCGATCGATTGCGCTTCAGGGCTGTCGTAGAAGTGTTCTTGAGGTTGGTAGCGACGGTCACGAGGTCCTGGGACGTTGCGCGGCGGTGGACTTGCGGTCGATCAGGCGGTCGATCAGGCGATGTAGGTGATTCTCCTTGTCGGCTCGCGGCGGTGCCAGTACGATTCAGCTTCACCATGGAGGTCGAGCCATGGTGTTTGTGTAGGCCTTTGGAGGAGGGGACTTTTCCGTGCAGTCGTGAACCGCCGACTACGTGCTTGGGGCCCTTTGCGCGGTGGTGATGGGTGTCGCCGCCGATTTGAGAAGAGCTGCTTTCGCGGTGTTGCAATGGCGGCCGTTTTGATTGGCCGGGGGCGCCCGATGCATCGCTATTCTCCCTTTCCCTAGGCATGACTGTGGTGTGCTTATTTCCTGTGCCCCCTCTTGGCCTTTTTCGTAATGATCCTATCCGACTCCGATCCCGCGCTCACTCGTGTAGCGGCGCTTTCTTGTTTGTCGACGGACTGAAAGACGAGTTTGATGTTTGTTGTTCTCTAAACTGGGCGAGGGTATACAGTACCCGGTGACGCCGTGGGGGGAGGTTCGAGCGAACGGGCTTTGGTCCGACTATCGAGTTTGGAGGGGTTCGTGCAAAGCTCCGGCTGTCTGTGTGTTGCTTGCTTGCTTGCGGTTTCCTGCTGGTTTCCTGCCGGCAGTAGGCGTCCTGTTGGCGTCCTTCCTGTTGGTCAACCGCAACCCAAAGACTAGCGGGCGCAGATTGGGTCCCAAGGCCGAAGTTCGCTTCGAGTTCTGATCAGGTTCGTCAGAAAACGTGGGGATACCCAATCGGTTCCAACTCGAGTCAATGATTGTTGGCGTAATCGTGGGAAAGTCGTACTCGGTAGGTAGTGAAGAGGCGAGGTTTCTGAAGCTTTCTTTTCGTTCGCTGGAGATTTCGAAAATATTAGTGGTTCGGGCGTGGTGTGACCAATCGTCAATCTCGTCGTTAGTGGGCGCCGCGATTGTGTGTGGGAGAGGAGTGAGCACACAAAGGTAGGCGCAAGCCGATGGTCAGCTTTTTGGTCCAGAACACCGTCAGAGGGGGAGGCACAACGAGAAGTCCAGAGGTGTCTGATGGTAGAGTTTGAAAGTTGGACAAAAGGTTGCCCAAGTTGAATTGGAAGTTGTTGAGCTCCAGACTCCAGTCCCTCCTCTCCCAGGTCCTCCAGTCGTCCACTTCCACTTGCTCTTGCCTGCCAGGCCCGAACTAGGACCGACTACGTAAAACCACTTTATTAGCGGCTCCCCCAACTGGACCCCCCTCGGGTAAACACTGACCCCCGAGTAAAAACCCCCACAGCCTATTCCGTTCTCATCTTCCAACAACATCCAACTAGGAAAGAATCTACGACCACCCATCACATATCCAACTTATCGCTTTCAGCATCTCCGATCACTCATGACCTCCCATCCTCTACAATCTCGATTCCCCGAAGAGCCCAAAGCCCAAAAGCGGTGACGGCAACCAAGGGATTCATTCCCCAGACAATCGCAGACAATGGGCACATCCCCATTGGCCAAAACCGCAGCATCTCCAAATTCCTTTCCCCACACATCCCATTCGAACCCGGACTCGGGCCACTGGCCAGTGACCTCGAAATAGGTCTCGAACCGCTTTGGGATTTGATGAATGACGACGGATGGTTTGTTTCAAGTTCGCTTCTTGCTTTCTATGGTAATGGTGAAACGAAACGAGACGTGGCATGTGGCTTGTGGCATGGTTACCAACGGAGGACCTTCAAAGTACGGTACTTCGAGGGCACAGGAAGGACAGCAAGGGCAGTGAGGGCAGTGAGGTCAACGGGTTGACATGTGCTACAGAGGCTCGAGAGACTACATAGGCTCACACAGGAGGGTAAGGGAATCCACATGCCGGTATGCGAACGGACGCCGTCAATCAGTCCATCGCTACACCAGACAAGTACAATTCCCCGTGGTCTTCTCATGACTAGCGATATGAATCATGTCCCTTTCCGCTCGCGCGGTTATCAGATCAGGCTGCCGTTGAGATGTGTTACGGGGTACGTGATAGGCAAGTTGCAGATGTCCAGATATTTACGGCGTATACAGATATCAGAAGCAGAGTGAAGGACATGAACTCGAACCAAATGATCCGCATATGGTATCCAAAAAAAAAAAAAAAAAAGAAAAAAAAAAAAGAAAAAAAAGAATGCTGTTATTCTAAAGTTACAGTAGTTGTTGACATACAATCATGACACAAAATATGCTATATCAAAGAAAGAAAAAACACCCAACCCCATTTTCGTCACAACCACCGCTTACTCGGCAACCCAAACGGCAGCCATACCCATACCGGTACCAACGCACATGGACGTAACACCAACCTTCTTGCCCGTCCTCCTCAACTCATAGAGAAGGGTAGAAACCTGGCGGGCACCGGTGCAGCCAAGCGGGTGACCAAAAGCGATGGCACCACCCTTGGGGTTGATCTTCTCCATGGGGATACCGAGCTCGTTAGCGCACCACAAGCACTGCGAAGCGAATGCCTCGTTGATCTCAAAGATGTCGACGTCGTCCTTGTTGATGCCCGTGAGCTCAAACACCTTGGGGATAGCCTTCCAGGGGCCGATGCCCATAAGCAGGGGCTTGACGCCAACCACAGAAGCGGCGACGAACTTGCCGAGGATGGGCTGGCCGAGCTTCTCGGCCGTGGAGCGCTTCATGAGCAGGACGGCGGCGGCGCCGTCCGAAACCTGCGAGGCGTTGCCGGCGTGGATGGAGCCGTCCTTGGCGAAGGCGGCGCGGATCTTGCCGAGGGACTCGGCAGTGACGCCGTCGCGCACGCCGTCGTCGCGGTCGACCAGGATCTCCTTGGTCTCGCCCGACTTGGGGTCCTCGAACTTGGCCTTGAGCGGGAGGATCTCCTCCTTGAAGAGACCCTCCTTCTGTGCCTTGACGGCCTTCTGGAAGGAAGAGGCGGCGAAGGCGTCCTGGTCCTTGCGGGAGACGCCCTTGTCCTTGGCCATGTCCTCGGACAGGACACCCATGGGCACCTTGCAGTTGGCGGCCTCGGTGTGGGACTCGAGCAGGTCCGAGAACTCGGCGACGGCTTGGGGGCCGTAGTTGGTGGACATGGACTCGACACCGGCACCGACACCGACCTCGATCATGCCGGCGCGGATCGCGTTGGCGATGTCGACGCAGGCCTGGAGGCCGGAGGAGCACTGGCGGTTGAGGGTGTGGACGGCGGTGGACTCGGGGAATCCGGCGACGAGAGCGGCGGCGCGCATCTCGGTGGCACCACCGCCGGGGGCGAGGACGGTGCCGACCTTGATGTCCTCGACGAGGGCGGGGTCGATCTTGGAGCGCTCGATGAGGCCGCGGAGGGCACCGGCCATCAGGTCAGCACCATGGGTGTCCTTGAAGCCGCCCTTGCCGCCCTTGGTGAAGGGAGTGCGGAGAGCGCAGGTGACGACGATCTGTAGGTTGTACGTGTTAGTCGCATTCTTGTCTTTTGTGTATATCGTTCCGGCTTGTGTGTAGTCGTGCTTACATCGTCGGCGTTCTTCTGGAGAATCTTGTCACGGCCACCGCCGGTGACACCAGCGGAGATCTGGTTGCCGATCTGAGAAAGTCTGTCGAGAGCTGTAGCGGAAGGAGTATGTTAGCCATGATGTCCTAACGGCAGGAATTCGGTTTCAGTAATACACACCACCCATTCTGAATGATTATACGATTATTCGACTAGATAAATGAAGAGAAATCAAGAACAATGCTGCTTGTTGGGTATCCTCAGTAGAATGGAAAGGGCGGAAGTGGTTCAGTGGAAGGAAGGGAGGACGGGGTGTGAAAGGACAGGAAAACAGTTTGTATTGATATATAAGGGGGAGGCGGCAAAGGATACGAGAGAACAAGAAAGATGGGTCGCCAGGTGGTTTAAACCTCGGGATCTCGACTGGTCAGTCCCGTCCAGACAAGTTGATCGGTGGACGGTGGTAGCACTAACAGACAGAAGCGTGGAGCACCCGCGGTGCTGGCTGGCTGCCCAGTGTGGGATGGAAAGTCCGGGGGCGGCGGCGGCAGGTGATGTCAGAAATGCGCCGAGGCACTGCCGCATACGGTTTAGCGCCAGACAACAGGTGTGTGGAGGAGGGGGTGCGCTGGGGATCGTTCTCTCTTTTTCACATGCTCTTCTTTTTTTCCCGTTGATGAGAATTACTGCTTACAAAGGGCCCATGTTTTGGAATCACTTTCTGTCAGCAACAATTCCGGCAACCGAGAGGTCACACTAGGATGGAAATCAAGATCAACACTTTGTTTCGAAGGTTCCTTGTTGTTTGCATTGTTCGTCCAGGGGGGTCGCAAAGGTGAAGAAGCATGTATGCAAGTAGGAATCACATGTTGACCGAGCCGTAGTCCGCATCATGGACAGGCAGCTGTCAACATTTCCGTCTCACATTGACATTAACAGAACATTGCACTGCGGGAACTGGAAGCCATCAATGGTCGATTTATGCACACGCGTGTGTATATGTAATTCAGAACGAAAACGTTCGTTCCTGCTCCGACCCCAATCGAATGATTCCGTTCGAGATGTGCTTCGTCGAGCAGTTAAAAGGCAGGATGGACGTTTGCTTTCTTGAGCCCCGAGTTTTAGACCACTTAGACAATGCAGTACTGTTTACCTGAATAGTTACATGCGGCGTGGAGGTTATGTCTTTTTCCTGTCTATCAGATGGAATAAGCTTACAGATGGATGGGATGACAGAGAGGTCGGTTGAAGTACCCATGAACCGGACCCAAGGCAACTGAACCACTCCGGACAACTCATCACTGGCGACGTTTACACCTCAAATCAAAAGCCCAAGGTGAGAAACCAAACAATATTTTGCTTGCGAGAAGATTATGTGCATTCATCAACCTAGGTATCGACAATCATATCAAACAAAAGCTATCCCTATATGCAAGCCAATCCCGATATCCAACCCCCAACCCCCAACACCTTGTTGACCAAGCCCACACCAAGTCAAGCCCAGTTTAGGCCTTGCCGTGGAACTTCTTAACCTTCTCAACCTCATCATAAGAACCCATAAAGATGCCAGCCTTGTCATGGATATGCTCCGGTACGACCTCGAGCATGCGGTTCATCTTGCTATCGACGGCTTGACCACCAGCTGTTGTTTTGACATGACATGTTAGCATCCATCATATTCTCATAGGTAACTGACGACAAAAGACTTACCATTCTCAAAAACCATGGCCATCGGTGCGCACTCGTACAGGATACGCAGCTTGCCCTTGGGGCTCTTCTTATCCGCGGGATACGCAAAGACGCCACCATAAAGCAGCGTGCGATACGCATCCGCCACCATGGAACCGATGTACCGAGCACTATAAGGCTTTCCGCTGCCCTCCTGGCCCTCCTTCAGGCTGTCAAAGTACGCCTTGACGTCATCCTCCCAGTAGAGCGAGTTACCCTCGTTAACGGAGTAGATGCTCCTCTTCTTGGGGATGGTCATGTTAGGATGCGTCAGGATGAACTCGCCCACGCCCTGGTCAAGCGTGAAGCCGTTGACGGAGCCGCCCTTCATGGTGATGACCAGCTGGGCCGAGGCGCCGTACATGGTGAAACCGGCCGCGACGAGCTCGGTGCCGGGCTTGAGGATGTCCTCTTTCGAGCCCGTGCTGTCCTCGGCCAGCTTGTGGATGGCGAAGATGGTGCCGACCGACACGCCGGCGTCCAGGTTGGAGGAGCCGTCGATGGGGTCGCAGGCCACGGCGTAGCGCGCGTTCTTGGCGTCCTTGAAGTAGATTACATGTTCCTCTTCTTCGGAGACCAGCAGCGCGCACTTGCCGGAGGAGCGCATGGCTTCGATGAAGAGGTCGTTGGAGATGACGTCGAGCTTCTTTTGCTCGTCGCCTGTGGTGTTGGAGGAGCCGGCGAGACCCGTCAGGTTTACGAGCGTGGCGCGGCGGATGTAGTAGGCGATGGACTTGAAGGAGAATTGGAGGGCATGGCAAAGGAGGCTTTTGGGGGGGGCTCATGTTAGCTGGTTTTTGCGCGGTCAATGGGGAGGAATTGGTAACCCAAAAAAAACATACGTAAAGTCTCCGGTGGCTTCCTTGTGCTTTACTTGCTCCTCGGTGAGGAATCTGGTGAGGGTGACAATGTTGGTGTTCACCTTCTCACCCTCGATCTCGGCGCCAGCTGAGTTTGTCGTGGAAGTCGACATGGCTAATTATGTGTATGTGTATCTGGTGAAATTGGTGAAAAAAGAAGCTTGCTACACTGATCGTGAGAACAAGCCGTTTGTTATTTCGTAGCTAGCTAGCTTATGCGCTCTGCAGCTATGGGATGATGTATGCTTCGTGGTGACGAGGGTTGACGTTGAACAAAGAGCTCGACTTATACGCAACTAGTGCTGTATGTATGATGCTTGGTCGTCTGGTTGGTGGATTGAGATTGTTCCGGTGAGGAGGATAGCAAAGACAAAACACTGGTCTGGGTATTTGGGTATAAGATGAATGGGAAAAGAGAAGGATCAGGAGCGAGAAGAAGGGAGAACCGAGAAGGAGGAGGAGGAGCAAGATAAGAAGCTACCCTTTCATATGTGTGGAGTGGTAGAGGACGGGAAGAGACGGTCAGACAAGCCAGGAACACGAAAACTTGACAGGGGAATGTTCAAGCCAAGGGGATCTCCTCCATCAACGTGACAGGTTGGGATCCATCTGGACGACGAGTTCCATTTTTATGATGGACTGGCTGAAGTGTTCCTGGCGTATGAGAGGGCCTGGAGGACAACATATTCACGACGATCACTGATCGTCTGTCAAGGGGGGCCAAAACAGGCGTAATGCTGTTTTGGAACTCTTGAGATTGAGGCGTTGAAATCATATCGATGGGAGCATTTCCTCCTCGAGGCGATGGCATGTCAGGTACATTCATCCGGAACCCCGGGTTGCAGAAAGAGGGAAAACGGGACGTATGGGGCCCCTCATTCGGCCGTCGTCGGTTGAACAAGCGGTTATCGATAATCGGGGACGGGGATACCTCTATGGCCACTTGCTGACTTGTGACATCAGCGACTGTTGGCCGCCCCCTCAAGCAGTCTGTTCTTTGCTTGTTTTGTTGTGGTTCTTGTGCACTCGTGGCAAGCCGATTAGCCGTCTGCTGATAGACTTGGTTTAATATAACTGTCATTATTACTCTTCAATGACCTTTTATGAACTGATGTTTTGAACAGTTTGTGATAAGCCGCCGGCCGAAGGGCAACTGTTTGTTTTGGATATGAATGAAGCCAATGACGAACGGGAGTGGAGGGGTTGCCAAACGACTGGGGGGATCCAGAAGCCGTCAGGGGCGGGATGGCAGGCTGGGCGAGATTCCGGGGGTGCGGGGCAATTCTGGCAATGCAAGTCCTCCAAAGAAGATTTCCCGGGACATCCCATTTCTGTCGCCGAAGACCTTCTGTGGTGATGTTCTCTGCACTTTGTTCAGCTTCTCAAACCATCCGGCGATTGTCTTGGCTACGGGAAACCATCCATTGAGACTCACGATGTTCCGAATTCACCGGCAACCAAAGTCCGGCAACACCACGACCACAAGCCAACGAGAGACGGTCAAGGATCACCAAAGTCCAGAAACTCCATCATCTGACTCCGGTCTGTACCACTTTTGCAAGTCATTTGTCACCGCCGGTTGATTACGGAACAGAAACCGTTGTGGCTTTTTCTTTCCCCAATCTCCCAGATGTCCTCGTGACCAGTTCCCGGTCTGTGGAATGGAGAACTTTTGGAGGTCAGCTTTGTAAGTTCAGCTCTGACTTTGGAGACACTCCCAGGTCGGGCGGAGCTTTCCCGTTTGTCCGGCAGGCACCTTGACGGCTTATCGGGCTCTCTTATCGTATACGCAACCCTAACCCTTTCTATAGGTAACGTCAGGGATGCTATTCAGGAGTCGGCGTCCCGGCGACCATGTTCACAACAACACCTCGACACTTTAGAGAAAAGGTGGCAAGGCTTTTATACTGTCTGGCCAAGACTACCTCTACTGATAGCTTAACTCCAGCAGATGAGGCTTTCTGTCTCTCAAATCCAACATCATTTGTCCAAAGAGGCCGTCTGCCCACGAGAACCTGTACCATGACAACCGTTAACTCCCGATACCTACGAACCCAGGAATCCTCGGTCAACAGAAAGTCCCACTTACCATTGTCTCGTCCAATATCGAAGCACTCTTGGAGCTGATCGACTCATGAATCAACCCTAACCCATCGGTTGCCGACAGGATCTGTTGGAGGCAGTTGACAATCTCGGCATCGTCATCCGAAGTCATGATCTGGACGTTCAAGCTCATGGGCCAGGCCATTCCAGGGCCTACATGTGGCCCACCGGTTCTGCTCACGTTCAGTTAACCATCATCTCAGGGCAAGTCATACCAAGAAGACCTACCCGTTCAGCACCGGCCCAACCATATAGTACGGATTCTCCCTACTCAACACGAACCGTCTCGTATTCTGATAGATCGGATCATTCCGATCAACGTACCCAAACAACGGTGCGCTAAGCAAGCTCGGCATGTTGGCATCGTCCTATCACATCGTTAGCTATCATCATTTAGTACCGTCTCCCTCCCCCTGCCAGAGACTGTTGTGGGAGAAATCACATCAGCTATTGATAGTTGAGATGGTACCGCATGATATGATACAGCTGTCGACTCCTATCTGTACCAAGGTCGTCAAGAATAAGGACCCATGGTTGAAGTATTGACGTATTCACAGGTACCAACGCAGAAGGCGTGGAATATCTGGGGAAATGTGACGAGCTGTAAATGGGCGGCATGTGAGAAAGGGTAGTAGGTATGCTATATGGATAAAATGGAAATGGGCAAAGAGATGGTACCATCTGCATGTTAGCCACGCCACGAACTACCGAAACGGTCAACGAAGGAAGTCTATATCGACCACATGGACATTTCGATATCGAGGGTTCTTGGTTCGATGTCATATCCTCGTGGGTCCAGGTACCGGACCGACTCAGTCCTGAAGAATACCACCACGACATTGAAGATGATTTGGATAAGATCACAGCAGTGAAGGTCAAGTAGTCAACGTACCTACTTGTGAGTCTTTGGAGCCTCTCGATCAGGCGGACCTAACCAAAGCCTGATTTTCGGTTGGCTTTCCCATCAATTTCGACATATCCAGATCCAGTTCGGAGAAGACAGCATAAAGAACTTTCCTCTTCTGGACATCCAGCCAAAACTCGGAGGCATGGCGCTGTAACATGACAAGCCCTAACCATTTCAAGCTACAATCTTGAATTCTCATTGGACAATAGCAATCAAACCCCTGTTCCGGATCGGACGCCGGCACGGTAAAGGTCTTGGTATCGTCTTGGCGACCAATTCCAACCTCAGCTTCTCCTCTTCCCCTCCATTCAAATTGACACTCCTGACAGAAACGCCACTTATTCAATGTGACTAAATTTTTCTTCTAGCACAATTTGGCCCTTTTCCGAAGAGGCTGATTGATGGTGGTTAGATCAGTCAGCAACCCCGGACTTAACTTTGACGCCATGGGTTACTTGTCTCTTCAGGGGTTCCGGACCCTGGATGAGTTGAGGACGGACAGTGATGTTGATCTTTTGACTTTGATCTTCGACTTTGATGTCTCGAGATCCAAGCAAGGGAGAAAATTACCAACTCAATGGCTATCAACAACTAACAGGCCACATACAAAGCATGTGACAAACCTAAGGTAGACAACAGCCCTTTTTGAAGAGAGGTAGTAGTATTTACCAAAGCGTATCTCTCACCTCCACCACGGGTGAGGTCAGAAGCCATGGCGATAAACGACGACTCACCGTACCGCAAAGCGGCGGCCAAACTCCCCGTTCACTTCGCGAGTGTCCCACGAAAAAGAAGGGCTCTCCTCCTCGCCGTCTTACTCGCCATCACCATCTTCGTCCTCTTCAAACTCATCACCCCCAGCCAAACCCTCCTCTTCTTCCTCTTCTCACCCGACATTGCCGGTCCCTATGGCGAACACTCCAGCTCAAGTCCATCTTTCGGGGCGGTCAAAAACCAACATGTCAACGACATCCTGCAATTCATCGACCCCCTAATCGGCACCACCAACGGCGGCCACGTCTTCCCCGGCGCCACGCTCCCCTACGGCATGGCCAAAGCCGTGGCCGACGTTGCCTCGCCCGCCGAGAACGCCGCCGGCTTCGTGTCCGACGACAACCCCATCACCGGCTTCTCGCACATGCACGACTCCGGCACGGGCGGCCAGCCCTCTCTGGGGAACTTCCCGCTCTTTGTGCATCCGGGCTGTATAGACGACGACTACACCAAATGCGATTTCTCCCTCCACGAGCGACCGCTGAAGCGTGTTCCTGGTTCCGTCTATGCTTCGCCGGGGTACTTCACGGTGAACATCACCAACGGCGTCAGGGCCGAGATGACGACTACCCACCACTCTGTGCTTTACCGCTTCTCCTTCCCGGGCACGGAAGAGGTGCACTACGCCAAGGGCGTGGCGCCTTATAGCCCGTTGATCTTGATCGACCTGGTAGACTTGATGAATAGCCGCTCTATGGGCGGGATCCAAGTTTACCCTGAGACAGGCCGGATCGTGGGTGACGGGCGGTACACGCCTTCCTTTGGTTCAGGGCATTACCATGCTTTTTTCTGCGCGGACTTTAAAGGTGCCAAGTTCAGGAAGACGGGGACGTTCGTGGAGAATAATGCTACGGATGGAAAACAGTTCCTCGGGGGTGTTGGGTCCGGGTATCAGGTCCCAAGGGGGTCGGCGGGTGCTTGGATTCAGTTTGAGAAGCCCGACGAGGAGATGAAGGACTCGATACTGGCGAGGGTGGGGGTGTCGTTTATTTCGGTTGATAAGGCGTGTGAGAATGCGGAGAGCGAGATGGAGGATTGGGACTTTGAGAGGGTGGAGAGGGACGCGAGAGAGGCGTGGAGGGAGAAGTTGGATGTGGTGAGGGTGGATGCGAGGGGTACGAGTGAAGAGTTGCAGACGACGTTTTGGAGCGGGCTGTATAGGACGTTGTTGAGTCCGCAGAATTATACGGGGGAGAACCCGTTGTGGAATTCGAGCGAGCCGTACTTTGACTCGTAAGTCTGGCAACCTGGAAAGGGGGCGGAGAGAGAATGCTAACGCTGAATAGGTTCTACTGTATATGGGATTCCTTTCGAGCCCAGCATCCCCTTCTGACCGTCATCGACCCAAAGGCACAAACCGAGATGATCAGGGCCTTGATCGACATCTACAGACACGAAGGCAAGCTCCCTGACTGTCGTATGTCCTTCTGCAAAGGCTACACCCAAGGCGGCTCCAACGCAGACGTGGTCATCGCCGACGCCTTCGTCAAGGGTCTCACAGCCGACATCGACTGGAAGACCGCCTACGAAGCCGTTCTCTCCGACGCCGAAATCGAGCCCCAAAACTGGGGTCTCTCCGGCCGCGGCAACCTCGTCTCGTGGCACGATCGCGGCTACATCCCCTGGAACGACGTGGACAAGAACGGCACCGGCCCCGCCTCGCGCTCCATCTCCCGCGGCGTCGAGTACGCCTACAACGATTTTTGCATCTCCCTCCTCTCCCAGGGTCTCTCCAACTCCCCCTCCCTTCTTGGTGCTCCTTCTACGTCAGAAGTCGTAGACTCCTCCTACCACCCCAACATCTCAACCCCCTGGACCTCCCTCACCACCGACCACACCAAATACCACCACCGCGGCGCCAACTGGCGCAACTACTGGAACCCCTCAGCAAAAGATCTCTTCCGGGACCGCTCCTTCTCCCCTCCCCCAGAAGTCGACTCCCTCTCCACCCCCCTCTCCAGCCAAAACGCTTCATCTATACCCGGTTACATCCTCCAATCCCCCTTCGTCGGCTTCCTGCAACCGCGCACCCTTTCAGGCACCTTCCGCTACCACCCCACGCGCACCTGCAGTCCCATCCAAAACCAGCACTCATGCTACTACGACACATCGCTAGACGTCTACGAAGGGTCACCCTGGCTCTACTCCTTTTTCGCTCCGCAGTCCATGTCTACCCTCATCCAGCTCATGGGCGGCCCCGACACGTTCGTCGAAAGACTGGAATACTACCATCAGTCAGGGATAGCGTACATGGGCAATGAACAATCGTTCCTCACCGTATTCCAGTTCCACTACGCCGGTCGCCCGGGCCTGAGTTCCAAGTGGTTGAGAACTTACATACCGCAAATGTTCAACGCCAGCGTCAACGGCATCCCGGGAAACGACGATTGTGCCATGGGCGCGTTTACCACGTGGGGGATGGGTTTGGGGGGTTTCCCCGTTGCTGGACAAGATGTTTACCTCATCGTCCCGCCGTTTTTTCGCGAAGTGAAAGTGCGCGCGGGGGTTGATCTTAAATCCCCTTCCCCTCTTTCTCCTGACTCGAAGAAGGCAAAATGGGCAGTGATAAGAACCGTCAATTTTGATAATGCAGAAATGCAAGGCGACGGCACACCAGTATACATCCAGTCCGCCAAGTTGAACGGGAAGAGATATACCAAGAACTGGATCACGCACGAGTTCTTTGAGCAAGGCGGGCTGTTGGAGTTGGTGGTTGGACCGGAAGAAGATACAGGCAAGAATGGTTGGGGAACAAACCAACAAGATTTGCCGCCTAGTTATTATGAGGATGAGAAGTTTTGGGAGGAGTGGGAGAGGATGGATAGGGAGAGGACGGAGAGGTGGAAGGAGGAGGAGGAGGAAAAGGCGAAGGAAGGGGGGAATGAGGTTGATGATGGGTATTAGAGAGGTTTTTGGAGTGAGTGAAGGGATTGTAAAATGTGATTTTATTTTGGTGTTTGGTTTCGAACTCTCATCCATATGGCCTATGTTGTTGTGATTGTCTGTGACGAATACCCATGTTTCGTGGGCGACCGTGTCTGTATTGCTTCCTATTGTCGTGCTTCTTTGACACTCGTTGTTGATGTCATCACTCCGAGGTCAATGACGACAGCACATGAAGATTCGAAGCTGTTGGAGATTGTCGATCGGTAAGGTCGATCAGTAAATACAGTCTCGAACAACGCTTAGTCTCAAGGAATGGACTGTGGCCGCAGCCGGAAGCCATGTACCACTGACCCAGCATCACAATCAAAAATCCACTGATGTCAACTTGATAGGATCTATTAGCTTATCTCTACACTCTAGCTAAACAATTTTTGATCCTCCTTCTACCACACCTCCGGGATTCATCCCCATTAGAAGTCCAACTACCCATTTTTTATGAGTAGTATGAACAATGACGATGCTGGTCTATATCCCTTCCCTTCCCACTCTTGTTAGATAACGACTGGGCTCTAAAACCTTCGCTCTGTTACTGTCTCGAGAGCGAGAAGAATGTGTTCCCTAAGATGCCCGAGCTTAACCTCTCATTCTGTGAGAGCTCGGCTGAAGAAACCCGACATTCCAGACCAATTGCAGATAATCACTTTTGGCCAGTTTTCCCTCCCTAACCGTAAACGCCAAGTCGTTGATAAAACATAGGAAAAACATAATCATTCCCCCTCAGATGGCCAACCCTGTAAGATGCGAAACCAGGCTCATCACAAAGAGAGAAAGAAAAGCAAGCCTGTCAGTACATGAGGATGACTTCGAATCAATATCATAACGAGATACTGCTTGTAAAAGTCGTCATGCACACAAGAGACAATAGTATCCCCCCTGGAGATACTTGCTAAATCCATCCACTGCCAATTTGGCCATCGCACCGTGATGGGGTTGCATGAGATCGGGAGAGATTAAATCATAATTGTCGTCAAGCGAAGTGTGGTATCAAATAAACTTTTCCGGACCCCCCGTTGCGAGATCGACCCTAGAGAGTTGAATGGAGAACATGAAGAAACATCTGAGAAACACCTATGCCGGTGCGTGGGAAATCATCCATCGCTCAGGCACATTTAAGCCTTCTGCTCCTCCGGCTTCTGCTCCTCAGCCTTGGGGGCAGCCTGCTCGCCGTTGGCCTCAGCGGGCTGCTGGGTGGGCTGCTGGCCCTGGGTCTTGAGGTACTCGTCATAAACGGCAAGAGCCTCCTGGACCTTGACGTTAAGAGCGTTGTCATCCTCGAAGCTACAGACGACTGGTCAGTATTGTGTTCAACGGAGTAAAGAATAATCGGACAAAACTTACAGGTTGATCAGCTCAGCGTTGTCCATCTCGAGGAGCATGCCGGTGATCTTGCCAGCAAGAGCGGGCTGGATGGCCTGGATCTTGGGGAAGAGGTTCTCGCCAATGATCTGCTTCTGGGCCTGAGGGTCCTGAGTGGTAGCGAGCTGAGCCTGGAGGAAAGAGCCAGCGCTGAGGTCGGCAGGAGCGCCAGGGATGGGGGAGGCACCACGGCCGGCAGCCATGAAGTTAGCATTGCCGCGAGGAGTGCCACGGCCGCCGCCGTTCTGGGGACGGCCGGCAGGGGGGTAGCCGGGAACGGCGGGGCCGCCCTGGAGACCCTGGGGAATACCGGCGGGGATGCCCTGAGGGCCCCGGCCAGCGGGACCGCCACGGCCACCACCAAGAGCACCAACCTGGCCCACGGCAGCCATGTACTGAGGGGTGTTAGGAGGGAAAGCACCAGGGCCGAACTGGTTGATGGGGTAACCCATGGGGGGCATCTGCTGGGGAGGGACGCCACCGCGGCCACCCTGCTGGTAGGGGTACTGGCCAGGGCGACCACCCTGAACGCCGGGGACGATACCGCCCTGGGGGAAGGGGACGCCACGACCGCCAGGGGCGGGCATGAAACCGGGCTGCTGGCCAGCGTAGTAGACAGGAGCCTGCATGTACTGCTGGGGCATACCAGCCTGGGCAGCGGCCTGCTGCATGCGGAGCTGGTTGCGAGCCTGGATGCTGGCCTCAAGCTGGCTCTTGCGGACATCCTTGCGCTGGGCAAGAGCGACGTAGAGGGGCTTGCCATCGACCATGCGCTGGTTCATCTCAGTGACGGCCTTGGTGGCATCATCGGGGTTGCTGAAGCAAACGAAGCCGAAGCCCTTGCTCTTGCCGAGCTTACGGTCACCCTTCTTCTCGGTCTTCTTCTCAGAAGCCTCCTTCTGCTCCTCCTCCTTGGTCTCGCCCTCCTTCTTGTTCTCCTTATCCTTCTCATCCTTCTCCTCGGAGCCCTCGATGAGAGAATCGCGCATGACCTTGGCAGAGGTGATGGGACCATACTCGGAGAACATGGCACGGAGCTTCTCATCATCGACATCATCGCCGAGGTTCTTGATGTAGAGGTTGACACCCTGGTACTTGTTGGCCTTCTCGAGGCGGGCAGCCTCGTAAGACTTGCGGAGCTCCTCCTCGCGCTCGTGCTTCTTCTGGGCACGGCCGACGTAGAGGTCCTGGCCACGGAAGTCCTTGCCGTTGAGCTCATCAACAGCGGCGGCAGCAGCCTCGTGGGTGGTGAAGTTGACGAAACCGAAGCCACGGGTCTTGCCCTCCTGGTCGCGGGCAAGGGAGGAAGAAGTGACCTCACCGAACTTGGCGAAGAGCTCACGGAACTCCTCGTCGGTGACCTCGTTGTTAATGTTCTTGACATAAACGTTGGTGAAGTTGGCCTTCATCTCCTCGAACTTGCTCTGGCGGTCCTTCTTGGGAATGTGGTGGCCAACGTAGACCTTCTTCTCGTTCAGAAGCATGCCGTTGACGTGCTTGATGGCCTGGGAAGCAGCCTCATCGGTCTCGTAGTGGACGAAACCGTAGCCCTTGGAGTTGCCGTGCTCATCCTGGGCAACCTTGCAGGAAAGGATGTTGCCGAAGGCAGCGAAGGTGTCGTGAAGAGCCTTGTTGTCAATGGCAGCATCGAGGTTCTTGATGAAGATGTTGCCGGCACCGGTCTTGCGGAGGGCGGGGTCACGCTGGGACCACATGATGCGGCAAGGGCGGCCCTTGATCAGGGTGTAGTTGAGCTCCTCAAGAGCCTTCTCGCCGTCAGCGGTGGTGTTGTAGTTGACGTAGGCGTAGCCGAGGGAGCGACGGGTGACAGCATCGCGGCAGACACGGATGGAAGCGACGGAGCCGATCTGGGAGAAGAGCTCGAAGAGCATGGCCTCGGTGACGGAGGGGTCAAGCTCGCCGACATAGAGGGAGGCGGAAGCCTGAGGGTGAGGGGCAGCGGTGGGGGTAGGAGCAGCCTCAGCACCCTCGGCCTGGCCCTCAGCGGGGGCGACGCTGGTGTCGATGGTGGCCGGGGCAGCGGCCTTGTTGTCGAGGCTGGTGTTGCCGAGGTCAGCGGCGAGCTGGTCGACAGCGGCGTTAGAAGTGGCAGCCATTTTTGCTGGTTGAACTGTAGATTCTGTATGATGGATGAAACCGTCAGCGTGTGTGTCCCTCTGTATAGTCTTGCTTTGCTTGTGCGCGGAGGGGCAACCGATGTCGACAGACGACCACAGCGAAAGGGAGGAGGAGGAGGAGGGTCTCGATTGACGTGACGTTGGGGGGGCGGCACTGGCGCGGCGACCACGGCGACGACGACAACGACGACGACAAGGCAGGAGGAATTGATAGTGCGACGACCAACGTACCAGAGATCTAGAGTTGTGTGGAGTAAGTAAAACCGGCGCGGAGAACGGGCGACGGGATTGACAAAGAGGGAGGATGAACTCGACTGGTCAAGGACGAGATTCGGGAGAGGGAAAGGAAGACTGGTGGACTTGGAGACTTGGGTAAATGTCTTCCAAAAAAAGGTGGGCGGGTTTGGTGGGTTTTATGGGGTTTTGTATGGATGGGGGGATTTCTCTTTTTTCGGGGATTTTCAATTTTTTTTGCGGAGGTTTTGTCTGTCACAGAGAAGAAGTAGATAGAACAGAGACCGAGAGGGTAAATGTTCGTACTTATCTGACTTCTTTCTGGCTTCGGTTTGGAGGAGTTTCCTGGGGATAAAGGGCGTGAGGTTCGCTGAAGAAAGAAGAGGAGGAGAAAGAGGGCAAGAAGCAACGACGCCCGGATGGCTCATGTCTTAATGCGGAGGTCAGATTTTTTTCTTTCCCACCCACGCACCTTGTGGATGCGCACTGTGCTGCGCCCCTCGTAGCCAGTGAATTGCGGCTAGGGCGGTCAAAGTATGCATTTACCGGGAGTCAAAACCTTGATTGATGCAATGGAACCGCCGCGAACCTTTGCACAGGCATTCACTTTGCAGAGGAGATCGGACCACCGAAAAGGAAACGTGCGACTTGCATTCACTTTGCCTGCGCTTACTCCCGGGCCTGGATATCAAACATAGCCGACCATGCCTGACGACTCATGCCAACAACAGGACATGGCACACCTATTCATGAACCCTGGAGGTTTTATGAAACCCTGCGTTTCAGTCGCAACCGTTGGTATAGTATCGCGAGATTCACTTGCTCCAGTGGGTGTTTACGGGACATCCCATCTCAGTTGGACGTTGACTGGAGATGCAATTACAGCAGTGTACTGGATTTGGCACTGGGTCGCTGGCGGCAGTCCTTCACCATGGAACAATGCTAACGACCGCCTCACCTTTCTGGAAGTGGGCTAGCAAACGGCATTGCTGCTGCATTCGTGCCACATGATTTCACAAAAAAAATTATTCAAATCGGCATTTACAGTCCAGTTCACCTTCACTCCATCCACATTTCATCTGGTTGCAAAATAGTAGTAAAGACATTGTTGGCCTGCCGCGCACGGAACCTTGGTTGGGGCAACTTGGCCGGATGAGCTGCCAGGATGTTGCAATTATACGTTTGTTAGCCAGCGGCAAAATGGAAAGTCTGGAACATCATACTCGTTACACATCATAACATTTCGAAGAAAAGGTTTTTGTCCTGATGGCGGTTGCTGTATCCCGTCACCGGCAGAACGTCTGTTGAGGTCGGTCTGCTTGTGGTGATTGGTCCCAGTGCCGGTCAAGAGTCAAGACTGAGATGTCCAACAGTGGAAGAGAACAAGATGTCAAGATCGGCTTGATACGAATACCCGGACCAGTCGTTGCGTGAAGTTGCTTGCTGCGGTACCCTTCACGCCAACTTCAAGTGTGGCAGTACCTGCTGCCTTATGTCCGGCCGAGTTCAGATGGAAAAAGGAATCGGTACGTATGCAGATATCGCTATATCAAGACTCTCACTGTTATCGCGGGACACAACGCGCAGCATTGGCACGGCCCCTCAGTGAAGTGGAAGGAAGGCGAGAGCAAGCATCTGACGACGCTGCTTGGCTCAGGCTGCCCCGGCCTAGCCTTGCACTGCCAGGGCTTGTTTGACCTCTGGCCTCCGTGTTTGTGGGGACGGGCATGGGCCATAGAACCCGTCTTTATCGTTATCGTGCATTTCCATCAAATGGAATGTTAAAAGGCACGATCCCGTTGCAACTGATGGATGGCAACAACTATTCAAACTTCTCTTCAGCTATGGAATCCTTAAATAACTGTTCATTCGCCCGGACGAGCAATGTGCTCGAGATACCAGGCTTGTTATGCTTCACATGTTCCAACACCGTTCTCCATGCTCCAGGTCCTAGGTATACCATCGATACCTCTAGCCTGCCTGCCCGCCCGGGCGATAAGATAACGAAGAGAAAGGAAAGAGGGGTCATCTCTCAAGGTACCTTGCTGTACCTGAGTACCTGTTGAGGTACCTTCAATATCCACCACCAGAAACCCTTCGATGCTCAGCGCCAACGTTAACATTCTTGAGCTCGTCATGCCTCCAACATGCCTCTCTTCATTATCGCCATTAGAATTCGACGGGTACTGGTCCTTTAGCTAGATTCTAGGTCCCAAATAATGTGTTGCTAGCACTGAAATACATGTCCCATCACTTCGTTGATCGAGCTTACCAAGACATTCGGGTTGGTGGCCAGCGACTGAACTTTCTGGAACAGCTACTGGTGTCTACCATTGCCTGGATTAGTGATGCTTTGTTAGTAAAGTACTTGGGCAGGTGCAAGTGCCGTAGCACTCCGCTAGCTGGGCAGGTACCGTGACAGCGCTTACAACCCGGGACGGTACGCAAATGCAGCGGGGATGCTGCTTCCAACCCAACAACGGCAAGGTAGCCGGCCATCATCCCGTCATCACTGCCATCACTGACTGCCATCTCCATGAGCAACTGTCGATCCAACCAAAGCAGTCAAACACAGGACATCAAACCACACCGTTCACGACGACCAACTGCAAGACAACACCTCCAGCGCGGAGACCCCAGCTCGTACGACGTCCAAGTTCAAGCTCGAATATCTACACCGCATCGCTATTCGATATAATATCCATTTGCGCAACCCTCGACCAAAGCTCCTCTCCTCTCGCCACTCGTCCGCCCTCCGACCTTCCGTGTTAGTGTTGGGGAATCTCGAATATCAGACCAAACACTCGATTCACTAGTCATGTTTCCCACCTTTACCGGTAACTCTAGGAAAGGCCGAAATGTCAACCTCAGCGGTCAACGGACTAGTAACCCTTTCACCAGCACGTCATGGGGCGCCAGTTCAGCGACCGGAGCTTCCAAAACAGTAGCGCATGCACAAGCAGAACGTCAGCAAAGGCAACAGGAAAGAGACCGGCTCAGGGCGGCGCAACGAATACAACGAACATGGAGGGGACATCGCGTGCGACGGACCGTACGAGATGAACGGCGCCAGGCTATCGACCGTCTGTACGAAGCGCAACCCGTTGATGCCAACCAGAGGTCAGCAGAGGCATTGCCTCTGGTGTTTGCCGCCTTCCAAGCTTTCAATGTACAGGACCGTCACAGGCTAGCTTTGGTCACCCAAGATCTTCTCCGAACAGACTTCTCTGCCTTCAGCTCGGGAGTGTTGGGTTGGGACAGATTGGGCAAGCTAAGACGGATTTTGCTTGCTGCTTTGACAAGGTGAGCAGTTCATGCCCTTGGTCCTTTACAAGTGTTCATCATGCTAATGCAGGGGTGATCTCTTGATAGGTGCGATCTCGGGAACGAGCAGACCCAGCTGGCTCTTTTTCTACGAGCCCTTGGTGCGATCGGGACCAAGGCGTCGGACTTCAAGACGTTTGAACAAGTTCTGGGAGAGTGGTACAAGGTGCTTGGAAGCTTATGCCAGGAGACTGGTTTGCCCTTCCCTATCCAAGAGCTCATTTGCAGTCTGGTGGTTGCACCGCTTGATGTACCCCACGATTTAGGTGTGTACCATTCGTTTGGACTCTCCCCATCGTACAAGGAAGCTTCTTTGACTAACTGTGGCCGTCCGTTCTACTGTAGAATCCGTCAAACATACAGCCTACCAAAATTTGGTTGTTTCTTTTCTGACACAGCCCGACCTGGCGCGATGCTCGGACCTCATTACGAGACTAGCCGCCAACATAGACCTAGATCGGCTGTCAAATTATATCCTTGACCTCTCGCATAAGCTTCCAAAGCAAGGCCCGAACGCCGTCCTCTGGCTTATCGCACATTACATTGCGATTAATGGAGCGAAGGAGCAACGAAGCTCAAGGCTTCTTTTGATCAAGACCCTCGAATCACTCTTCCCTCTGTGCGCAGCTCAGATAAGGGCGGGTTTTGCTGTTGCCCGGCCAAAAGAATCGGGTTACTTTGCGGAATCCGAGCAAGATGGATCATATGTTCTGCCTCCATTTGTGCGACAACAGCTTCAATCGCTGGTTGATAAAGGAGCCATCCAAGACCTTCTAAGCGCTTTTACCGCGTAAGTGTTCCTTCGCCTGATGCTTATTCCAAGCGCTAATGATCGTAGGACTACCGGGGAGGCTTCTTCTTCAGCGGATGACGACGCCAGTTACCTTGCTGGCTTCATTCTAACTTTGATCAACTGCTTCCCTGCTTTTAGCGAGGACATTCGCATGTACCTTTATGTGGCTGACATCTCAACTGCTCAAGGCCGTATTCCAACGGCCAAGTACTTCTGGAATGCCACACAGAAAACGTCAGTGTTCTCAATTATTGCGTCTAGCCAAGACTCTACGCTAGGTTTTCTTCGAAGCAAACCGTCATCACCAGCTGTTGAAATGATGTGGCATCGAGAATGGAAAACCGTTCTTCTGTTCCTTGAATCTTACGTCTTCGTTTTGCGGCTCATGGACGACGATGATTTCTTTAGCGGTTTAAACCCCCATCCTAACTTCGGCGCCCCTTCCTCTCGACTGCGTCTGGCGGGGATGTCACTGGGCGAACTGAAGCGCTTGACGCAATTTCTCAAGCACCTCAGTTTCACAATGTACTACAATACTAAGGAGCTACTGACAAACAGTCCTTGGGGCGATACGCCGAACTCGACTCGTCCGGGAGGCGATGGCAGTCAAGCTTCCAAATCCGGCAGCTTCCTTCCTCCTGCCGGAGTTGAATTCACTACGCTCAGAGATTTAGCGACGACAGCCATGAAGATGCTTTACGAGCGGGACTCGAGACGACCATTTTTGCCTGAAGGCCACTGGCTGATGACATCCAAGTTCGACATGGAGGGGTTCCTTGCGGCTGTGGTTCTTGAAGAGCAAAGACAACACGAGCTGAGGAATACTGAAGATGGCGAGGACAGCTCGGATGATGATCAACAGGGATGGTCTCATTACGCACATCTTGAGAGGCTCAGGCGGAAGAATAGGAAGGCCGCCCGCAATCACTTACTGTCTGCCATCAGTCCGAAGCTTGAGATTCTGCGCAATATGCCTTTTGCTATCCCCTTTGAGACGCGCGTTCAGATCTTCCGACAGTTCATCCAACTGGACAAGCAGCGCAGACGTGGAGGAGATGGTGACCCAGACATGTGGAGAGCTCATATGCTACGCAATGGCTTTGGTGCCCAGCACCCCTTGGGTAGGCACACGGCTCGGATCCGGAGAGGCCGAGTTTTCGAGGATGCTATGAAACAGCTTTGGGAGCTGGGCGAGGGACTCAAAGAACCAATCCAGGTTACGTTTGAGGACGAATTCGGAATGCAGGAAGCGGGTATCGATGGCGGCGGTGTCACCAAAGAGTTTCTCGACAGCGTGACTACAGAGGCGTTTACTCACACCGAGCTCTTTGTCACGAACAGCAAGAACGCCTACTACCCAAATCCCACCCTTATTGATCGGATCAGAAATATGCGGACAGGGGAGCCCGAGGCCACACAGCGTGCCGTAGAACAGGCACTTAAGATGTACGAATTCCTGGGCCGAATTATCGGCAAATGCATGTACGAGGGAATCCTGATCGACATCGTCTTCGCCGGCTTCTTCCTCCTCAAATGGGCCGCCGACAACGACACCCCAGGCGGCGGCAGCAACTCCCCAGCATCATCCTCCACCACCGCCGGCTACCGCGCCAACATCAACGACCTGCGCGAACTCGACGAGGAGCTCTACCAAGGCATGCTCAGCCTCAAAAACTACACCGGCGACGTGCAAAACGACCTAGCTCTCGACTTCACCATCACAGACCCCATCAACTCCCCCGGCGAGCCCACCCGCACCATCATCCGCCCTCTAATCCCCCACGGCGACTCCACGCCCGTCACCAACGAGAACCGACCGCTCTACATCTCCTACGTCGCCCGCCACCGCCTCGTCCGCCAACCCTACCCGCAAACGCGCGCCTTTTTACGCGGGTTAGGATCCATCATCGACCCTAGCTGGCTCTCCATGTTCAACCAACTCGAACTCCAACGCCTGGTAGGCGGCGACAGCTCAGAAATCGACGTCGAAGACCTCCGTCGCAACACGCACTATAACGGGGTGTACCAGATCGGCCTCGACGGGCTGGAGCACCCGACCATCCAGATCTTCTGGGAGGTGGTGCATGAACTGCGCGACGAAGAGAGGAGGGAAGTCCTAAAATATGTGACGTCGACGCCGAGAGCGCCGCTGCTGGGGTTCGGTCAGTTGAGACCGTATTTCACGATTAGGGATGCCGGGCAGGATCAGGAGCGGTTGCCGAGCGCGAGCACTTGTGTCAATTTGCTGAAGTTGCCGCAGTATCGGAGTAAGGAGAGACTGAAGGAGAAATTGTTGTATGCGGTTAAGAGTGGGGCTGGGTTTAATTTGAGTTAAGAGTTGAGCGAGGCAAAGCAGCGGGATGTGAGGTGTGCTGATTGATGGGAGTGGTGAGCGTGCGTGGTGGGAGAGCGTACGTATGAGTCCTTATGGGTATATGGGTATCTGGGGTTGAGGAGATGGAATGAATGGGATGGCTGTGTTTGGCGTTCAGACGTTCGGTCTATCAAGTCATTGAGACTAAACTAAGCATAAGCAACTGAATTTTTACTAGAAGCGAAATTGATTGAGGACTACATACCCACGGCAATGATAACAGCTACTCTGCGGAGATAGTAAAGAGTGACAGGCGCATCGTAAAAGCTGTGAACATCTATATAGGTACTCCCTGAAGACATTGGTGATGTCTCTTTGCATGCTCACTCACAGAAATGATGAGCTCAACCAGTGCACGGCGTCTACACTTTCGACGGCAAGGGTAAGTGATGATTATTTTCATGGTTCTACGTAGGATGTGTACGTCCGGGAGGGAGTCTGACGGACGACTGACTACATCACCATTTCGTGTTTCCCAGGATTTGTCATCCGCAATGCTTGTCCGCTCGTCACGTCTGACCCACCATCTGAAAAGGACACGCACCTTTTCTGTTCTCTCTTGAATTATTTTCAATTCCTTTTCTGTCCTCTCTGCCGGTAAAATCGAAAGTACAACAAGAACGCGAAGGGGAAAGAAAAACCGTTTGCTACGAAGAAAACAGGACGCCGCACCATAACCTCATAAACACCATCAAGGTATCAAAATCACCCCCCTACTGACCGACTCCTTGCTGACAGCTGGCTTGCTAGAACAAACACAAATCTTCTCTTTCCCCCGCCTCTCCGAACTCCGTCAAACTCCATCTGGCTCAATCAAGCTCAACGTTATCCAACGCCTCACTAATAAACTTTTCCTCCTTCTCGCCCTCTATCGACTCCCCATCCTCACTCCCCGCACTCGACCCCGGCCCAGGCCCCTCGCTATCATCCGTCTCCGGCGGCGTATCCAACCCCGTCGTCCTCGTTGGGGCATTCATCCTGCGCTTCAACATACACATCTCGACATTGATACCCGGTCCGAACGCGCAACCGACGATATACTCCTTTACTTTTCCGCCAGGCGCCAGGGCATCCATGTCTTTTTCCCGCAAACGGTTGAGCACACTGAAGATGGTTGCCGAGGAGCTGTTGCCGTGGTTGATGTACGTGTCGTAGGAGGCGCGCATGTGCTCTGGTGTAAGACCCATGGCGCTTTCGGCGCCAGAGAGGATGGTGGCGCCGCCGGGGTGCATTGCCCAGTCGAAATCTGCTGGTTTTTGGTAGGAGGAGGGGAGTTGGTCTTCGAGGGAGGATAAAAGATCGGAGTAGGTTGGTTGGAGGGAGGCTTTGGCTAGTAGTGGGACTCGAGGAGACAAGACGACTTTCCACCCCATTGGGTCGACGTCGAAACCGAGGTCGTGTTCGGAGTCGGGGATCACGCGGTTTCCCCATCCTAGGAGATCGTATATCGCGGGCTTGCCTGGTTCCTCGCCGATGCCGTTGGAAAGGACCACGGCGCTAGCGCAGTCGCTGAACAAGGCAATGCCGATGCGGGTTTCTTGCAAAGCGTTGATGCTTTCTAGCTCGCTGCGGACCATGATCGTGCTGACTTCGAGCGCGAGGACCAGAATCCGGGCTGGCTTGCCGCGCGCCTTATGTCCTAGGCAGAGGTTGGCTGCCGTTCGGAGTGCGGCGAGGCCACCCGAGCACCCGATACCATGGAGTAGGACCTTTTCGAGGCGGTCGCTGAAACCAAGCTCCTTTGCGACAAAGTGGTCGTAGCCTGGGTTGGCTGAGTCGGTACATGTCGTCGAGACCATGTGTGTGATTTGGGTCGGCTCTACGCGCGCTTCGGCCATAGCCTTTCGGGAGGCTTCTACGGCGAGAGGGACGCCATCGGACATGAAAACCTTGTGAAGTTCGTCGACGGTAGGTGGGTTAGGCTGGTTCACGAGCGGGTGGTCGGGATTTCCTATCGAGGAGCGCTGGTCGATGCCTGTGTATCGGTTGATCGCGAGGACCTTCTTCATGCTGTTGCAGAGCGAAATCAGTACCTGTTCAACAAGCGCAAAGCAAGAGAAGACCAAGATAGCTTACGCTGGAGACTCTGGGTAGTATCTCTTGCTGAGAATGTCGAGAGCGTCTGGACCAAGGTTATATGGAGGATACTGGACTCCCAGGCCCGTGATGGAAAGCCCCAGCTCCCCGGGAGCAGTTGAAGCAGCCATTCTTACTGGTATGGAGGAAATGTTGTGGGGGAACAGTCGTGATAGTCCAATTGGTGTCTCTTCTGGTGTTGTAAAGCAACTATCGAGATCCAATTCCTCGGTGTCTTCTCTTTGTTGTAGTGTTTATCTTTTTGGCGGCGGGGTAGAAGCGAGAGTTGATATATTGCTTGGCAATGACGCACAGTGTTGAAGGGCAACTGAACCGAGGTTTCTTGGGGACAAACGTAGCTCTCACGAGTTGAATCGCCGGTCAATTGGGCGTGAAAGATTTGGGAAGTTTAAGGGGATGAACTTGGTAAACATTGGAATTGTCAGTTTATGTTGTGCGACAGCAAAAGCAAGATGGATGTGTTACCACAGCCCCGATTCATCTTGAAGCTCCTCAGTATCCTTGCCTCGGATCCTGGTCCACTGGTTCGAGATCGTTACCTCATTGCCCAGGGGAAGCGGTTCGTCTGGACTCTGGGATTGAGAATGTGGTGGGGGTGGTGTACTGTTCTCAAACGCCACGCCGGATGGAGCTCGTCTTGGATCCGTAGCGGGATGCTAACAGGGCAGCGAATGCTCTTCGTTCCCTGATTCCAGGCGGTTGCAACTGTATCTGCAGATATTCGTCCGCACAGTGGTCTCGCGATGGTCAACACCGTGGATGAAGGGCTGGAGGTTGAGGAGAGAGGTGATGATTCAATAGGAGTGAAGAGTCAAAGTTGAACGCAGGGGAAGGGCAAGAACTTCAACAAGAGCAATGGATGAACTGTTAGTGCACAATGTTGATCTCATCCCGAAAATGGAAGGCATGATAGAGCCCCGCACTTCCCAGATGCTCATCGAGATCCATTGTTCAGCAATTGATCTTTTCCGTCTGAGAGATGGCCATGTCCAAGAAGCTGGGCTTCAGGCTGTTCCATCAGGTTGTATTTCAGGGTTCTTTGAGCCAACTCGTAGCGTTTCACGAGCAGTGAAAGTCCGTTTGACAAGCTGTTTGAGAGTCAAGATCGAACACCTTTGTGGTTGGAGGGGTTGATAACGTGCGGATAAAACGACGCTATTCCCATTTCTACCAAGTCCCGGCCGCACAACGTCATGACTTTATTCTCCAGGTTTTCTGGCCTGCAAAAAATCGACTGGGGTGAACGTTGATGGTTTCATGGCTTCCTCCTATAGAATGCTAGGTTCAATCCAGACACCAAAAGCATTGTCGCAAATACATATCAGAGGTTGATCGGGCATTCCGTGCAGAATCCTTACAGATGTTGATGCGTTCGCGGCAGGATATCCATATGTACATGTGTCGAATGACAGGGACCGCGGTATAATAAAGGTCGAACGATCAAGTTCCATTTGGGATTCCTAGGAGGTGTTAATGGTGCAATTGGAGCTCTAGAGAATGAATGCTTCCTCTGAGGGGGGCAGGACATCAACATGGCAACAAGAGCTATTCGATCATAGTGTACAGACTGCGGACGCAAGAACGGATGAACAACCATCCCATCCGGATGCATGCGGGGAATTTGGAGCGGCCCACGGCCCCAGACCGGGATAAGGTCGGGTGGGGAGTACCTCGATCCGCTCCTCCGGAAACCGGAACCCCAAGTCCTCTCGGCCCGAAGACATGAAACCGAACCATGGCAATGGTTGAGATCCACACCATCATCCCCAGTCAGACTCACATGTCAGAGAGCTAGAAGCTAGCAAAGGACAAAGGTATCAACAAACAATCCATCATCATAAAGCCTGTCGAATTTCGAATCCAACAAACAAACCCCCGGAACATTGGGAAACAAGAACTGTAACAAAAATCCGCGTGCTGTTGTCCCAGTAAACCAACCCAAAAGATATATCCATCTTCATCATACAACATTGTGAACCTCCCATCATCTCATCGTAGATCAACCCAAACCCCATTTTCCTCCTCCTGCGTACCTAGTGACTCTTCCTCATCGTTGTGAACCTTCCCTCTAAGCAGTCTTCTTCCACTGGGAGTAGATGCCAAGCAGAGAGCTGAGGGTACCAGCAAGACCGACGATGCCATCATCCAAGTTGACCCAGGCAAGAGCCGACAGGGGAACAGTCAAGTCGCAAAGGTCCGAGGTGAGCTGGATGCGGCTGGCGGCGCGCTCGCTATAACATTTACAAGTATCGTTAGCAATCACGTCTCTTCTCTCTCAGCGAATCCACAATCAAGACGGGAAAGGAAAGAAAGCACTTACACCTCAATCCTCTTAGCCTCCACCACACCCTCTCCCTCCTTCCGATCAACCCTCGCCTCCCTCTGCCTCAACCTCCACAGCGCATACGCCTGCGCAACCACGCTGCAGCTCAATCCCATGACCCAGAACCTCTGGCTTTCCCTCGCCAGCCTCTTGGCGCTCTCCGTCTTCCGAATACCCGTCGCATCCAACAGGGTACCCAGATCAAACGTCAAATAACCGGCATAGCCGAGCTGGCGGCCGACCGCCAGATACCTGAGAATCGGGTCGCCGTTCTTGTTGTCGGCCGCCACTGCCGCGGCCTTGATGTGCTCGACGTTCTTGCCGGCGCGCATGACCTTGCGCACCAGGCCGAACTGCTTCTTCATCGTCTCCCATGGCGCGATCGACGAGGCCGGCTTGTTGGTCCGAAGCAGGTACCAGGCGTAGAAGCGGGCAAAGTATTGCAGGAGGCGCAGGAGCTTGTCGCGGCCGACGGTGGTGGCGACGAATTTGAGGTAGTGCGAGACCGCGGGGTGGTAGACGAGGGCGTCGGCGACCATTTTGGTTGTAGTTTGGGGGGGGGGGGTGTTAAAATGCGACGGCTTGCGCGGGTTTTGGTTTTGGTGGTTTGTTGTTGTTGTTGTTGTTGTTGTTGTTGTTGTTGTTGTTGTTGTTGTTGTTGTTGTTGTTGTTGTTGTTGTTGTTGTTGTTGTTGTTGTTGTTGTTGTTGTTGTTGTTGTTGTTGTTGTTGTTGTTGTTGTTGTTGTTGTTGTTGTTGTTGTTAGGTTGAAGTTGATGTTCCGAATCGGAAGAGGGTCGGATGTCGCGGTTCGTTGTTGTTTTGTTGTGGATGATGTTCAGGTACAAGTCAGGTTATAGGTGAAAGTAAGATGAGCTGAGCTGGCGGTCAGACTTCCCCAAGGTTTCAAAGGGGGTGTTTGGGTTGGCTCTGTATCACGGTGATATTCAACTGGTTCACGCAAGGCACGTGTGTTGCACTTTGACTTGATGATTCAAAAAATAAAAGTCAGGAAAAAAGTTAAATTAGCTGATCACTCTTTCAGGTCACTTCTTGGTCGGCTGCGACTTTGCCCAAAGGGAGCACATGCCGAGGTCTCTCCTCACTCCAGCTTCCCGTCCTCTCCGCCTTTGACTCGGGGGAGGACCCATCGGCTCCCCTTTTGTCTCCAACGCTTGGCAATTGCGTGGAGTCATGCAAGGGTCGGCAAGTGCCGCCATGTTTGCAATTGGGGTCGAATCGGGAACGCTCCATCGCGTGCCCAACGGCGGGGTTTTAGCGTGAGGAATAAGCTTCGGGTTAGGGTTGTTGGTGATGGCGTCATGTCCTGAGATCAACATCGTCTTTCAATTTCACAGTTATCATGGGTATGCTTTGTATGTGCTGGCCCGAGATGGCGACTGATTTGGATTCGTATCAAACCACCAGTCCCCACTCCTCAAGATTACACACAACTACGGTCACTACGGAATACGAAGGAAGCATCGCAACAGCATGAGAACACAAAACTATTGACAATGAAACAGTAAACAGGACAGTGCGTACACGTGCCCCCAACACCGGCAAAGTCTATGCACAGCAAGCCATAATCCAACCATAACCAGCTCTATAGCTTCGACGGCGCGGTAAACAGCTTGACCTTCTCCTTGATCGTCTCTTCAGCCTCTTTCTCAATGCGCACAATGAGATCCTTGCAGGTCGGGATGTCATTGATGAGACCCATGACCTGACCAGCAGTCCAGACACCATACTCGGGGTCACCGTTGATGAACACCTCCTTGCCGCGCTTGCCACTGACGTAAGGAGCAATTTCAGAAAACTCGCCCGTCTTGCTCTCCTTCTCCACCTTAAGGGCATCCTGTACTACCTTGTTCTTGAAGAGACGGGTGGTGTTGCGCCAGCGCCTGAGAACAAGCGCGGTATCGGTCTCCTGTGCCTTGACAATCGCCTCCTTGATGTTGTGGTGAATGGGGGATTCGACGGTGCAGAGGAAGCGAGTGCCCATGTTGACACCGCAGGCGCCAAGCATGAGCGCAGCAGCGAGGCCTTGGCCGTCGGCGAAGCCACCCGAGGCGATGAATGGGACGTTGAGTGTCTGGCGGGCCTTGCTGAGGAGGATGAAGTTGGTAATGTCCGACTCACCGACGTGGCTGTGATATGTGGCATAAGCAAGACTGGCCAACAAGGAAGAAATGAGGCATGTGGCTTGACCTACCCAGCGCATTCGAAACCGTCGATGCTCAAGAAATCAACACCAAGCTTCACCGCAGACTGGGCATGTCTGATGGTGGTGCACTTGTGGAGGATGATGACGCCAGCCTTCTTGAGCTTGCTGATGACGGGACCGGGAGAGTTGCCAGCAGTCTCCACGATCTTGAGACCCTCATCAATGACAACCTGGGCGTAAGCCTCATAGTCAGGGGGAACAAGGGCAGGCAGAAGAGTGATGTTGACGGCGAATGGCCTCGTCGTCAGCTTCTTGCACTTGCGAATCTCCTGACGGAGTCCCTCCGGCTCAGGAAAGATCAAGGCAGTAATGATACCCAAGCCACCGGCATTGGACACGGCACTGGCCAGCTCGGCTGTTCCTACATGCTGTTGACACGTTAGCTCCCGTCTTTTGTGTGTCTGAGAATTAGGTAGGGAAGAAAAAGCAAAGACAAAGAAAGACAACTTACTTGCATGCCACCCTGAACGACGGGCACTGTTGCGAGTTGAAACAAAGCATGTCAGCCCAAGGACAGAATCGAATCGTCGTGTCCCAAAAGGTATGAATAGTAACATGAAACGTGGGAGATTGAGGTGAAGATTGATGGTTGAATGTTTGACCGATTGGCCATTGAGGTTCTCATGTGGACGGGAAGGGGAAGGAGTGTATAAGTACGTACCTGTGATGCCGAGTCGGCGGGTAAGTTCAGTCTGCAGCGGCATCTTGATTGTTATCGGTGAAGCAACAACGGCAAGCACGCTTCAAAAAGAGGATGGGGAAAAGGGAAGGAGCAGAAACAAACTCGAATACGGTCACGAAATATCAGCGACAAGATGAGAACAGTTTTAACAAAGGCTAGATTCGCCGACTCTTGATATGGCTGATCGTCCCTAGTCAGGTGAGTAGAAGCCGCCCAATGATGGTAGCATCGGCATTCCTGCAACATCAATGGTGCCGAGGCAATTCGGCGTCTCAAATGTTGATTACTAGTTTGTATCAAGTCGTACGATTACTCTTCATTACCCAGACCTCGGTTGAATATGCGGGGTATAACAGCCAGCTAAACTTACGGACTGGTATTATTTGTATGGTTATTTGGTAATTTACATCACTGGAGCGTTGTCCGAGTGGTAAGCTGAACTCGCTGAAACCCGACTCCTCCGAGATCCTTTCAAGCGGAATCGTTGGATTGCGTACCCGACTCGTTCCTGCTTCATGAGGCTGTTCAACCACCGCCAAGCAACAGAATGAGACGCAACAACACTGGCCCTATCAAGGTCGGCACGTCCAGAGCTGAGCCTTCCTTCTTCAGTCTCCAATCCGAATTTCAACTGCCAAAGAAGTTTGAGCGTGTGCCCTGATGGAAAACCTCACGATTTTCTCTCCAACACAACCTATGACTAACTCGACCTTCAAGTTCCGTCAACCGCAAGTCTTGCTCACCACACAGACAAACCGGGACATTGATTCTCCGTTCCTCTTACAAGGTCAGCTACTTCTATACGATTCTGATCATTTAAAATCCATCCACCTTGGCTCGCTTGGTTACCTACTTCGACCCATGCCCACCAACTACGATCGGTACTAATCACATCATCAACACAAGATCGACTCGAGGTAGCATGAATCGCTGAGAAAACCACCGCCGCTCGCTTTCCCGTGGCTTGGGAACCAATGGCGCTACATCATTGCTACCCTTGGAGCGCCTCTCTTCATGTTGTGCAAGGACAACGTGGATGGCCGCCGACATGATGCCAACCATGTAGGACTCCAGATTGTTCCAGGCCGGCATGTCTTGTACGCCTGCACTTCACCATCTTGAAAGCTTGACGGCAATCTGAATGTGAATGAACGCAATCATTCTCTTTCATGAACACGGTTGGACAAACAAGTCGACTATGCAACAGCAAGCCGTGCCGTCTGCAGCTCACCACCTTCGCCCCTGGCACGCCATTACATACTTATCCTGCCGTGCACATCACGACACAGTTTCCGCCGTCTGTGGCAGCACGGCCACCGGCGTATCCGTCACCGAGGCAAACTCACGGCTTCTTGTCTCAGTCTGCATGGTAACTCTCAAGTTGGCCAGAATGCCCTGTCCCGACGGGGCAGAAAGGCCGTTGCAAGAATCCAGTCTCCCCGCGCCTTTGGGAATCCAGACAGTTCTTCGCCGACGCATGAAAGCCCAACGCTCCGGGGTCTGACTGCGGCATCAAATCGACGAACGATGTACGCCCACCAAGACCTGGCCATCGTTCCTGACCCAACGACGACATGACACGGAAGAGCGCCATCAGTTGCGCCCTAGATCTATAGAACGCCATGCTTGGATAGCTCCATCGTCACTCTTCTGGCAAATCGCCTATCCATAGGGCTCCTTTGGGTCCAGGCCATCCAACCTGCTTGTTTCAGATATTCTCCGACTCTAAAACCGGCCACCGCTCCTCAAGCGACACGGTTGCCCACTCGGCCCAATATCCATCGGGATTGGATAAACCACCATGTCAAAGCTGTCACGGCTCTTCTGAAACACTCACCTACCCCATAGTGATACCAAACATATACCGATGGTTGTACGCTTCCGCATCGATTAACCGTCTGTACCACTTCTAACCCCCGGCGCCGTTCATGCCCAGCCGGCGTGGCACGCACATTGACGCGGTGACACGAACGAAGCCGATTTCCCCGCTCACCATTGGTCAGGCGGCTAATTCCTCGTCCTCAGAGGGCACACGACTGAGTTCGGCCGACCAAATCCAGATAGCTCTGGCCTCCGGACTCGACCTTACGGCCCTCATCCGTTCTCATCCTGGAAGCGGCTCTGCTGGTTATTTCCTTTTTGGATTCTGTCGATCACCGTCCCTGACGCGCGTGGCACACCACTCTAATCAACGAGCGGCTACCAACGAGCCGCGTGTCAAGTCGATTTCTAAAAACTGCGGACCGATCAACTTTTGTTGCCCTATCGCGAGTGGGCCCTTTCCCAAACAGTCCTACCCTACAAGATCAGTGAGATGCATCATAACGCCACGATTCCCCAGAACTACGGTTAACGCAGGAGTAACAAAAGTTTGAAATTGATCAAGGCCCATTCGATACATTTGCCCCTTAGACCAGGCTGTACTCGCCTGTGGAGGATCTAAATTGGCTTCTCGTCAACGGTAACTTTTTGTCACAAAGCCTGGCCATGAGAAGAGTAAGATGACATGAAAGGCATCCGGCAATCCCTTGGGCATCTCGAATCCTACGACTCTAACACGATGCCTCGTGTCACGGCTTCAGAATATCAGTCTTTGCTATGACGAAACAACACCCCCTGCTCTCGCACGTTGCACGTTATAGCAGACTGTTCGCTACAGTGCATTTGACCGGCAGTCAACCCCGAAAACCTGACGATGTGGGTTTGCATCGTCAAAGGTGCACTAGCCGGCCGAAAGCGTCATAATATTTCGAGCTTGATGAACACACCCAATGCCATCACTCGCTGCGCAACATGCATTGCATGCTACCTAGGTGGCTAGGCACTCTGGATGGCCACTGCCGATTGACTCCTCCCGAGGGGCCGGTAACAAACAGCTTTGGCGGATCCGTCTCGAATAAAATAGTACTCTCCGTGCTATGAGGTTCTTTGTTATAGGCCCTCCTCTGTATCGAAGACCAACATGTGGTACGTTTTTCTACTTGTTTCTGCGCCTGATACACCCCCTCGATCTTGGTTGAGGTTGGTGACCGGCTTGGCCCAGCAGTCTGGGTCCCGTAAACGCAAACCCCGACCCGGCCGGCCAAAGGGTTACAACGAATGTGGACATCAAACGTTCGGGATACGTCCGGACTCGCCGACCCTGATCCAAGGTTTTGGTCATTAGCTCAAAGGGAAAGCTTGTCGTCTGATTGTCGAAAGGAATAAGCAATGGACGACCGTCCAGACAGAAACTTTCGAACTGGTTTCTGAAACAAAAATATCGTTCTCGCTGCCTCTGGTCCAATCCCGTGTCTCTCAATTTAGTTGCGTTTCGCAACAAAAAGAAAAACATCATCCCCCACCATGTGGAGGGGCGGATCTACCCACTTCTAGCCTGGCTGATGGATAGGTAGAGGCACTGACAACTCAGAGGTCAGTCTCGGTGGTCTTGGCACCTACAAACGCTCCTCCAACAGGCTGATTTCCGACCACCAAGTGCAGGGAACAACCATCAGAAAGTCTACCCACCGACTTCACCGTCTAATTGTGTTGGGACGACTCACGGTAAACTTGTTGTTGTGATTCCTCGCGTCCAATGGGCCAGAGGCATCGGTTGCGATGGTTCAGTGTTGGCGGACATCTAAGGACCCTGCGTCAGTGGATAACTGTTCTTGTCTCATCGGTATCTCACTGCGTCATTTTGGATTTTCCGCCGTTTTACTTTCTCTCGTTCGCTTCCTCCGGCGCATCTTGGCTGGCTACCGTCATGGACCAGCCTTGGACGAATGCCCCATAACATCCAACGTGGAGGTCTGGCACCGTCTACCGTGCATCCACGATGACCGCCGCTGCTCTCCGGCGGCAGCGATCTGTCTGTGGTTACCCAGGCTGAGTACGTGCAGTACACACAAGGTCGGAGCATGCCGTGGTCTGTACGGATGCAACATGACCTTGTCGTCAAGTGTCATGGCACACTCCACTTTCAATGATTTCCTCCCGAGTGTTACAGTCAAGAGGCGGTACGATGGTGTTCGGCGTACGGGGTACCTCGATGAGCAACAGGAAACGGAATTCGAAGGTGAAAGGCCGGGTAACTGTTTACCATTCATTCCTTTAACGACGACCGTAACGGTTCAAGTGAACAAATCAACATACACCGACTAGCCGTTGTTTTGACGAAGCTGGATATCCCCGGCCATCTCCCGTGGTAGCTACGTTCGTTTCTCTGTTTCCTCCGTTCCGTGTTTTGTCCGGGGTACTTTGTCCTTCAAGTTACCTTCCTAGGTCACCGTCCGCTTGAAAAAATATTTCCCTGGTCTACTTATGATGCACTAGCCCGTGGATTGCCAGTGGTAATTCTGATGCTCCTGCATATTTGCGAACAAACAATCCAAGATATCCCGTGGAATAAACGCAGGACAGCAGGTCCAGGGGTGTATGGGAAGAAACAAGCAACAACGTCTCGAATCCACTTCCGCCACATCAGTCCGACTCGTTTCAACGGTACAAGCGCTACCTACTTCTCGGGCCAGACGGATTGTATAATAAAGCACGAACCGCTCTTTTCCATTTCCATCCATATCCACAAGGTCTTCACCCAAGTCATCCCTTCACTCAACCGAGTACACACTTATTCACGGTTCTTAATTCATCCTCGCCCACTCCGCAAATTCGGCCTTTCGACCTCGACTTTCGTTTCCCGCCCTTTCGATCTACATCACAACACTTCAGCCAAACACCTGCACACAACTTACACCATTTCATACGTCTCCACCCAAATACCAACATAATGTCTTTTAACGCCAACCAGTGGCAAAGCAAGCTCGCCGGTACGCAGGGTTTTGATGTGTGTGTTCTACTCATGTCATCGACTAACCACTCTTGTAGATGCTTGCCGGAACTATCAGATGCCTCTTCCTCAATATCACGTTGTTTCAGACCGGAGAGGTAAGCAACGAATGTGACTATGGGATTGGGAAGCGTCAAAAGCTAACGTTCGGACCCAGGCGGCCGTACTGCTTGGTCTTGCCGTGTGGAAGTAGGCGGAGAGCTCATCGACGCCAGGTTCTGGTTCGACGGCAAGAACCTCGAAAATGCCAAGGAGGATGCCGCTGAAGTGGCCCTGAACCGCCTCAACAGCACGAGATCGCCATCATCGGCAACTAGCCGGAGTAGCATCTGGTGATTGCGGGAGTCGCCCGATATTTTGCTGCTGGATCGGCATGAATAGGATGGCATTTCTGCGCTTCACTATTTGTTTTACCACGGCGTTGGTTGTGTTTCCTCATATTTCTAGCCCCGACGGCGTTTCTTTTGTCAAATTTGTTTTGTACGACAACAACCTTACGGCGGCCCTGCACCCAGGTGTTCGCCTTGGTTCGGAGTAGCAACGATTGCTCACGCCAAACAGCAGCGATTTCGAAGAAATCTACTACAGCCAAGGCTGCGGCGATAGTGGGGGAAACCAATGGATGGCTCAGTTGGGTCGAACAAAAGCGGCGCTGCGGCAATCTGCTTGTCCCACCCATCCGGAGCGGGCCCGTCTGTCAGATTTGAGGGTCCAACAACTCTGGAGTCTCGGTCAATTCACCGCCCCAATCATCAACATGGTCGACACAAGGAAATGATGCATGGAAGTGTGGAGGATGCTGGGGCTCGTTAGCTCGTTAACGATCTGGGTTGACTCTTGACCGCATGTTGGTGGTCGAGTCCCTTGATCCTGGGTTGACTTGCTCCTCCCTACCAACATTACTGGTGGCATCATATCTACGACAATGACTTGTTGGGGGATGGAATTCGACTAGGACCAGAAGGGATCCTCGTCTGTCAGGTGACAGGCCTGCCCGACATTCTTTGGTTGTCTCACAACAAGGCGGAGGCCAAATGCCTATGGGTTGTTTGTTTTGGGCTTTGGTTTCGTTTTGATGTTTTCATTGCCACCATTTAATACCCTTTTTGTTCTGTTTTGCTTTTTGGGTGGTAATCTACAAGGAGGAGTGATATTTGATGTAATGGCATTTTTAATCAGCAATTTGGGGTTGTCTCTTTTAGCAGACGGGAGGGACAGTTGGTGGGACGGCACGGGTTGTTATTATCAGGGAGGCATTTGCGCGAGAAGCTTGGTCAAAAGTCTTGATTGATGTTGGAGCAGTCTAGGAAGAAAGGGGGAGAGAGACTGGTTGTGGCAGACGCAAATTCGGGAGTTAATCTTTGCGACTTTCTCAAAAGGACGATGGATGAGGGGAGATGACTGGCTGGATCCGGTCTGAGTGGTACGATGACTGTCATGAGCGTTACGAGGCTGGGCTTCTCTTTTGCTTTCACGACCGGTTATGTCATTTCCTTTCACCTTTGGTCTAATGAGTGAGCGTTTTTTATATCTTGAATATCAGCCTGCAATGTTTTTTGCAGCATCTGAAGAGCACTTCATCCTTCAAGCCGTTGACACGTGAAAGAGAATGTACTGATATGAGCTGATGATCTCGAAAATCAACAGCCCTACACGACGATCTCGTGGACATCGGGGCAGCCCTACCGTCAAAACCCAAAATCTACCAACGGAGCATAGGAAAACGCCAAACACCATTGAAGAGATGACAATCAGGTTGGTCACACCAGGGGGAAAGCACCTGTGTAAGTGGTTCAGCCAATGTATAAGAAAGGTCGCTCTCCCGTGACTACCTAGGCGGCAGGCATTCCACTGCTGCGCCTCCCATGCAGCTTAACGTAGCTCTTGCATGACCAAGTCCCGGACGATCTAGCCCTCGACACAGTTAGTCTTATTGGTGACTTTGTGCGACCTGAAACACGATGTTGATCTTTTTTGTGACATCCGGGATTAGTATGTACGTTCCTGGTCCGTACTGTGTATATTTCCCCACGAAGGCAGAATAATTTGTCAAGCCAACGAACGGTTCGGAACTGAACGGGGGGAATACAAGACACGGAGCCGAGTCCGGGACCGGGACCGGAGACCGGTACTATATACCGGTCGGTACCAATGGTTAATTTGGTATGGAATGGACGAATTGTAGACACGGCGCGGCGCAGGGGGCCGAAGCGGAAACGGAATTCGTTGGTCAACGAACCACGACACAAACTTACAACGAACGGATTTTTACCTAACAGACGGGTAGCCGTGGATAGGCGATCATCCAATTCTTGATGGTTACTCAACGTCAAAGTACTTTGCTTCTTACAGATTTTACTACGGTGTGTACTTACTTACTTCCAGACCCGCACTTTGCCGTGTAGATCTCCATCCAGTCACCCATTCAGGCTCCCGCCCCCGTTAGGTAACTGGCAATGTAGCCGGATGGAAAACTGTTCTGCGGGTAAATATTTGTCTGGAATGGTCAACGACAGGTAGCTATCCAGAGTCAGGCAAGTCATACCCAGTCACCACCAGTCTACCAAGCAAGGCGAGCGAGGTAAGGCGAAGCGAGGAGGAGAAAGTGTGGGATACCGGGGGATACGTAGACGAACTCTCTTCGATGTAGCTTGCCTGCTGTCTTTCTTTCCGTCGAGATCTCACCGCATCTTATGACGGTCACAAGAACTGTGTTGACCGATTGTGTGGTTGAGACATTGAGGCGGTCAACAACCACTTTGATGGAAGATACGAGGTGAGGTGGTGATGTCCTCAACTTGAGCCTGACCAGTAAACATCCTTGTGTCGATGGTTCGCGAATCCGGGGGAAGATGTTGGGACTTTGGGACTTTGGGTGGGTTGAAACCCCTGGATCACTAGGATTGGGATCAGGAACCAGACCAGACTGGTTGCAGTTGGAGATCGTGGACTGTGTGTGGGTTGGTGAACATCAAGGTGTCATGCTGCCCGGCCTTGTTCCCAACTCCCGAAAGGATGGAAGGACAAGGTGACGGCCGGGGGACCAGGTGGGTGATCAACGAACGCCGCGTGGGGGCCCACGTCCGGGTATCGGTTGTTGGTCAGGGGGCGGTGGCTTTTTAAGGTTATGGTCTGTGCGTCCCCTTGTATTTTGGGGGTTTGAGCCGCAAACGCTCTCGGGAAAACTCCGGAAAGGCGGCTCCAAAAATTGTTCCTGAAGTCCCGCTCTCCGGTGCTCCACTCGATGCCACTGCCGCCGGCCAAACATTGCAGAGTCCGCCGAGATCACGAGTGTTCGAGTCCCTCCCCCCGGCTGCTTCGCGGGTTGCGTGCGTGTAGTAGTAGTGTGTCCGCCCCGTGTTGTGTGGTGTTCCCCGAGCCGGTCCGCCCTCCGTCCCGTCGCCTCCATTCCCCCCCCGCGCCGTGTGTGTACCCCCACCGTCGTCGTCGCAAACCGATCCGACCAGCAAATTTAACCACCACCACCACCAACCGGCATAACAACCACGAAAAATGCCTGCGAGGTTGGGTCTCAGCGCCGCCTTCCGGTCCCTGTCCATCCGGACAAACCAATTGCCTCAGAAGCAATCGATTGCCGCCGCCGTGCAGGCGCGCACCTACATCACAGATTCCACAAGCTCGTCGAGGCTATCACCCAGAGTCCAAGTCCAGCAACAACAACAACAACGGACACAACCATTCTCGACCGAGACCACTCCTCCTACCAACAGCAACAATGGCGACCTTGCCGGCATTGAAGGCCAACCACCAGTAGAAGTCACCCCCGAGAACGCTGCCGCCCTTTCCCAGCTGTCAGAGATCGCATACGGTGTCAAGGCGGCCGACGTCGCGACCGAGGGCCACAAGTACGGCTTGCCCACGCTGCCGCTGCCGTCGGAGCTGCACCACAAGTACCGCTACTCGGAGGTCGTCAACCACGCTACGAAGTTGCTTATGAAGGATGGAAAGCTGAGCAAGGCGCAGAGGGTACGACGACTGTTCCCCCAGATACATATGACCTCGACTTGCCCACGGCACCTCTACTCAAACTACCTACTTTGCGACGGAAAGCTAACACTACCCTTTTAACAACAACAAACAGGACATGGCCATGATCCTAAACTACCTCCGCTCCTCGCCCCCTCCCAAACTCAACCCGTCGCGCCCTTTGATCCCCGGCCACCCGCCTGCCTCGCACCTGCCCCTCAACCCGGTCGAGTACCTCACGGTCGCCATCGACTCGGTGGCGCCCCTGATCAAGATGCGCGGCTACAAGGGTCTTGCCGGTGGTGGTCGCTCTCTCGAGGTGCCGCAGCCCATCCCGGCGCGCCAGCGCCGCTCCACGGCCTTCAAGTGGATCTTGGATGTGGTCAACAAGAAGCCGAGCAAGGGATCCGGTCGCACCATGTTCGCGCATAGAGTGGCTGAGGAGATCGTCGCCGTCGTGGAAGGCAGGAGCTCGGTCTGGGATAAGCGGTTGTTGGTGCACAAGCTGGGCACGGCCAACAGAGCCAACTTGAACTCGCCGGCGCTGCAATTGAAGGGCAAGAGATTTTGATTGACCTGTTAAGCCAACAACGAACACAGCAAAATCATGCACTCTCTGACCGACCGACCCCTTTTACTGTGTATACTAGTTTTTGTGTGTATGGATATGTATGCTGCTTTGCTGCTGCTGCTGCTGCTACCCTCGTGATAGAGAGAAAAAGACGGGGAAGGTTTTGTGTTTCTTGGTCTTGTCACGGTTATAGCGACGTTGATGGTAGGCAATGGTTTTTGACTGCCCTGCTTATAGCCACGGGAGTTGGAGGCGACAAACATTTACGCATTAACATATGGCCACAACGTTTGTCCCGTAAAGATCATCAGTGAACCTCAGCCTGGAGTGATCCGGCTAAGATGTCGATACGCGGGGTTATTCCATCTGTATACGAGCCCTACGTGATCCGAACACCGCGGCTTGTCGTATGATGAGGTTGTTTGTTGTCTTCTCAGATGACATCCTCGACGCCTTATCGTAAGAGTAGGAAGAGCCATCAACAGGAGCGATCCTTGTTGCGAGTAGTCTTTTTTGAAGTTCACTGAGGGAGCATCAAGGGTATTGGGGATAAAGAGGATAGCTTCATATTCATAACCATGGCATGACCCTATGTTTGTTTCCCACGTCATTTTTTTCCGGTATTGAGAGAGCTCCAACCATGTCGCTCAAGTGCCACTGCTAACCCTAACCACAGAACGCAGCGATGTAACAAGAAAAGAAACTAGGTAGGCAAACATCCGTCACATGCGAGATTATGTCTTCTCGATAACCATCACAGAATTGAGCATTTTGCTCT